TTGTTCTTTTTAGTTATTATTATTGTATCATTTTTTAAATTTTGAATATATAGCAAAAAAGCAATTAGTTTCATGAAATTTTTTTCCACGGAAAAGATTTTTCAGTTAGTACAAATATACCGTATTTATTCACTTAAAAGATACGGATTTTTCGCTTATTATTTAAAAAATGTATCTAGATTTCCTAAAAATCTGACAACAAATGACGACAAAACGTGTGGTTTATATCTTTGGTTGATTTCCGTAAGGTCACCTCATTGAATATATAAAGGAGAAAAGACGACTGATACTGTAAAACCATAACATGGTTACCAGTTTTATCTAACTCTATTTCTAATTGATTTGCAGTGATTTCCTATCAATACAGCAGTGGCCTATACCAATGGTGCGAATTTCGTTCGGATTTTTTCTTTTATTTTAAAAGAAAATAATATGACCATTAGAAGGTAGCTATTTATTTTAGCACACATATTGAGTTTAAAAATCCTACATACTTTTGTTATATCATAATAGTTTAAATTAAAATGTATAGACACATGCTTACCTATATAATACATAGTTGGCTGTTCACTTTCACACGAAAAAGAAATCTATTATTATATATTCAATTATTATTCATATTCAGCAGCAGACGTTGTATTATACATATATGCCTAACCACAACAATGAAAGTAAAAACTCACGCACGCGGAAAATATGATGGTGAAAAATAATTTTAAAAACTTAAATATTACTCATACATATGCCTACCTATAGGTATACCTAGGTACCTTTTTTTTAAAACTGTTCGTAATAATTGATTTAATAAGGTTATTAATTATTATATTGTACATACAATAATAAATACTATATTATAAATTCAATATTTATTGAATAACATAATTATTATACGCATTTTAAATTAAAATGTTGACTAAAATCTTAAAAATCACGTAATTTTAAACCATTTAAAAAAAAAACTTTACTTAGAATCGTATTTCATCAACAATAATTTATCGCTGTGTATAGGTGATATAAATTAAAAAATTGTATTAATCGTATTTTCCCAACTTCCCACCTACAACAGTGGTACCACGCCCGTATCCAGTATACCAGTTTTTTTTTTAAATATATTTCACATTCACATATTTTTTATGGTGGCACGTCAATATTTATCCGGTAAATAATGTCAGTCACCACATTGTCTTAGAATTTTGATCCAATACAAAAATATCCGACGAAAAATTTCCGAGAAATTTAATTCAGTTTTATTTTTGTTTTTTGGCTTACCTTTGATTATCGTTGTTTCCAGTCCACAAACTAGATAATTTTATACCCTATACAGTGGCGTACTTACGGGGAAGGGGTTCAACCCCTCCCCCAGAGCCAAAAAAACAAAAAAAATTTGTGAATAAGTATTATATTATAGATATTTATTGTTAATTGTTACGATGTTACTTTCTAAAGTACAAAATTTGAAGTAAATAAATAAAATAAATATTAATTTAATAGTTATACACGAATTATTAAGTATTAAGGTATGTGTTTAGTGCTTTGTACAGTTTTACTAAATATTAAATACTCAAAATATGCATATCTATTCTGATCTTAAAAATACGAATTTACAATAATTTTATATAGTTTTATTTTTATTTTAAATTCTTCAACAGTATAACAAAATAACAACTATTTACAACAATTGATGATGTTTGGGTGTACTCTACACTTCTACAGTGTACACTGTACACAGATTCACAATATATTTTATCAACAATAAAAAAAATAATGACTGCGGGATTACCATGGCCTGGCTATGCTGTTAATAAATAAAACATATTCAATCACTCTTGATGAAGTGCTGGTTGAATTCAATGAATCCGAAAACCGCACACATTTAGTAGGACAAAACCACACACTTTTTTAAATTGTTATATCATTGTAAAAAATTGTTGAATCATCAAATAAGAAAAATATTTCGCACGTGAGTGGGTCACTGTTGTAGGTGAGAAGAATTGCTAATAGAAAAATTGTTAATTGAAAAAAAAACATCATTTTAAAACCAATACATTCCTCGCTCCGTTCAGAATCTAAAAAAAATAAATAAATAAATATCTAATAAAAAATATAATTGCATATTATAGGGTACACATTGTAAAAAAAATCCGATAGCCCGTAGAGGGGTTACTGTAACCCGATAACTCTTTCCTGGCTGCACTACCGCATAACACAATATTATTATGTCGCGGTGTAAACCGATAACTAAACGGTAAGTAGGTACCTATATTTTATACAGCAACGCAGCTGTTTTGATATATCTTTTCCGGTAAATATAAAACTAAATTTCACCGTATGTTTTTCTCAGTACAGATTCTTCCTCCGACCCAAATTGCAGCAAAATTACAAAAACGGGCTATAAATTTTCCTATTCTAACCCCTATAACGGCTATAGGCATGACCATTGAACGAGCAATTTCACTGAATTATTTTTAAAATAAAACAAAATAATAGAATATATTTATAGGTAAATTGTATACGATAAATGGTTGCGTTATACTATTATGCATAAATTGTTTCCGGTTCTAAAATATATTTTGTATCATACAAACTGTATGCATTACTAGACGATCGGATGATCGCCAGATGATTCATGATCTACATGGAAACAAATAAATAATAAAATATGAGAAATTGTATGGGTTTTGGAAAGAGATGTAGCATATTGAAACAAAACTGCATAAGTACTATTTTGTCATCAAAATATGCACAACTAAATAACGACGTACCTAATGTGTAACCGCGCCAATCAGTAAAATATTATTAGCGATTATTTTATTTTATTGTATTCCAGTGTGACATTTATTTCGAGAAACAGTACTACAATTTACAGAAAATGGTTGAATCCATATAAATAATTAAAAAAATATATATATTCTATTTTAACAGATAAATTTTTTTTTTATCAGTATAGCACAATATTTGATTATTATAATATTTACATTAGAAATATTTTATTTATTTCCGTGTATAGAAAAAAACAATTTTTAATCTTTTATGAACAACCCATAAGTGGTTACTGGTTATATTATACATTTATACTTTATATTCATACGAGTATTTAATTTGTATTGACATCAATATAAACGATAAATCGAATCGACTTTTAAATATCTTGCATATTAAAATAGATACGTTAAAATTTGTTAAGTGTATACGTTTGTTATTTATTTATCATTCAGAGCCTTTAAGAATAAGATGCTGGGATGAATATAGGGACCAGTTTCTAATAATAGGTTAAACTGGTGGGTAGAAGAAATAACACGAAAATAACGAAGAAGCATGTGCCCATAAATAATAAGTAATGAGAGTTTTATAAAGAACAAAGAAAGATGGAAAGCTCCGAAGTTATTGCAAAAATCGAATGGAAGTCAGAAGGAAAAATGGTAAATGGACAGATACAGTAAGATCTACAGGGGTTAGTAGTGACTGAATAATGGGAATTAAGATCCCAGACTAGTAGCGGATTTAGTGGGAGGCTCAGAGGTCTTCTAACCCACAGTTAATTTTTGCTGGTAAAATTGACCTCTGTCGTCTCTAAAAATAAACTGTAAATTTTCACATATTTCAGAGAAATAGTAATTATCTGTAAAATTAAAATCATATCTTTATCCTATTTTCCGTGTTTTGTCGCGGGTATTCCACAATCTTCAATAGTTACATTATTGCTGAATGAGATAGAAAATAAAAGAACGTCCGAGTTTGATAGCCAACATGGCCTGTCCATTATTTATTATCTATGGTTGTTTAGTGGTGATAAGTATGGCCTAATAAGTTATAATAAAAACAAAATAATAAATTAGTACCTTAAACCTCTCCGAATAGTTAAATTGTTAAACAAAAATATTAATTTTAGTAGGTAAAGATTTTATATTTTTATATAAACAATTGTATAAATTATCAACATTGAAGCAAATTTCATATAATAATGTATAATCAGACTCAGGTAAAATTTGTTTTGAAAGTACTTAGAATAAATATTCCAGTATGTAAAGAAAATAGTATTCAGAATAAGTATTCGAATGATATATACGTGCAATTGTGTTTTCAAAATACATGTTAAAAAAATGTAAGGTTAAGATCAGATAATTGAAAGGAAATTGTAGAATAAAGATGTTACACAGTGATTGGTAACACGATTATGCATTATATTTTACAAATATAGGAATTCCAAAAATACCTACACCGGCTGAAAATATACACATTTTGTATGTAATATGTGAATAATTCAGATCACCGGAAAAATGTTTTCCGAAAAAAAAAAACAAACTTCTTAAAATTAAGGAAGTATTTGACATTCTAAAAAAACATTCTTTTCAAAACTATTCAAAATATTTATGTTACAATATAGAATACCAGTCATCAGCGGCTCGTGATTGGCGATGTTACCTATGCTTGTAAAACAAAAACAGCAGATTTACAATTATTATGATTATATTATGATCTATGAATATAACTATAAACTAATTATGAGTTATTAATATCCGTCCGTTAAAAATAATTTTGTTTCAAAGAATATGTTTTTAGGCCAAACATAGTATTTATAGCCTCTTAAATGTGGCCAGTACACGTTATACAATAATGCAAGTTACGTAGTAGTACCAAGTGTGAAATAAGGGACAAACATTGAAAACTCGGGTTTTGACAAACAGTAATCGTGTAAAACCGTCTAACAATTGATATAAATTTAATCACCGTTTTTTCTTAACTTCTCCATTCTGAATAAATTGTACAGGTTATAAATTATATTATATTTGATACTCATGTTATGCATATCAATATTTTTAGAAAATGTAATATTTTTTCCGTTCCTATTTGCTTTGAAAAGAGGATATTGCCAGTTTAAAATGAAAAGTTAATATTAATTTAACGTATAAGGAGTGAGAGTAAAAAAGTGAAAACATTTTTGAAATAAAGCTTCAATTATTCCATTTTAACAATTGAGCACGAAATAATAATAAATAAAAGTCCTGTTTCTCTGTGAGAGGAAATCAGAATACTTCCACGGTACCTCTACTTGCCGTATAGTGGCTGCGCCAGGTCGAACACCTATGTAAAATTCTGCTAAATAGTATGAGGAATTTTAAACAAAACTTGGGCGGATTGTCCCATCTTGGATGTATGCAGGGACAACAAGGGAGAGATAGTTCATGATGTAGCTTAGATTGAAGAAAATATGGAAAAAGTTAACAATAGGCTTGTGGAATGAAGAGACTCTAGATGAGAAATCGGATCAAGTAAAAATTTAAAACGAAGTTGTTGACTCTCAATAGTTGAGATGCATATGGAGAAGAAGGTACAAAAAAAAAATATTTGTGTATTAGTAGGTATTAGGCCATTGAAAGAGAAAACAGAATTTGAATATTTCGAGTATATACCTACTTGCTTAACTTTTTTTTTTTGACATAAATAAATGTAGATATATTTTTATAACTGTGTAACAATATATTATATTAAGGTAAGTATAATATAAGATAATATAGTAAACGACTAATTGAATATAATATTATAATAGACTAAATATATAATGTAATATAATATTTACATATATATTATTATACCGCGATAGCGTATTTTTAGTTTTAAAAATGTTTACGTTAATAACAAAATAATAGGTAATAATAATTAATAATTAGTTTCAAACTATGAGAATAATATTTTAAGATAACTGTGCATACACACGCACAGGAATAATACATTTTATAGTAACATTTAATAATCCAGATTAACTAGTTGTCGCGTTTAATAATTTCTATGAAAAATAATAGATTATTATAGCTCGAGTAATATAATGTTAAAACATGCGTTCACAATCTTTAAATCCATAAAATATAAATACTGAAGTGCCAGAAGTGGTAGTATAGTATAGAAATTATATCACTATTAGAGAGCCTAGTATAATATAGTAAGCAGTGGCGCCGAATTCGGGGTATAGGTAGGGCGACCACTCGACCAAATTGTTTGGTGATGGGTGGTGCTAGTGGTGAGAAATATACGTAGTACGAGTAGTATTTGTGAATATAACTGTACAAAATACTAAATAGTGTTATGAATTATGTAATATAATTTATTAATATATATTTATATATGTTATATATGTTAAACTACTTCGGCACCACCGATAGTAAGAGAGTGGCCAACCGCATAATGCATTTGTAATGTTCGATCTGTTATTTATATCCATGGACCACAATTTCTTATACTAATACCTATGTTATTATTAACATTTCAAAGTTTTTGAAAGAAAATAATAAGTAGATAATTTTTCATAAAAATGATACAATTTTCCTCAATAAAATCATATTATTGAGATTAATGAGATTGTAATGTATTTAACAGTACTGATATAATAATTGTGTCATTGATTAGAAGCCTCTAAGCTGAGAATCCAGAACGGTGGTCCATTAAATTGTGATAAGCTGAGTTCGTCACTATCTTACTATATAGGCTCTCTAAGTAATAGCACATAACTAGTAAAATATTATTTTAAATAAAAATAAATAACAATAATATAATATTGTAAAAATTTATGAATATAATAATAGCTTGATCAAAGATAATAATAATATAATATCAAGTAAGTAATTATAGTTAATAATATAATGTTATCAAGAACACAAAATAAATAAACATTATGAATATTATTCGTTAGACATTTAAAGGCAGTTTAGTATATTAAAGTAGGTAAGCACAATTTTTTTTATAACATTGGCAAATAATGAATAATAGTTTGTTGGTATATATATATATGTTAAATTGCACACAAATAATATTTATTGTTTTCAGGATGTTTAGTCTTACAATATTATTGAAAGATAAATTTATTAATAATAATTTTGATGAGTTAAAATTAACAGTACCTATTTTCATAATAATATATTAGTATTTATCGACACCTTTAAAATGACAAAAATAATGGAATCATGATCCCAAATAAGCAAACACTAAACCTGATGATAGAATATTATAAACTATTGTTATTCTTAATATTATGATACTTTCAACATAATAACTTTGTTATTATTATTATGTAAACAAGCTAAGAATCTAATAATACCTATATAATATTATAATAATTGTCTTAAAACTAACTGAGTATAATATCAATAATATATAATGAACTTATGTAAGACTTATGGAACTAATTATTGTCTCAATTATTATTAATTTAACAGTAGAGGTATTTAACGGCATATAATTAATAATCAAGTGTAATGCATTTCATATCAACACTTTCGATCAATAATAATAATATTTATTATTCAAACAATTTGTCTAAATATTTTATTATAATATAGGTAGCAAATATAATTATACATAATATAACATAGTAATCTCACGAGTCGTGACACTTATGGTAAATAAAATGACTTAATGTAGTTATAAATTTATTAAAATAGGTAATAAATAATTGATCAACAATAAAATCAAGAAAACAATAAATAAAATTACTATAGGAATGTTATATTTAAATATTATATATTATCTATTCTTTATACTGAATAATAACATAATAATAATATAGGTAACAATAATAATAATAATAATTTTAATATTTCTAATTAATGCAATGAAAACAATTATTATTGTGCCATTGGTTCAGTATTTGAAAACAGAAATAATAAATTGTATGCATTCAAAATAAAAAAATTCCAAAACTAAAGAGCCAAATGTTTATTCTATAATATGCGTAATATATTATTATTGTAATTGTTTTCTAAAATTGTGCGATAAATAATTTGATTTCACATGCTGCATAGTATATAATTTTGTCTTAATACTTATAATATGGGCTTATATGGAGGAATGCAGAAACTGCACGTTCCCATCATCAAAAATAACAAGGCGTATAATATAAGTTTTTTGCTTACATTTTCCCATTAATTAATTATTCCAGAAGTCTGCTTTAACTCCCCCCTCCTCAAAAGACTCGTGCACGTAATTTTTCGAGTATACATGCAGATAAATTAACTAAATGTATTTTATAATAATATTATATTATATGTTTCTCTTTATATAATATTACTTATACAACAAAAATCACAGGTTGCTGAACTGTCAAATATACGACAGGAGTATAACGTTAGTTTGAACAAAAAATACAAAACAAACTTATTAAAAACCAAAACTAATTATACATATAACCTAATGTTTAAATAATTTTTATTTTATATTACATAATATTTTAATAGTTGGTCAAGCAGCTGGGTGGATTCATTGTACCGTTCATTTCATATAAACTTGCTATAGCTATGAAAATCAAATACCACAACATAAGGACTGCTCCAAATTTCCTGTCCAATTTCCATCCATTCATATGTGTTGCCACCAGTAAAAACACTACAGTCGATAACAGTGTCAGAGTGCAATAAGTTAAGCCTAAACATAAAAACAAGAAGATGTAAATAGCTATAAACTTTCCCGATAGAGATCATAATAATTATAGTGGATATAGAAAAACAATTTATATCGAGATACTTATATAATAATAAATCATAAAAATATTATTATTAATTACCGCTTGTTATTTTATTTTGTAGTAATTTATTTTAACAAAATTTGACTTCTCACCTTTACTGTACACTTTCACAGTACTGCCCGGATTAAATACAGCAGTTTGCAAAAACCAAGGTAGTCCTAAGCATACCAGTATATCAAAAACGTTGCTTCCGATCGCGTTAGACACAGCCATGTCACCGTAACCTAAATTAAAACCCATGACAGTTTAATACAATAAAGAATCAAACATGAAATTAGAGCATAAATTGCATAAATAGTCAAGAGAGATAGGATTAAATATTTATGATAAAAAAGATGGAGAGAGCGTGAATTTGTTTTGAGTAAATTTCTTAAGGAAAAATTGTTCCCAGGGAAAACTAAAGTGAAACTTTATACGGCGATAACAAAGCCAACGCATATATGTAAAGTATGTACTACTTGTACTACCAAAAAAAAAGACTAAGAACATTCAAAAATAGAATATGGAGGACAATATATAGACCAACAATTTATGATAACAAAAAAGATCGTGTAGGAGAAAATTTACCAAAAGAGTTACAAGAAGAAATAGGTTTGGCATTAGTCATAATAAGCTTCATTATGAGGGTAAAGCATCATAGACTTAACATGAAGAAGCGAAGATACTACATACAGAGCAGTTTTGAATTGAAACCAATGGGAACTAGACTATGGAGCCAATCTAGAATAAGATGGATGATTGTTGTGTAAAAAGACCTTCATAGAATTGGAATACAAGAGTGTATAAGTGGCAAAAACTTTCATATATCAAATGCCATTGGAAGTCCCGTGTTTAAGTATTTCATTGAAAAGTATGTGCTTTAATTAAAGTGAAGAAAAAAAAACTTACCTTCTTTTACGACCGAAAGACTAGACAAAGCGTCAGGCACACTGACACCGGCTGCGACAAAAGTCAGACCCATAACCGTGTCCGGTATTCCAAGTGTATTACCTATAACCATAATTACTCGTAAAGTTATTATTTTTAAATATGTTGTTCAAATTTATCACTATTGGATAATAAGTATTTGAATTTATATTTATAATTTAATACATAAATAATTATTTTATGCTTATCAATATAAAGGAAAAATAATTAAATTTTTCCAATAAAAAATATAATATAATTTTATGTGTAATAATCTTACCAATAACCGTTATCATCCAGACCATTATATATGAATATACGGAAATCCATAGCATAGATATGACGAAAGTTATTCCGTACCAGTTTTTAAATTTTTCCTTCCGGCAATCAGGCATCGTATAATAGCACATATAATAAATAGGAAACATTATGGCCCATTGTATTACATGCAAAACGTTTCCGTTTTCAGGTTTTATCAACGGATTTACCTGAATAGTATAAGAAAAAAAGTCAAAAATGCGATTGGTGTTTTAATAATTAGTTTCGATACACATAATATGTATTTAAAAAAATACATACCTCGTCGGCTTCTTCGTATACTTTGGGAATGTAATAGTCGGGGTTTTGATGTGGTATTTGTTGACTTTTCGGCTGTTGGTTCTGTTGGTCTGGTTGTTCTCCTGCCCCCGTCGAACCGGTTGTATCGTAACCCATCGGACTTTTGGTACCGGTCAATTGGATTTGTTCTTGGCCGTCCTTGACGTAGGACATTGGTTGATCCGCAAATAGTTCGTTTATCTACTCGTAAAAGACAATAATCAGGTATTATATAAATACTCAAAGTAGGTATACAATAAATCGATAAAACTGACTTGTCCATGATTTCTCGGCGGAAACGGTAAATTCCAAGTGTTTGCCCACGCTTCCAAATACAAGTTGTAGTACAACGCTACACAATAAAAGACATAGGCGAGGAGCAGCAAAGAACTTTCGACCCTATTTACGTTAGTAAAAATCAAATATATAAATAATATTACGAATCCAATTTTTTTTTTTTTATTAGTCAACCATGTAAATATAATATAGAACAAGTATATATGTATACCATGAGATGGTCTCGTTGTAAATGGCCAATAGCATGATGAGTATGCTTATAGTGTAGAAAAACGAATCTCTACACAGGGGCCACCAGTTAAGGTACGTCACGGTCGTCGATGCTAAACCACATATGGCTATGACAAACATGATATTGAAAACGGCGGATCCGATGACGCCACTGACGCCTATATCATCTTTGGCCAAGAAAACACCGATGACGACCGTAGCCAGTTCTGGTGCGGAACTTCCGGCAGCCATAAAAGTAGCTCCCGCGACATCGGGACTCACCTTGAGTTCTATAAAACCAAAAAAAAAAACGAATGTTATAAATTATTAATTATAACAAATAAGTACCATTAGGTTATTTCAATTTGTTTGATCTTTATAATTTGAAATACCTATCGAATTTGAAAACTATACCTTTTTATGTTTAGCACAATACTGCAGTTATTATAAATATTAAATTTAAAATCAAATTTGAAAAATGCAGTAAAATAATATGTTATAAAGTATATTTTAATCAATATATTGTATTAGATTTAAATAGAACTATATAATATACGTTGGACATTTTTAAGTAGATGTTTATCATTGTTTATTATTACGAATAAATATCTTTAACACCTAAATAAAGTGATGTAGAAATTTAAAGGTGAAATAAATCTCGAATAAACCATCATTCGTATCTACATCTAATAGAACAATAATTAAATTTAGACAAATAAAATTATTATAAAATGTTACGACTGTTTTTTTCATATAATATTTCAAGTAGTCTTACTAAGGAGTATAATATACTTAGTTAGATACATACATAGTACAACAATTAAATATAAAACTTCAAAAATTTTTATTTTTATTTTTCTTCCAAAAACTAACAATATCTTCATTTTATACAATATGTATATATATATACATACATAAATACATATTATAATAATAACCATAACTGCTTAAAAAGATTTTGATTGATAGATGATGATGTAGTTAGATTTATAATGATTTGAAAAGTTAAAAATTATAAAAATAACATTATTTTGAAATTTTAAAATTGGGGCATACCGCATTTTCATCATCAAAATACAGTTACCTAAAACGAAATTAGTCTTGTAGTTTGTTATTGAATTTTATTCAAAAATAGAGACTATTATTCTGTATTGCGTTTGTAAAGGTAGGTACACACGCACAGGAAATCCTCAAATCCAAATTCTCAAGGCCCAGCCGGTCTCAAGTAAAGACTTTGACTCCACACGCTAACCACACGCCTGGGAAATAATCGAAGATTTTGGCTTTTTCAGTGTAGCTACCGTAACTAAATCAATGTGTGTCATGGTACCTAACTACCTATATATATCTACCTAATCGCGTGCTGTGCACCTGCTACCTAGTATTTTTAATATTTTTTATACTTATTCATAATTGTGACGTATAATCGTAATAGAAAAATAAGATGACCATATTATAATGGCAGTCAATCGTTTAGAAACTCGAATGAAAAAATACGAAAGATGTATGTAGGTGAAGGAATGGTTATCAAAAAGAACAAAATATTCACACTGAATTCAAAATTTACCCCTAAATACTAATAATAATAATGATATAGTATGAATCCTCAAGGCGGACTTCGACAGTGCATCCATACGTGTGACTTTAAACTGTAATCCGGCCTGCGCAGTTTTTTCTTTCAAAATTTCGGAAAGAATTTTCAGTCTGTGCGAGCTGACATAAGGCCCAAGGCCGATCATATGTACGTGTAGAAAATCCTCAAATTAAACCACGGGGACGAAATGCAGGAAAATAGCATCAAGAATGTGTCGTTTGGGAATTCCGCATACAACTCCCCAGCCATAAATATTGTTAAAGAAAATATATAATACATATGTAATTATTAAACTATAATAAAACATATATATTTTTGACAGAGCACTATATAAACCGAACTCCGCTTAGAATCGATTTTTGTTAGCAATGGTTAATCGTTGCGTACAGATATACATTAAATTTTCCCTCTACCTTTCTTACTTCTCACCTACAACAGCGGCCTACCTACGTGCGAAGAATGTCCATTTTTTTTTTCACAATGAATATCTCTACAACTCAAAATGGATTGAGGAAAGTTCGACCCTACTGATCTATGGAGATCTACTGCATCCGAATAGTATTTTTTTCCATACATAGCGACTATATTGTAGCAGAATTGCCTATACGAATCGCCGTTTAAAAGTGTAGAATATGAATAACTATAATGATTCTAGGTAAAAATGTTCGAAAAAAATATCAGAGTTAAAAATGTCCGTAGGTAAAAATGCCCGGAGATTATTCACATCTGGCTGATATTTTGATCCGGAAATTTTTCTTCCGGACATTTTAGTAGAACCTCACTATAATATAACAAAGGTGTTTGCGGAATAACTTAAATTAGTAAGTATAAAATTAATATTTATGATAACATCAAAATCGCAAATTGACTCAATTTATATTAGGTGTGCATTTATAAATAGGTAACATATATGTGTTGAGAATTTGATAATTTTTAAATACTGCTTTATTATAAAATTGATCAACAATTTTATGTTTTGTCATGGTATCTATAGCAATAACAAAATATATTTAGATACGGGTGTGAGTGTAAAAAGACGATTTTTTTTCAACAAAGTATAATTATTAGTGTTTTTACATTATAATGTTATTATATTATGACTATAATTAAAATGTGGAATGTCACATTTGTATTCTTAAAAAAATTAAATGTCTTTGAACGCAATTTCAACACATCATTACCATTTATAGAAAAACGTGTAACAACATACGAATATTTTATTGCCACATAAATCGAAAATAAAAAAAAAATTCTCAAGTTTTAGCCTTAAAACACACAAAAACGCCGAAAACATTTTGAAAATTATGTCTATAAAGCCATAAAAATAGTTAAATATTTTAAAAAAAAGTCAGCTCTTCACAATTAATTTTAAATTTTTTTAGATTCTGAGCGGAACGAGGAATATATATATTGGTTTTAAAATGTTTATTGTTTTTATACTGTACAAAATGGAAATTTAATCTAGTTGGTACTTAAGGAATACCATATTTTAATTTTCCAATCAGTTTTCATAATAATTGGAAAATAACGTAGGAAAAATGGGAAAATTTACTAAAATAATACTTACATTATTTTTAATTTTGTTCTTTTGTTGCAATTCAGTTTAAAATGTTTTTAGAAACTAGACATTTTGACAGAAATTTTATATTTGCATTTTCTAGACGTGGTAAATTTTCAACATATTTAGGCCAATTTTGAGTTATTTATAGACATTAACTATTTTGCAAATGTTTTACGTAATTTTTAATCGGTAAATACTGTGTGAATAAATTGTTAGACTTCACAGAAATGCTTGAAAATTTAACAGGAGGTTTCATTATAAAATATACTCTGTGGTTAATAAGAAAAATTTAAGTTTAATGTAGTATTTTATTTTTATAAGAGTTTTAATATCAAATTTTAACTTAAATCAAAAATATTACGTCCTTTTAAAATATGTACTATTGTATGTGGGAAGTTGGGAAGGTAGGGTATATAGAGGAAATTAATTTGTATCTGTAAGCAACGATAAACCATTGCTCTACTAAAAACGATTCTGAGTGGATTTCAGTTGATAGTAATGCTTTGTCCATAATATATATGTCATATTATATTAAAATAAGTAAATAGGCATTATAAATATTTTTTAATATCATTTATTTAATAACATACCGATTTTTCCGTTTTTTCTATGTTTTTCCCGGTTTTCCCATGTTTTTCATATTTGCTAGAAAAATCTAAAAATAACCTCCATAAAATACCTTCCCAGTCTGATTTCTTTTCAGAAAAAGTGCTGTTATTTTAAATCGGAGGAAAATTGCTGGTAGAAAAGTTTTTCAAAGAAAAAATATATCGTAATATTTTACTAATATATTTTGTAAATTTTCTCCGTTTTTCCTTCGATTTTTTTTCGGTTTTCCACATTTGATAATAATATTCTTAAGAAAATCGAAAAATGACCTCCTCAAAGTATTCTGACAATTTCCTTTCAGTAAAGGGTCTACATTATTTATATTGGAGTAAGCTTTCTGGTAGAAAAAGTGTTCACAAAAAAAAAATAATAATAAATAAACATCTTTTTAAAACTAATACATTCTTCGCTACACTCAGGATTTAAAATAATGGACAAAGAACATTATCTAATTTTTTGACGGTGTTTTTTAATTAAGCATATGACACAACGCCCACGAACATTACCATTTGTATTTACTGACCGTTCATCCATGTCAAATTATCGTCGGTTGTCAAGTTCAAGTTATAAATGTATACAGGGCAATTCAGTAACCTAACATAATTTTTAAGTTTAAGTAGGGGAAGAGTAGTGGAGCACCAATAAAATGCCGCAAGCCGTATCGCCACACAAATGATACTCCACTACTCTTTCCCTAACTAAAATTAAAACTAGAATATCTCGTTAACGGATAGACAGAAATCAAAAATTTGAATACCAAAATTTACTAAAAGCAATCTATATATTTAAGTAATCTCCATCTATGTATGCAATTTTTTTTGTAGGTTCTAATTTTAAAAACCAAACTTGGTATCATCACAGGATATTCCTTAAATGTTGTGAAAAAACGAATTATTCGAAAATATCGGCTTTAACTACATTTGAAATTCCAAAAATCAGAATTTGAATACATTCAAAATTTAACCAAAATAAAGGGATGAGCACGCTTAGTGAATTATCCTGTAAATACGGTATACAACGATGGTGACGCAAGTACATAGTTACGAAAAAAAGCCAAGTCGCATTATTTACACGTATTGTTTTTACATCGTTTAATTAATTTAAATGTACGAGGGATTTTTTTTTAACGAATTCAACTATCCATTCTCAGCGAATAATTTACTATGATTATGAGCAAAATCGAAATTGGTTTTTTTCAGCCATATAATATAAAATTTAAGCTTAAGCCGACTGATTCTACTTTCAATTCGGTTCTTGCATATTATGCTGTTGACGCCCTCACGTCAATATAGAGGGGGCCAGCTCCATATTATATTGATCGTTAGTTAGCTATTGTATTTAATTTTTTGATTGTTAATAATTTATTCACCGTTGATGTCTTTCTTATGTATTATTATTTATTTATGTATTTATGTATATCTAAAACAGGTTTATGTCACACGGAGTTTCGGTGTCGCGTCATTTCGACGCGAGACAATTGAGCCATGGCATATTTCAACGCACATCGTTTAGACCCAATTACATTTCGACGCACAGCATTTAGGCGCAATGCACATTTGACGCAACTACATATGGATCCAATTTTTTTTTTTTTTTTTTAATTATTATTATTGATTTATTTTTCAAATTAAATGTATATATAGAATAAAAATAAAATAAATTATTATTAAATATTATAGAAATATACTTTATAAATGAAAAATGCATTTCTTATATTTTAATCTATAACGTCATAATAAAATTATATGTAGTCATTAAACGAAAAAATATAACTAGTTAAATTACTTAGTTGGTGTGATAATAATGTAAGTTACTAGTCAAGTTAAAAGCCCTCACAAAAGAAATTCCTAACTGTCTAACTAGTTTGTGTCCTGCATCCTTGCACATCATATTATGCAGTGGTAAAGGTGTCGATCAAATTTCCATCGAGTAAACGCGATTATAATAATATTATTGTGGTAACGATGGCTCATTGTGATGGTCGAGGACTACGTCGGGGCTTTAAAAGGATGCACGCGATAATAATTCTTAGTCTTTTTACTTGTCAACCAGGTTCTCACACTATATAATATATTATAAGTAGTATTTTGGCATCGCCCGTAAACTGTAAGGATCAAAATGCCATCGTTTGTTGACGAAAATCTAGACGCATAAGTACGCTCGTATATTATTACATTATTTTATTTGAAACACAGTTGAGTAAATAATAACCGCTAACAGAGAAAGTCGTCTTTTTGATATCTAAAATATTTTTCATAATTGGAAAAAATCAAAAAAGACGAAATGTACGATTTTTTTCAAATTGCAGCATAATGATTTCATAATTTCAAATTTTTACGCTTTCCATTTTCTATCAGAAATATTGCTTCAATAATAAAACATCAAGAGATCTTAATTGTAGAATTTTTAATCTAGTTGATGACCATAAATGTCGTTTTTTGATTTTCTTAATAGGTTTTTTTAAGAATTGAGCAAAACCAATAAATACGTAGAAAGAACGGGAAAATTTATGAAAATAATTCTTTATTATTTTAAATTTTTTTTTTTTCAATCTAAGTCAGTTTAAAATATTTGTAAAGATTTAACATATTGACAGAAAACAGATTTATTTTTTCTAGACGTGGTAAGACTTTCACAACATTCAAGCAATTGTTGAGCTATGTATAGACATTTTAATTTTACGAGTTTTTTATGTAATTTTTAGTTGGTAGGTACTCTGTAGATAAATTGTTAGACTTAACAGAAATGCTCGCAAATTAAATAAAACGTTCATCGTAAGTCGTACTTAGTGGTTAAAAAAAAATTTAGTTTTATGTAGGTAGTACTTTTTTTAATTCATAAAAGTTTTAAAATCAAGTTTTCATGAAAATCGTAAATATTACATGTCCGTCAAGTTAGCACCGGCACATTACGCTAGGACTCTACAACTATTATCAATATTTTGCTAGGGTCCACAAACTTCGGAAATCCACAAAAAAACATGCCGGTGCTATCTTTGTGGCTGCACCAGCACATTGTCCAGTTCCAAAGTAAAATTATATCAATCTATTCAACTGAATTTGCTTTTTAATTATCTATAATATGTTTTATAATAGAGCTAAGATTCATATCAATCGTTAGAAATGATTAATCTTAGCTTAAATCCTCTCTATACCCCTCTATCTCCTTACCTTCCCAACTTTTTATCGTCCACCCGTCGTGCGAAGTATGTTCGACTTTTTTTTATATACTATTAACAACTTTTCTAACAGAATTCTTGCCCTGACGTACGAAGTGTAACATCAAGTGTACAAAATTAAACACGCGATTTTTCGTAATAAATATAAAAATTTAATTTTGATCGATATAATAAAGATAAGTTTATCACTTTATTATTATTGTTATTATTTGTAATACTTACTGACAATATTGAACATATATCTATTTTAAATAATAGTAATTAATCCTTTTGTTATTATCAATATCTATTACCCAGTTAAATTTTATTTGCTTTACAATTAATTTAAAATTTGAGGCCTCTTTCAGAGACGATAGGGGTCCTAGAAAAATCCAAAAATGCCCTATCAAAATCTAGAAAATTTCTAGCAAAATATTGATATTAGTAGTAGAGTCCTAGCATAATGTGCCAGTGCCAACTTGACGGACATAAATATTACGGCATTTCATAAAATGTATAACCGAATTTCGCTCTGAAACGGTTTTCATTATTAATGGATTATCGTTAATGACAGGTTAAATAACTTAATGTATCTCACTATCTCCACTACCACCTATAACAGTGGCAGCACCCATTTCCAGTATTGGCTCTTTTTTTTTTAATAAATATAATTCATCGTTCTGATATTACAGAAGATTATTGGACAATTTTGATAAGAATTTTTAACTATTATTATTTTATTATTTGTTTTTTTAAACAAACCAGACGAAAAATTATTTTTTTGACAATTCTGTGTCATAAGTGTAATAAGTCTGTGTAAAACATTAAGGACATTTTTGGTTTATAATTCTGTTTAATTTTTAAAATAACAGTTCATTGAAACAACCAATTTGTATATTACCTTTAAACTACCTGGCAACCAATTCGTTAGGTAATTGGGCACCAACTCGTAGGTGTATAATCAGATACGAAGGTCTGTTGAAATTATAATCAAGAGGAACATTGAAAGGAAGAATCTGTAGAAAGATCTAGACCGGAATAAATAAAATAGGCGATTCATGTATACTACTGAAAGGGAAAGTGGATGACAGAAACGGGTGCAGTGATGCTGTAGGCCAATCTTGCGATTGATAACAAGAGAGATGAGCTATGAATAGTGTGATTAATATTATAGAGCACATAAAACTATCTATAATATTTTGTGTAACGATTATCGACTAAAAACCGTATAGCCTCCAAAATGCACTAAAATTACATAAAATACGTCTTGCAATATTTTAACAGACTAGGCGAGCGTACTAGAGGTTTATGGTTTATTGTTTAGACAATGACCGACGTGTAGAACTATAATAATATTATGTATTAAAGTTAATATGAAGGTCGGGGCAAACGAGGTCATAGTGACATTTATCCACGATTGAAACGAAAACAGAAAATAACGAAATGTGTACATTTGGAAACGGTACCAATTTAAATTATTACGAGAACATGTACAAAATGTAGAAAAAACTGTCGAGAAATAATGGTTTCCGGTAAACGACAACACGGACCTTTGTTTGGATGAAAGGCATTTCAAAAAAATACTTGGCCCGTGTATCGTTTGGACAGTAGCTGGTGAGGTAAGGGGTGGTATCTATATGTAAGATATATAAAAAGGGTTTATGAATATTTTTCGCAAACATTAAACATAAAATCTTAAATACTATCCAAAAACACTAGAAAAATACAAAATAAAAGTTCCACGTTTAAATTATATGTTACACGAATCGAACTATACACCAATACCGGGAGCAAAGAAAAATCTATATTTCATTTTTCTTCTAACTAAACATTATATTTTAATTTGTATATTACTATATTGATTATAATTTATTCGTTTAACTATATAGTACGTTTACCTTCGCAAATTCTATCCAGTGATTTGACAAAGTAATGATCGCACACGATCGCTAATCCCAAAAAGCTGTAAATGCATATAATTATGTGGATCAGCACGCCTCCTCGTCGTCTCACCGAGGGTCTCATAAAAGGCTTCGGAAACTGCTGTATCGCCGGCGGTGTACATTTCGTGTCGTCGGGTTTATCCGTAGTGGTGTTATTGTCTATTGTGGAGTTCTGAAAAATCGATTTTAAACTTTATTTCGTAACAAAAATATATAGCCCTTGCAATAATTAAATATTATATAAAGATCGATACTTTTACAACACCAATAATAATAACAAAGGCTGGTACTGCTGATGGGTGTGCAAACTGTTTTAGGAGGGAAGTTAAAAAGGAAGATATTATAGAGCAACTAAATTTATATATCTACATAACGATAAACGATTTTGAGTAGAGTATTATTAATTATTATAGTCGTATTTTTCCCCTTGTTGCTAAAACAACTCAAAAATCAACTAACATTTTACAAATAAATTGTCACTTTTTTCAACTATTAAGAAAACTACAAGGAAAATCGAAAAATGACCACATTAATATAAAAAAATGGCTGTACATTCTTTGATTTGAGTAAGATTTATAGAAGTAAAGTAGTTCATACATTTCCCGTTTCACTCAGAATCAAAACTCGCATACACGCAAGAAGAAATAATAGTATTTTCGTTCGGGCTTTATAAAATCTATAATATAATACTCACGCCCCCTTTTAACGGCAATTATATAACTATATAAAATACGGATAGACTTGAACCGAACAGTTTCCTATTTTTTTTTTTCTACATTCGTTGCCATAACGTACAGTACATAGTATTGATTGATGTTATAAGGTCATCATTCCGGTGGCAAACAACGGAAGGCGCACAGCACGCTAAATGTTCGAAAACAAAGCCAAAAAGGATACAGATGTTGGCTATCGTCGGCCAATATAATCTTCCCTTCTTCCACTAAGAGCACGGTAATAAATCATTACGTCCGAACAATATTATTCTGGCCGTTCACTCTTATCCGTCAGACGTTTAACGACACGTTGTATGTTGTTCAATAGTATAATATGGTACATATGTATAAATATATTATAATGGTCCTTATTTTGGTTTTAAGAAAAAACGTTTTAGACGCCTCCAGATAGGTTCTAAAAAATGAAAAAAATTGTCAATATTTCCTATCTCCCCATTGTCATTCTATTTTGTAAAAACTTATTATACAAACATAGACATAGAATACCCTATATAATTTTTTATTAAATTTTCATAAAAAGAACAGCCATTAGCAATTAACTTTTAATAGAAGAAAAACTAATTAAAATTATTATTTAAATTAGACTTTACAGTGAACATTGTTTTAGAAAATAGAAAACAGTTGCGTTATTTTTTTAAAAAAAAGCTTTTGAAAAACAGGAAAAGGAAAAACTGAGAAAGCTTGACTATTTGTTTTTATTATTTGGAAACGATTTTTGGGGTGCCTATAAATTGTTTTTCCCAAAACCATGATAAGGACCGTACTTATATAATACATACAAAACAAATTATAATAATATAACCTTGTAAAACCTCGTAATAAAATATTTAAATTGCATGCATAGGACATGTGAAATTTAATTAAGTTAAAAGGAATATTTACAAATAAACCAAAATTAAACTTCAATATTAACTTACGGTATTTTAATTTAGTTACAACACGCCAGTACGCTTCAATCGATTTTAACTTGACTATCAACTTACGCGATATAATTCAGGAATTGCTCGCTATTTATTAGGTTATAATGTCACAATAAATAATTAAAATCTAGTGTTAAAAATCAAGTTAACAGATAAAATTAACTATACTTTTAACAGTTTCAACATTTTAACTCGTGCCTAAAGTCCAGCCTTGTCAACGATCAACAATGTCCAGCTATATATACATAACGCTAAACCATTGTTGAAGGAAAAACCGATTCGGAGCGAAATTTCTTTTATACATGTACGTACATTTTCTCACGTTTTTCCCGGCTTTTCTTAATTGTTAAGAAAACCGCATGGAAAATCAAAAAAAAAGTGTTCTTAAAGTACCACCCAGATAAAATTTCCTTTGATAAATGTTATAGTTAAGGTAAAAATGCTACACTCAAAAATCGGAGCAATGGTAAAATTGTTGTACACAGAAAAAAAAATAAACATCATTGTAAGACCAATACATTCCTCGCCACGCTCCGAATATAAAAACAGTAAAACGATATAATTTAAATAGAACCATTCCACATAGCATGAGAGTTATTTCTTGTGAGGCATGTTTTTGAACCAAAAAATGCGATGGTGCACTTATAAAACGGTTGTGTTTATTATATTCAAACGATGTAATAATTGACAAAAATCAATGTCAGATTTCTCGAGAGTAGGTAGTAGGCACCCACTTGATAACACAATGCAAGAAGAACCCTTCATATTTTGTATAGCGGAATAAACTCCATACCAAATACTCAGACAATAAATAATGCTTTCGACGATTCGACGGCATTAAAATGTATTTTTATTCTTTTCGACGACGACGACGACGATTACTTTATTTTTGACATAAAAATCAATTAAACACTTAATCGAATGAGCTTTTTTCGGAGATTCAATTTAACGTACTACGACAGTCGTATATATTACCTATAATGTAATTTAAAATCATTTAATAATTGCTATTAAATTATTATCGGACAAGTAAAAAGCATTTGAACACGCAAGGCTGAATTAATAGTTTTTTTTTTCCCCCAATGAAGATTTATTTTTGTATTGTTATTATTACTTCAGAATTTATTTATTTCGTTAAAACTATTAACGATTATTTTCTAATTTGTAATTTATTACAATATTTTATCCACAGAAACCGGCTTACCACTGCAATAAATACAAAAATAAAATAAAAATTCATGATTTAGACGATTTAGTATTATATAATATTATAGTATATTATTTTTTCAATATTCTACAATAATGGTCAAAGAAGTATAGTGAATAAATCGATGAATAATTATTGTTCAAAGATGAATTTTCGTGCGTAATTAATATTGTGATATATGATTGTCCTTAGAGTAAAATTCCCCCCCTCACCTGTTTCATATGATAAAAATCTTCCTTTGTAAAACAATAAACAAACGAATACTATTAAAATATTAGGCGTATTTTGGCGAGTTAGTTTTAGTGAACCGTTTGCCCAATGAGAAAACAATACATTTTGCCGAGATTGTTGAGTGCAACTGTTTGCTACACGAATGCAATTTTCGACAAATTATTTGTCGGATTTTGTAAACACTTACTAGTGATGTTTACTGGTTTTGTTCACTATTTATCATGTTTAAAACATGTAGTGAACATTTTATTTACCGTTTTATCGAATAACCAACTAAGGTAGCAAATAACAGCGAACATATACCGAGAATGCAGCTAACTGCTTACCGAAAATTAACTCGCCAAAACATACACAATAATATAGGGACTGGTCTAATGAGTGACCTTTTGTTTAGTATAACATTACTGATTCACCTTAAAATTAATTATACTAATGCAGTTTTCAGTATAAAATGTATATATTTACATAGGAACATATTATATTTTATTGATAATGTGTTAGTGTTTATAGTATTATTAGTAAAAACGATGTATAGAAATTAGATAATAAATAAAATAATAAAAGTAATGACTGCAGATAAATAAAAGATTATAACCATTATAGGATACGTACATATTTCAGTTTGTGTATCGTAAGTGTTAGTGTGTTTTTCGTATTTCGTGTACTCTATGTAAATGGCTCATAGAATTAGTCATCTGTATAATAAGTATTATTAATGACTAAACTTCGTATAATCAATTTTAAAAAAAACGTAATTTATTTTATTTTATATTGCGGGTTGAGGTCACATATTGGATCTGTCCCTAATAATACAACACTATAACATCGTATACTTCAACTATATACTACTTCCAAAAATAAAGGTGGAATATGAGTACACGAATGATAAGGGCGAGGGCAGTGACATAAGTAGGGAAAAGTGAAGGATTACCCCCCACTCTCATTAGCCTCGAACATATAAAAATTATGAGTATTTATCTATAGTAATTTTATCTTGAAATTTATATAGGTATCTCAGCCAAGTTACCCGGAAAAGCTTGATTTATTCATTACAATTTATATTTTTGAATTCGCTTTTCAAATTTCCATAGTCGTTTTTGGCAAAAAAAAGAGATTTACAATATATTCGTGGTTATTATTTGCTATAACCCCTCCTATTTAATTTCTGAATACGTCACTGAGCGAGGGTTGAAAGTAGTTTAAACCCCCAAAAAGCTTGATACTTTCACGACGAGACTAAGTTTATGATTTTCGAAAGAAAATACTTAAAAATATATTATGGATCTATGCTTAGGAGGGGGGGGGGTTAAGGCTCAGATCTATACTGGATACTCTTATGATGCTTTTATACTCTTATTCTGAATAAGAGTATATGAGTATTATAGAAATTCTGTATTCTTTGAGGTACTGCGAGAAAAAATCTAGAGCATTTGCCTAATAGGAAAAGACAAAAGCATAAATATTTGTAAAAACGAACAGCGTCTTCGTTATACTCAGAATACTTGCAATGAACAATAACTTAAAATTTAATTTTTTAGTTCCCAGAAATTTGTCGAGGAAATTCTCCACTAACACGTTAAATAAATCGTAACTGATATTAGGCGATTAGCGTAATGTATTATAATTTATTTATTTTAATCGTCTTTGAATTTTTAATAATGTGTAATTTATTTTTGTTATCTTTACGTGATAATATTACGAGTATATAAAAAAATAATAATTATTATTATCATCATATACTTTCTAGTTCTGAACAATAAATTATTTACCACAGTGCCATCCGAGCGTGCCAGGGCAATGATACGGATATTTTATTGTAATAAATAACGTAATTAGAGCGACAAACTTTTGAGTAGTATATATAGTATTTTAAAATAATTTATGTACATAGTTTTAAAAAATTGTCGACTTCGTAATTAAAATTCGAACGGTCACGTTACAAAAATACAAATTATTATTCCATTAGAAATATAGTTTATACAAATATTTTTACTATAATAAGAGGCCGACACCGTTAAATTTGCCGTCTCCGTCTTTTTTTCTAACGAGGAATGTAGAAAAAATGTGCGGTTCGCATAAAATCTACGAAGGGGCCTTTAATATCGGTTTTATATGATAAAACACGACTAATAAAATGCGCGGACGGCAGCGTTTAATCGAAATACGAATAGAATATTTATGTAGAATTTATAGAGAATCTGAAGGGATTGTCTTCGAAATGTTATCATCTTCATGTTTCATTATCTTTATTTTATTTCTACAAGCGATTTTAAGATTAGATTAGATTAGATGAGGATATTTTTTTGTTTGTTTTATGTGAATATATTTTATACCATAGTTTATTGCCTGTTACAGAAATACAGTAACTGCAGCAAATTCAATTGTCACAATGACCTCTTAAGTACTTACACTTTAAAATAAAATGTATCCCCATAAAATAGAATAATAAATTAATGTTTTTTTATAATCATTATAACATGTTTTTATATATATATATACATAACGCGATTCTCTGAATTTAACATTATAAATAATTAAAATAACTCTACATAGTTTAGGCCACAATTTCCAGAAAACAATAAAGACAAAAAAAAAGGGCTGATATATTTCGCAAGATGGGTGGGCCACTGTTGTAGGTGAAAGTCAGGATGGTAGGATATAGAGGGGAATTTATTGTATACCTATATTCTATACGCATCGATAAATTTTTCAAACGATTCTGAACGGAGTTCGGTTATACGTGTTATACGTGTTTTAAAAGGCCATATTATTTTTTGATTTTCGTCAAAATTTGATATTAAAATTCTTATAAAAAAAAAAAATGACATTAAACTCAACTTTTTCTTATTGACCACTAAGTACAACTAATGAAATTCCTGTTAAATTTTCAAGCATTTTTGTTTGGTCTAACCATTTTATCCACACAGTACCTACTTACCGAATAAAATTTACTTAAACATCTCGCAAAGTTCAAATGTCTATAAATAGCTCAAAAATGGTTCAAATGTTTTAAAAATGTTGTCTAGAAAAATCAAATATAAGTATTTGTCTAAATTTCAAGTCTATATGAACATTTTGAACTGAATTTCAACAAAAAAATAAAATCGAAAATAATAAAAGCGTTATTTCGTAAATTTACCCGTTTTTCCTACTTTTTTTCCCAATTATTATGGAAACTACTTGGAAAATCAAAAAATTACCCCCTTATAGTACCAACTAGACGAAATTCCCTTTCAGAAAAAATGCTACACTTATACAGTGGAGCAAGATTTCTGGTAGATTTTTGTACATTGCAGTATACATAAAAAAAAAAACAATGATTATCATTGTAAAACTAATATATTCCTCGCTCCGCTCAGAATCTAATATGAGTAAAATTGTCGGTTTTGTTAAAATTGTTTTTAAGAAAAAATTTTACTGGTGTTATGGTTGAAAATGGGTTTTTTTTTTTAATGTTTATTACAAAAACAAAAAAAAAATTAAAAAATAGTAATATTTTACCATAATCAGGTTTTCGTCTCTGGTTGACAATGATGATTGTGTTGTCGGCTGATTTTGTTGTTCGGACGTGGTGGAATTATTTTCCACTTTCTCCGTGATAGTGGACGACGATTGGTTTTCCATTAACACGGGAAACATTGTGGAAACCACCGTCAAGTTGCTGCTTTGAGTACTGGTGCAGTCTATTATTGCGGTCAGTGCGGCGTATAGTAATAAAAAGCCGCCCCATATCAATATTGAACATGATCTACTCGGCCTCTTCTGTTTAATCATAGGAGCCCGCGAAACGTCCTATATACAACAAAACAAAAAATATTCTGATTATTGTATCAATCCCAATAATTTGTTTGATTATTAATATACTTATATGTATATTTCTAGGTTCTACTAGCTATTATAAATCAAACATTTTTTTTTTCATATTTAACTAGCGGCAGATACTGCTGTATTTAGTTTTCAAATAAATTAGCCATAACTACACCGAATGTATTATATTATAATATTATGTAATTTAAACAGGTTTCTAACTTTGATTTCTATACTTTGTTGTAGGTTCCAATAGCAGTATAATGCCAATTATTCCACCCAAATCTGGCATGAGGACCCCTAAAAGACATATAAATATGATGCAAACCATTCTCTATACTTTTTGTAGACAAGTTAATATTATGTTAACTAGGTATATATTTGTGCCCTGAAAAAAATGTATCTTCTAAAAATGTATTTTTTACCGATAGATCGATTTATATTTCGTCATATATAGGGAACGGATTTTATTGTAAATACATATTTTTATTGGAATGAGATATTTTTAATCTGATAAAAAATGTGTATAATTTATATCATTCTAATTGAAATAATCCCAAATTAATTTTAAATATTTTGTAAATATTTGGTAAATAAATGCATATTTTATATGCATTATTTATTATTTATTTATACTGCTATATATAAAATGACAATATTAGTAATTTTTGACCAAAATATTCTACGTTGTAGACAAATAATAGAAAAAAACGCAAAGACAAAGAAATAATCAAATTGTGTTGACAACATAATTTAAAAAAAATTCTAAATTTTAAATTATTAAAATCGTCAGAGATATTCTAAAAGAAAAAAAAATCAAAAATGAACTCTGATCATTGAATTTACTTCTTCTGATATAAATATACGCCCCTATCAGATTTGTTGACGTGAAACTTTCTTTTAGTCAATATAAAAGTATTCTCCAACCAAACTGTCGACATTTTTTATTTGCAAACCTTCAACAATATGTTGTTTCTCATTGCTTTGTTCCGGAAGAATAATCTTAGTTTTATATACCTACATTAGGTATTTGTATTATTTTTTTTTAATATGTATAATTATAAAATATATTTTTTTCTAATTTTCAATACTAATACAATTTTTCGATATTTACATATATTGGATATTGTATTCCATTATATTATAAGAAAAATTGATTATGTACCAATTTTTCTAATTCAACAAAATCCGTTCCGTAGTCTACATATATTTATTAACAGCATATCATGTCTCAATCGATTTTAGTTCTATCGCAACTATCTATGTAGATCGAAAGATAAAAGCAAATACCTACTTATCTGATCTCAAAATACATTTGCATTACTTAATCGAAAGGTAATTTTTTGAAAGTAAATAAGTAGAAATGAATTCAATGATTTTCATGATAAACATATATCGTTTCCAAAAAAAAAACCTACATAATCAATTAATGTACGGCTTATTATACGCATGTGCCATAACCGCTCTCTATAGATAATTGTTAAACAAAACACAGTACTATTACAGATGAACATATTATACCTGAGTACATTAGGTACGTATTTACATTATACAATATGCATAAATGCACTTGCAACTAATGGCTAATTATAATATTTAACAGCAGTAGGTGTAATATTATTCAATATTCCGAGTACAATATACATAATATATATTATTTAAAAATAGTGCATGAATATGACCCAGTATACATATAAACACAAGTCAGCGTTCGCATGCAGTGTTTAAAGTTTCACCACAGTTATTTAATAAAAGCCGCAACTCTTACACGACTGATGTAACTTTATTTTAGATTCTAAGTGTAGCGATGAATCTATTAGTTAAACCATGATGCCGATTATTTTTTATCGGAACACATATTTTCGGTTAGTAAAATTGCTCCGATTTTTAAAAGCGGATTTTTCCCCTGATACTATTTTTTTAAAACATTTTATAGAAATTCCAAATACTGTGTTCTAAAAATTTGATTTGTATGATTTTCTTGAAAACACCCTTTTGGTTGTAGTAAAATAGCTCCGATTTTCCAAGCAGTTCTTTCGGAAAAAATTTTCACCCGGTGATACTTTATTTGAAATATTTATCGGAATATACAGAAACTCACTCATTATTTACTTTTTAAATTCTTAGCAAAGTAAAGAATATTTTGTTTTACAAAGATGTTTATTTATTTTGTTTTTATGTGAACAATTTGTCTACTAAAAATCTTACTCTAATTTATACGATGTAGCCCCTTTCCTGAAAAGAAATTTTCTAGGAGTGGTACTTTCTTTAAGGAGGTAATTTTTCGATTTTCTCAAGAGTTTCTACATCAAATATAAAAACCGAAAAAAAAAACTGAAAAAAATGGGAAAATGTACAAAATACTCGTATATTAGTAAAATATTGGTATTCTTTTTTCTGTGAACACTTTTTCTACCCGAAATTTTGCATTTTTTTAAAAGGAAATCTGAGGAGGTACTTTGGAGAGGTAATTTTTCGATTTTTCCAAGAGTTTTCCTAGCATTTGTGAAAAACTAGAAAAACGGGAAAATCAATACAATGTTAAACAAATATTATTAAAGAAAATATATAATGCCTATTTAATTATTTTACCATAATATGATATATATATTGTTGACAAAGCATCTCTATCAACTAAACCTTAGAATCGTTTTTAGTAAGCAATAGCTTATCATTTCTTACAGATACAGTGAAATTTAAAAACATTCTGACAATTTTTTTTTTTTTTTATACAATGCTTACAAAATGTCTACCAAAAATACCGCTCAAATTTTAAAGTATAGCGCTTTATCTGAAAGGAAATTTTATCCAGGAGGAAATTTTTGATTTTCCAAGCAGTTTTCATAATAATTGGGAAAAACGCAATAAAAACATTAAAATAATGCTTTTATTATTTTCAATTTTGTTTTTTTTGTTAAACTGAAGTTAAAAATGTTCGTATGTTGATTTTTTAGTTTTAAATTGAAAAATAAATATTATATATTACAATATACGTAAGGTCGAGGTGGACGTGTCAGGTAGGTAAATAGGTATTTCGCGTACGTTTCGAAAACAAAAAAAAAAATCTATATTTTCCGAGATAACGAGTGTTTTGCGTTATTGTCGATCACTCAGCGTGTGTGCGCGCTGAGTGGAAGTAAACAATGCGAGTTCTGACTAGCGAATCGAATAAATAAAAAAATTGTGAAAAACGGCCATTAAGAATACCGCGCATAACGTCGGACGGATCGAGTGACATAATAGGTAATAATAATGAAGGGCTTGAACACGGTTCGATTGGAGCGGCGGGAATCGGGGACGCAAAAGATCGGCGGAAACCGCAAAAGGCCCGTAGAGCAAGGGAAAAAAAAATCCAATCGAAGCGATACGGCCCGCGTCGTCGCAAACGAATAAACCGGACGGCTCTGAGCCGAGCAGTATATTTTATTATAGTACGTAGCGAGAAACGAATTTGTCCGAGAAAATAATAATAATAAAAAAAAAATGACAAAAAAGACCGAAATCGCGGCGACAAACGGGTGTCTCGCGTCGCACGATATTAGATACAATGCGATAACGACAGTAACGGACGTATCGCGCGATAACGACGGTAATAATATAATAATACTGTTCGTAAATTCGTCGCGGACGCCGACGGCGGGCGGTCCGCCGACTTGATCGGGCCGAACGTTTTCACGGCGGTGACCAAGCCGCGCCGCGCTGTACAGTGATTTTTTCGAACATTATTAAAATCCACGGCGTTCGACATTCCCGGGCGTCCCCGGGGGTTAAAAGCGAACAACGACAACGGCAATAACGGCGATATAAATGCCGCGGGTTCGGCATTTTACGAGCGCGAGGAATGCGGAATGCGTTTGTTCCCGGCGGAAGACGCGCAATAATAATACGGCGGTTCGAAAAAGAAAATAAGACCCGCGCAGAAATAATATCGCCGTGGCCGTCCCACCCACAGCCGGGGGAACACGGTACCGGGGATGATGGACGGTGACGTGGACGTGGACGGGGGGGGGGGGGGGGGGGGGGGGTGTACGACGGTAATCGCGCGATTGCCGACGTTTTCGCGCGTAATAATAATATTGCCGTTATTGTACGTTATTGCCGTACGGCGGCGAATACGATAACGACCGCGGACGAAAGACTCGGCGAATTTCGTCGCGATTTTTATTTTTGTTTTTTTTTTTTTTTGTAGAGAAAATCGCCGCGATTAAAACACGAAATTATCTTCTTTTTTTCTTTTTGCGCGCGCACGCGTGTGTGACGGGCGCGGACGCCCGGTAACGGCGACGCACTGTCACTTTCCGGTTGGGGGCGTACACGCGTAATGGTAATAACAATAATATAGCAATTGCCGTGATCGACTGCAGTGTTAGTTTACCCGATTCCGCGGTACGACGCATATCGTTATCATTGGTGTACACCGGGGCGATCGCGTTTTCTTTTCCCGTTATCAAACTGGCCGGCGCGCCGTCGACGAAACCGAACAACAACAACAATAACGGCGTTTCACTCCGCCCCCCCCCCCGGATTTTCGGATACCCGCGGCCAAGACTTGCGATACTCATAATCCACACACACACACACCCCCCCCCTCCCCCACCCGTAACTTCTTATCGATTCCGACGACGTTGTGCCGCAGTTGAATTTCAACTATACCGTCGTCGTAGCCCCGTTCGGATGCTCAAGTCCGCCGACCCGTCTCTCGTTTTAAATCGTGCGCATGCGGGATTACAATTAGGTCCGCCGAGTGCAGTATGACAATCACGCAGGACACGCCGACGACCGGCAGCGGGGTGCCCGGGAATCGCCAATTGAAAACAGCGTGGCGAAACATGGTAATCGCGAGTAAACCGTAGAAATATACCCGAGACCCGCCAATGGGAATTTACGAAAACCGGATCCGGAAAAACCGATTCGTAATCAATTAATCAAATTTTTCCCGGCGACTTTGGACACCTGAACGTTTCGCGATTGAAATATTATCAAAACTGCAAACGCCCGTCGTCGACGTTGTACTAAAAAGCCAATTGATCGGAGGAGGGAGGTAGAAGGGGATATGACCCCTAACCTCCCTTCCTCTGCGCGCGCCGCTGCTGATAACTGTCTGTTATATTTTACCGTGTTTGTTTTCGGGGGAGGGGGAAGGGCAAATCAAAATTCACTCGCTCGAAAACATTCGAATGGCGTTCGCTTTTTGGACAAGTAACATACTCCAAAGCGATCTCGCGTATCTGTAAGTAATGGCATTGCGATGGAAACGTACAATTGGCCACATAATTACAGCTATTGCTATTGTGGCGTTAATATTGACAGCGATTCCCATTTTTCCATTTGGAGATCGCGATCCGTATACGTGAATTATTGTATCCGTCTTACAAACGTACGACACACAGCAAATTCGAGATTCAGCAGCGACAATATTGCGCTGTTAGTTTTAATATTAGATTGGATTTTTGTACGATTATTATCATTATGAAACTTGAATACAAGAATTTTATCTCGGGAACGTTGGCACTATTTTTTCGATATTTTCATTTTCAAACGAGATACGAGTAGGGGTGTGAAATATCACAATTTAATAATGTTTTTATAGGAAATGTTCGCTTGAAATGTAAAATATCGAAACAACAGCACCCATGCCGTACAGATCGATAATGTTCTTGTTATTTTTGAGTTCGATGATAGGGTCAATTCACTCTAATGGTAAAACTATAATAGCACAAAGTTGTTATAAATAATGATAATAAAAAAGATTTTGGATTTTTTCATAACACTCCCCCCGCCTTTGAAAATTTCTGACTAGGCGCCCGATGAATTTGATATTGGATACGATTTTATTAACCCCATCCCCCCTCTTTAAATAATACGAGGATCCACCACTGGGCATACGATCCTAGTCGAAATTATTTTATTGAGTTTTCGTTAGTCTGAAAAGACAAGACGTTTATATTTGTACAGGCGGTCGACGTCGAGGTCGGTTATTGATTTTTCGATTTGTACCTACTCGATGGCCGGGATTGAAAACTGGTATAGTTGGTAAGTTGAACCATCCCCCCCTCCTCTCCCCCGATCTCCCAGTAACTATTTTTTTTTAATAAATTTGAATTATCGACTAAACGGAAATGATAATATTACGTCGTGCCATAGATAGGTAAACGAGTCGTGATGAAAATTAATTTTCATCCTATTAGCTGTTCGAAATCGTAGGATTATCATCTAACCTAACTTTACGGGATAAAACGATGTTACGACACGAGATTTAAAAAAAAAAAAAAACCGTTCTCGCCGACATATCATGTTCTTAACTTGGAAGTTTTTTTTTTTTTTTTTTTTCAATTTTAATGATTATTATACATTTGTACGGCCCCCATAATAGTAAGTGGTGTTGTGGTGCTCGTGTTTAACAGCGGAAATGTTATTTTTTTAACGCCATTGTTTTCCCCTATGCGTGATAGTTTCCAACAGTATTCGACATCGCGGTACTTGCAATAAAATGTTTTACTACTACGGAATTCTGGAATTAGGGAAAATTGAAAAAAAAAAACCCCGAAAAACTGTCCAATTATAATTGTCGCGGACGACGACACACGTGCTGACTGCGGCTATTTGGCGGCCGATCGATGGCCGCGCTGACAGGGAATTCGCGTATATCACGCACACACACGAGCTATAATATTATGTGGGTACCCGGGTGGCAGGTAGACAGGCGGACGGCAGCGACCGTGTAATCTCTTTTGTGTCGTTAATGAGACAGCCGCGAGTGTGCTGCCGCCGCCGCCGCCGCCGCCGTTGCCACCTTGTCGCGGAACAGTGGCGGTGTGCGATAGCGACGCGCCACTACAGCCGTCATCGTCCGGCCGTGAGACGGGTAAAGTACTTGCACGACTCTCGCCCGCCCCGCAGGCCGCAGACAATCGTCGTCCGCGTACCGGGCATCAACAATAATACAACAATATAATATAATGGGGTCAAACACCTGTCAGTGAAATTCGCCGCCCACCCGGAGCTCTCGATTATTACGCTTACGCACAAAGGCTGCGCGTGACGTTTATCGGGTTTAGAACTACGGCCGCCGCCGTTTCCGCGGTGCGTGTCGCTGACGCTTTGAAACGAAAACGGCGGCGGCGGGAGAACGCACAGGGGTGGCGGATGGCTTCTTTTTTTTTTCTTTCCATTCGTTCACGTTATTCTATAATTTATTTCATCCTACAACAATAGTCACATTATCATGATGATACTTTTGTATTTTTACCTTTCGAAACCCGTCCGGGGCTGCCGTTTCTGAGTGCCGCGCCGTGGCTGAGCGTCGCACTGGCACGCGTCCCGGCGTGTAACGCGCAATGGTGACAGAGTCGGCGACGATGAGGTTTTACGGCCGGGCTGTGTCGGCCTGTATCGGAACACCGCGCGCGGATGAAAAACTAATACCTAATAATAATAACAATAATAACAATAATGGTAAGAGCGGTGGAGGTCGGAGCGATTTTACGGAGGGGGATTAACCCGGCGACAACAATATTAACTAAATATTGTTATTGTCCGCGAAACGCGGCGTACTGCAGCGTGACGGCTGATACGTGGGCGCAGCGACAACAATAACACAACGTTTATTACATGTATAAATAAACGGAGTGGTGGCGGCGGCGGCGGCGGCGGTGGCGGCGGCAACGGCGGAGACGTAGCGAGTAGCGACGGAACGACGACGTGCCCGGCACAGGGGTGACTGTGTACTACACGTCCACACTAACTGGCTCGGAATAATACGCGGCGCGCACCGTGCGGTAGTGTATTAGCGTATACGCGTGTGTACGTGCGTGTGTGCGGGCAGCGCGCGCGCGCGCGCGTGTGTGTGTGTGCGTGCCGCGTCGTCCGTACGAGGCGGCCGCGTGCGTGTGCGTGTGCAGAGGAGTTTGCGGAGTTTAGGGGGCGGCTAAAGCGCAAGCTCGGCCGCGAATCCGCACAAGTCGAGTGGCGTTTGTGTAACAACACGCCGCGCGCGGGCCAACGTATCGATATTCCAATGGCGCCGCCGCTGCCGTTGCTGCCGCCGCTGCCCCTGCCGCCACGGCGAAGCGATTATGTACCCTCGGCGAGGGTACGCACACGTCGTCGGGTAGACGTCGCAGCCGCGTCGCCGCCACTGGCGTCCGCGACCGCATCCGCGGTCACCCATCCTAATCTATCGACCTATAAATAATATAATCATAATGCATACGGTAGGACGGACCAGGATGGCCCGCGACCGCGCTGTAAAACCGCCGAAATTTTGTTCTACGGCTACATAACAATAATCACATGCGCATCATTATGAAAAACACAATGACGTGATTAGGGAGCTTAGCCCCCCTCCCCCCCCACCGGATCGTCCGAAACCCGTCCCCGGTTCGTACAGAGAGCCCCTTGGATCACGTTCGTATAATATCACTGTGGGGTCCGAGCCCCCCTCCCCCGGGGTTCGCGAGTTAATTGTGCCTCGTATTATATTATAATGTGAGCAGCACGTCTCGGATTGAACGACGTGGTTCAAAACCAACTGCCGTCGAACCGTTGTTCGTAATCGTCATAATTGTTCGTACAAGTCATTAATGTTATTGATATGAAATCATGACGATTATTTATAATAAAAAAAAAAAAAAAATTTTTATAATAATACCGTATTATGTATTATGCATCTGTAACTGGTAATGGGATATAAAATTACAATCCACGTTCGCCATTCGATTCGAGCCTCCCCCCCGTCCTCCCCGATATGGTACACGGGCGCTTTACGGTGGCGGTCAGACGATTTTGTCACGAGAGGGGGGGACGAGGTTGATTTTTTTAAAAGTTGCAATTGCAATTATAACTGTTCGGCTTATAAATAATAATTCGTCATTGTAAATGCCGAAGGGAAAACGGTGTCGTTGGGCTCGGGGACTGATCCCGACGCTTTTTTTATTTCGATGACCGGTGTGTGTATCGGCTGTTCTATAAAGAACTGGTTCGGTGCATCGCAACAATACAACAGCGTGGAAATCCACTAGTACAATGGATATGGGTACGTAGCATTTGGTGACTACCCGATAATTGCACTAGATAAAAGCATTAGAAATATCCGAAATCTGTAAAATAGCGTCACCCGCGAACAGTAATTAATGTATGAAGAACGGTTCCCCGGTCGGTCGCTATCTTAGTGCACGGCTTATCTAGACCGGTGAATGGTACTTGTTCGCAAAATGATTCGCAGAACCGTTTTCGGGAATCCGGCTCGGTCACGCAATACGTTAACATACTAACTATACGTGCACACGAAATAAAAAAATGCCGTCCGACGTGGTTTTGCGTAACAATGTTTAATTCGGATTAATTTCCTTCGGCCTTTGGCTTCGGGCGGAGCGAACGGAGCGCCATTCGTCGCCTCCCTACAGACGTCTAAACAAGATTGGGTAGGTACTAACTAGGCACTCGATAATATACCGGCTACGGTGACAATATCAGATATGTAAAAAAGGGTTATCGCAATGCGAACAACACCCAACGAGACCTCGAGTATCAATTGGCTGCCGTTCGGTTCAACCGTAACCACTGACGCGATGAGGATGGCTCGGGAAGTACAACCGGACGAAGTCTCCGTCGAGGGATTACAAAGCGCCAGCAGCGTAAACGGTATTGTTGAAGGGGGAAAAAAAAAACACTCGGCCGATTTACGCCCACGACGCACGCGGTTCGTAATTAATTAATTTCCGCGCGCGACGTTAAAACTTAAATGCCCGCGTCTGTAGATCGGACGTAATAAAACATTACCGGATCCGATGATAATATTACGGGCCGAATGTGCGGCGAACCGCATACCACAGCGTCACATCTGATAAGCCGCGTCGTGGGCGCGCTATAAATGCGTGCGCGCGCGTCCCCGGCAGGGGCGACCGACGGCGGGCGAGTGGCGCCGAACGGGGGAGGGGGGGACCGTTGTGTTATGTCCGACGAAAATCACGATTTCGATTGTCCGTCGGCGAAACGGCGTGCCACACAACAAACACGTTCGACACGCGGTTACACGGTGCACCCGGTGTAAACATACCCAGATTGAAATTAACCAAAACTGTCGTAGATCATTGGAACGGTTATCGAACACGGGAGAAAATTAAACTGAAAATGTTATTTGAACGCGCGTGATTAGTGCCTGTGTACGCGTCATAATGTTTCTTATTTTCAAACGGTTATCGCTAAATAAACCGATTTAATTGTCGGATCGTTGCGTTCCAAACGATTTAATAGTTCCACATTAAAACACGCGCGTCATATATTTATTTTGTTCGAACGCTCATAGTGTAGTAAAATTTTAATACACGAAAACTAAAATTTCACCGTGATTAAATAAGAGGAGATAATCAAATGACGTTTTTCTCAATAAAACGAAACAACAAAATACTTAAAATGTAAAACACGAGGATTTCAAACTTACTTTAAATCGCATAATTAACACGTACTTAATATTTTTTATTTGATCGGATTCGACTATCACAAATTCAGCGGCGTGGCGACGGGGTTTTCAATATGCATGGTTATAATTGGGTGGGTGGGCGCAGATTGGTAAGAAAAACGACAATAATGGTGATGATATTTGACATTTGGTAATAGTCACCGGGTACTATTTAGTAAATTCTCTATCTAGTTTTACGTATACAAATGTATAAAAAGATTTTCCACTTAAAGGGTTCATAGATCTCCATAATTAATCATTGAATCGATTCAATATGTAAATCTTAAATATCAAATTTAAGCCGTTTAAGCATTAAACCTGGTAATAAATACAGTATTGCGTCCAATTTTTTTACACCACTGTTATATAGGCATGTGGTAAAGAGGCTTAAGAACCAGACAGACGGCAAGACCACGAGTTTATAAAATACAAACATTTATTTGGATTTCATTGATTGACTCAAGAACGTTTGCCCACAAAATTTATTGAGGCAACTTATGTATCACTCCCACTACATTCATAACAAAAACTAAACTTCACAACAATAGAATTTAAAAACATAAAAAAAAAAATCACAATTATAATAACGATACACATGTTTCGTATAGTATACCCAAACAGTATTCCAAACAGACTTAATTTCACCCAATAACAAACACGACCAACAAAACTATTTTCGTGTACAATGACTTTCGCATAACCAAAGAGTGTTGTCGATATAAATTTGGATAAAATGGCCAATAGAATACCCTACTTAATCGGGAGTCATAACTGAAAAAATCGGAATAGGCCTCTGGACTGCCTACTTTTTTAGTAAATCATTTTTACTGCATTTTACTAAAGCGCGACGGCGCGCGTTTTAAACGAATTTAAACGAACCAACACGACGCGACATGACATCGAACATGACAAAAATATTGTACTAATATTGCAATCGGTTTCATTAGGCGCCGTGACAAATGATAACTAATTTATGATTATGTGTTCAGTCGTTGAACGTGCCGCGGGTTTACCATAATAACACGTCTATTTTTAGTACACGGCGGCGATGGGAAAACAAGCCGCGCGACGATCATTGCGCATGCGCCCCAAATTCTGTTCATTTAATCCATAGGTACGCATCGAACGGATCGTATGAAACGGATTTTAGAATTATTAGTATAGTAAGTTATACACGTGCGTCCACTGACCGGCGACGGACGGACCGCACGCATCGGTCCGGCGGTAATGCCGACGAAATTGATCGAGGGGGCGACTTTTCCGAATGGTGCGGATGACGTCATACGGATTGCCGATAAGTGGACGCGTGTCACAACCGGTCGTCTCTGGTCGCCTCACTGATCATTTGAATTTTGTTGTATTTCGACACTCAGTACACGCGTGTTTTAATTGTAATATATTTATTATTTTACTGGAAGAATTTTACATCGCCGTTGAGCAAATCAGTAAACAGTGCATGATATTCTCCAAATTGTGACCTTTTTTTGAATATGTCATGTATCCACATTTTATGTTTTCTCTTAATTCCTCTTCTTTCTTCTTCATCTTCTTCATCTAATAACAAAGCAATAATGACAAGTCCACTCGCAACGAAAATGCGAATGTTACTAAAAAAAAATCCGACCGCCGCATCGGCAATCCGATCGCTACGTATACAGTGGACGCACTACCACAAATTGATCCGTTTCATACGATGCGTACGATGCGTACCTATGGACGCGTACCTCAAACAGTCGCCGAATCGCGTGCAATTTGCGCACATACGCATGTGTGTGCAATAATTAATGTACGCACAAGTGAAAATTCAGAGCCCACGTTGAACGGTCGCCTCTCTGACGTCACCGGAATATCGCCGCCGGCCGAAATGTCAGCGTTTGTTTACGTGATAATTATTTCGTGCATTTCTTATTGGTTTATCGGTATTTTTGGTAATAAACACGATAACAAAATTAATAATTACACAATAACAAAATAAATGATAATTCATATTATTAAATTTCGTAAAGAAAAAAAAATTTTTTTTTTCAAATAAAATCAATAAATACGTTAAAAATTATTAGCGAAACGGGTGCTATCTGCGAGCCAAGATTTATACTTTTAAGAGTTACATTTATTACAAAATTTTAGGTGAGGCGCCGCCTCACTTGCCCCACCCTCGAAGGCGCCACTGTTTGCCCAAGTTATAACCCGAAAAACTAATGAGAAAGGGTAGGTATTTTATGAGGGGGTGAGGTGAATATTTATACATAATATGTTACGCATCATAATTTTTCTCTTTTTTCCATTTCTGCAATTATTATGAAAACTACTTGGAAAATCAAAAAGACGACTTTTTTACACACCTAGACTAAATTTCAGAAAATATTCCTGTCAACAATACAAAATATATCTAATAGATAATCTATCGCAATGTATTTTAAATTACGCAGTGCCGTCCATTTATTTGGTACCTACCTACTTAACGACGCATACGGACATTTTATTCCCAGATATTCCCCCCCTCCCGTGCATTTTTCGACAATATGGACTTTCCCCACCACATTAGGGCATTTTCTCCAAAACTAAAATAATTGCAGTACCTATTGTTCACGCGTGTCGGGTATTAATGCATTTTATATTTTAATGTCGAGCTATAGTCTTCCCCCTCAAATATGACGTCTCACTGCCAACCTCTGAAAAGGGCATAATCCAACAATTCAAAAAGTTTTATCGTAAGCAACTGTTACAAAAAGCTAATGCTGATTTATAAATGCTGGTGATTCTAGCGCTATTAATGTTTTTGAAGCTGTGTATTGGGTGGCTTCTGCTTAAGCCCACGTCAAGCCTGAAACTGTAGAAAAGTGCTTTTTGCGATATGGTTTAAGTCGCCAAAACAGTCAATAACAATCAAAAAACAATCAGAACAAACAATTGATACCGTAGAACAATCGGCAATATACATATTTGTATAGAGAACTTTTAGCACTCATCATACGGATCGACAGTAGTGTTAAAGCACATCTATTTTTAATTGGACGAAATAATTTCCACTTACAACGCCAATCTAACGAGCACTGATGAGCCCAACAATGAGGAAGAAGAAACCTGAAGAAGTAGAAACTTCAAAATGTCAAATTATAAGTTTAAGGGTCACCCCGCGGGACGCTTTGTCTGCTGTGAAAGACGTAAGTAATTTTATTTCATCAATATAGGTAGAAAGCAATACTATTTGCATTTGTACTATACATTGGCGAATAATATTGCTAATGAGATTTCACAGAGACGGTATAGTTATTAAAAGACAAAGCTCATCGATTTTTTTTCTCACAGAAATGAATTGTGTAACCCAACATACTATGGACCAATAAGTAATTTGTAATAATTTGCAATAAATAATAACATTATGCATACATAGTACATTATTTAATTTAACCTATAAAATGTGTTTTTTTTTTTTTTTTTAAATATACGCTTTATGCATTTTAAAAATGTACCCCCTCTTAGTAACGGACACCTCCAAATAATGGACGAAATTTTGAATACTAAGAGTGTCCGCTTTTTAGAGGTTTCACTGTATATTTTTCTCGAGTATTGTTATATACAAAAAATGGTTTCCATTTTCCATTACTCGAATACAAATTACACAAACTATACTTACAAAATAATACTAATAAAAATGAGTACGTGTTAAATTGGATGCACAAGAATTGCCTCCCGATTTCAAAAATAACATTCACTCGAATCGCCTCCTATTTTAGGTAGTGACCTTGTATCGGAATCGATTATTATTTAGATTTTTTTAAACTAAAAACAATTATACAATATACATAGACATTAGGTACACGACATTAGTACACATGTAATTATTAGACATTTGTACACACTAAACGGTATTAGTAATAAGTCGATTTCAAAAAAGCAAATAGGTATATGTACTGTATCAAAATTTCACGAATTAAAAATCAATAAAAAAAATAATTTAGATAAAATAGCATTATGTTTTACAGTACCAATACAACAGTTATTAATAATAATAAAAAATAGTAAACAATCAATAAATAAATATCATTATGTTTTATAGTCAAAAATATAAATTTAAATTAGTTATGTTGTATGTATCCGAGGTTTAAATGTATCTGCTAATATACGTCAGCTATCGATATATTAATTAATAATCTAGGTATGCTATGTGAGGCAATTCCAGTGAACGGGATTTGAGTATACTCGAATTGCTTCCGAAAACACCCGGAGACGATTCGAGTGAAAAAAGGTCACCTGCCTAAATTTGGGAGGCGATTCGAGAGTACCTGTTAAATTATGTTATAAATACAGTTATAAAATTAATTATCCATTAATGCATCTTACAATGGTGTTCTGTAGATAAATCCTATGACAAGTAATATGAGAGTTGTTTAAAGGAAAAATTTAAAATACATTCTTTCTTTATAGAAATTAAAAAGAACTTTTAAAAATCGATTTATAGTATAATTATACAAAATATCATTATATTATATTAAATTCGAACGATTCTATAATTTATTCTACCTCATTTAAAAATTTGACCTACCGCGGTGATTTCGTGGTCCGCTCGAATTTAACTTATCGGGTGAGGCTTCTCTGAGGAAAACAATGTAAATGTTGTATTTAAACGTATGCATTTAGACGTGTGTAAAAATCAATATATTAATGTAGGATGTATCCGAATCGGTTCCCGAGTTCATACCCTACATGCCGAATCGATTCCTCTTTGAGAAAGGTGAACCGAATTGGTTGGTTTCTGTTAAATATCTACATTTTTACAATAACCACAATAAATGTAGGTATAATGTAGTACATTTTTAAACTTTTATTTAACTTTTAACGCAAAAAGTGGGAACCAATTCGATCAGTAGTGGATACATCACAAATTTAAACGGGAACCGATTCGGATACACCCGTATGTATGTAGACACCTGCAATAGATGACTTGATTACGCAGAAATACATTGAAGCAAGATTTCTAGTAGAAAATTAGTTGTAACCCCACCCCTTCACGCTACTAAGGAACCAAGAATGTTTGGTCTGAACTCTTCTCTGTTTTATATTATTATAGCCACGCGAACTATTTGTTTATAAAATAATAAATTAGGTGCCTACCAACACGAGGAACGATGCGTGGTTATAGTTAGTGACTGTCTACAATACTACTTGTACAATATGTATGCGATGAAATCTAAATTAAAATTTCAATTAAAGAAGGAAAGAAATAAAGTCAGACAAAAAGATCCACAAGTACAAAATTGTTGTACTGTTTTCAAAAGCGCGCCCGCCGGAAGGTTAAATAAAATAATGAATGAATAGGTAAGTAATCAAAGTAATTTATTACCATTTAAACTGCCGTCCAGACCGGATGAAAAAACTGCGGGCCACTCCCCAGTCGTCACTCGCCAGGTACCGACATTCAAATAAATTTGAAAATGTGAGAAAAGGGTTTATTTTATTGCAGTTTTTCGACATAATATTATCAGTAATTAAAACACGATGACCGCGCGCGGTCGCCGGTCGTAGGCATCGTTGCGGTGATCCAGATGCGGGTAGTGCGGGTACAATGAAGAAACGGTGGCTGTTGGTGGGAGGTTGAAAAATACTTTACGATCTATTATCATACCTACCAAATGCACAGAACGAATTTCAGTAAAATCGGTCGAGCCGTTTCGGAGGAGTGCGGCCACAAACACCGTGACGCGAGATATTTATGTATTAGAATATATTGGCGTATTCAATCAATGCCATCTACCGTATATCAGGGGTTGTGCATAGGCAATTTTCACGAATATTCGAAAACTATACGGGGAATATTTATGATAAATAATGTTGTACATTAACCGTAATATAATCGCCACAATAGCGCGACACGAGCGTATTGCCGTTAGCGTCCATCCTGGTAGGCAATACTGTGCACATTGTAACGCAGCTCATTCAATTAATCTCGTGTCGTGATAGTGGCCAATTTCAATTTCGGATTTTGGTTTTCTATATTGTTGGCTGCAGCGGCGCAGCGCGTTCTTACTGGTTGTGAGGGGATGTGGTATTCTTGATCGCGATTTTCAGTGCTTTTGTATGTAATGGGACGGTGGTAATTCGGATGACCGGTCTCCTCGGCGTGTGATTGGGGCCGTCGGTCGCACGGCCAATTTGGTGTTTGTGCGCAAAGACGCGGCGTCGGCGGCCGGGACGTTAATGCGTATCGTTAAAACAACGCAAGCGTCGAAAATATTCTGTCGTTTTGTGATGATAACGTGACAACATGCTAGACGATTTCTGAATATCCCGGACGTAATAATAGAACCTTATAATAATAATAATATTACGTCTATAGAATTTCCGATAGAACGTACACAATATTGCCTGGCAAAATATAGGCACTCAAAATGACTTTTGAATAATGAGTTAATATTTCCCCCAACACCTATACAGGTAGGCCACAATTTGCACTTGTTACCAAAAAATGATGCTAGTTATTCAACACTAAATTTCTTGAAGTTGTTTTTTTTTTTTTTTAAATCTTTTAAATTTTGAATTCCCAACAGTCACATTCTTGTCATTTTGTAGATCTGGATCCCTGCCGTATAATGACAAAGGGAACAGTATTATTGATATCTTTTCGGATAAAAAAAAAAAAAAAAAAACTGTTATATTTTTAGAAAATACCCATATTTGGATGTCCTAATATGTGCAAACTATACTTATTACTAACAGCATTATATATTGCACGTGATGTATTTTCAAATTTTAAGGGAAAAAGTTACGGTCTCGTTAGAGCTACATCAATAAATCAGCCTATTAATCGACAATATGTACCTACCTATATTTTGTTTCACTAAGGAGATGGCCGTTTTAAGTAAAACAATTACACAAAACCAAATTTTAATACTTATCCATTCCGTGTAAAGAAATTCCAAATTCTTAACTGGAAAAAAATGGTTTTTTTATGAAATAGGTAGATGATTTTATAAAGTAGATGTGATATACACATCTTTCCAAACATAATACAAACCGTGTATTTTATTTTAAAAAACTTAATGCATTTACATAGTAAAAAAAATGATAAGATTCGTTGAATCATTATTTTAATGTATTCGTTTTCTTAAAAAACAAAACTATTACCATCATTATAGCACTTTTAATTTGCTCTAATGGTTCACATAGCATTAACTCAAATTGAATGTAGGTATTAATATTACATTTTAATATTTAGCCTTTTAGTCTTTGCTCTTATTATAGTGCAAAAATGCTGTATAAATAAAAATTAGTACTTATATTTTAAAATATACTGTAACTATTATTATTATTATTATGCGATATAAATTTAATTATCTATAGTGTAAATTTCTTTTATTTTTTTTTCAGATTTTCGGGTTGTTGGTTATAATTATTTAAATTTGTGTGTAGCAAATCTTGCATCCTAAAAACTAAAAGTAATTATTGAATTCTTAACCATACAACAAGCATTAGCTTATAGGGGTTAAGTAGTTTTTTATGTAAAAGAATATGCTTATTGTAAATATATTTGGTTACAATAAACGATATAAATTATGTTGAAAAAAAAAAGGTCAAGTAAAACTTTTGTTTAAGTTACACTTTTGAATTTTCCAAACAAATATTCACTAGGTACTAATATTTGTAGATGCCAATTTGACACTAAACTAAAAAAGAAATTAAAAGTACAAAATATAAATAAACTAATAACCTATCAAATTCTAGATTCTCAGTGTAATGAACAGTGTATTGGTTTTACTAAAATGTTTATTTTTTTTTTTTTTTTTTATACTGACAAAAATTTTACCATAAATCATGCTTAGATATATATGAGTGGCACCATTTCTGAAAGGGAATGTTGTCCAGATACTTTTGGGAAGTCATTTTTTGATTTTCCAAGTGGTTTACATAATGTCTGGGAAAAACCAGGATAAAACGTAAGAATAACTGGAAATTTACGAAAATAATGTTTTTATTATTTTATCAATTTTGTTATTTGTTGTAATTCAGTTGAAAATATTCGTATGGACTTGAAATTCGGACAGAAAAATTATATTTGCCTTTTCTAAATTAGGTAAAAATTTCAAAACATTTAAGCCATTTTTAGGATTTTTATAAAAATTTAGTAAAAAATATTTGTATCTCGTCGATGGACTTAAAATATTTTATGGCCCAAAATAAAGAACACTATGAGTTAATGTAGTATTTTTTTTATAAAGAAATTTTAAAATCAAATATTGACAAAAATCGTTTGTGTAAAAAATTATTTGGTAGAAATCTAATTTTTCAATATTTTGCTTTGAAGATATGTATATTGATGATTTATGAACAATGGTGAAGTCAAAATTGAGCGGACTAACTTAGTTTCGAAATTTTAAGTTCTGATATTATGCGAATATTATATATGTTAAATAGCTCTATATTTTCCATAAAGTATCCAAATAACTCTATTGTAGTTTAATGATACTTCAAACCCAATGGTGTCCTAGGGGTCATAATTTCGAACCCTTATTTCGGAAAAATTGTTTGCATTATTTATTATTTCCCTTTTACTTAAACAGGAGAAAAATAAATGCATTTTAAGTGTACCTAGAGACCTCGCTATCGCTGGCTCGGACTATTTTAATCGAAAATTAGATTTTGTTTCCACATGATTTTTAACACACATCACATTCTTGCATATCTTTTGTATGAGTTGTTTTATGATAATTTAAATTGATTAATTCAGAACATTTTTCTTACTAGCATTATACTTGTAACAGTGCCGTAGACAGGAGGGCTTAAGCCCATAATAATCATTGGTTAGATATAACTAACTGGTTATTATTTTTAAAATATTGTATTCCAAAAGGTCCCTTGGATACAATATCAAGGTGTTCAGAAGAATTGTTTCCAATTATAAATGTTATTTTTTTTAAAAAATATTATCAATGTTACCAATATAAACTACATCAGTATTATTCAGTCGAAAGATGTTTTTCTACTTCAAAAAGAATAAAGCCTTATTTAAGGAAATCTATAGACAGAGCGGGAAATACGTATTTTGTCGCCCTGTGAAATTAAAAAAAAAGCCGCCCCTTACATTAAATTGTAAATATAATTAGTACATAGTTATTAATACAAAATGAACGAAATTAATTAAAAACTGGGTTATATTGTAGATCAAACGGGGAAATTTTGTCTTCCGAACATTTAATTAATTATAAGTAGGTTGAATTGTGGCACAATGTCTTTATTTAAAAGAATAATGAAAAAAAAGACGTCCTAAGATAATGGGGTAGGGAGCGAGGACGGCCACTGTTACAAGTAATTTAATATACACCTGTAAGGAACAATAAACTATTGTTAACGAAAAAAAAGATTTTGAACGGAATTCAGTTGATAGTGCTGCTGTGTGAAGTCAACAATTTATGTGTCATATTATGGTAAAATTCCAAAATTAAAATGGATCCCGATTTTCCCATGTTTTTTCCTGGTTTTTCACAATTGTTAGGAAAACTCTTGAGAAAATCTAAAAATGGCTTCCCTAAAGTATTTTCCCAGTCAGATTTATTTTAGAAAAAGTGCTATCATTGTAAATCGGAGCAAAATTACTGGTAAAAAAGTTGTCAACAGGAAAAAAAAATTCTTTGTAAAACCATAAGCTTCTTCGCTACATTCAAAATCTAAAAGTTTGATATGTTTATTAAGTCTTGTAAGACTTTACTCCCATTTCCGTTGCAAGTGATGTTGAATCTATAATAATTTTCTCAATAGATTCTTCTGATCTTAGATACTTTAAATTTTTCAATAAAGTTTCTGAAATGCCCAAAGCTAAAAATATGTCAAAATTTGATTTTTGCATTAATTTACTAATTGAATTTATATGATTAAGTATCTCGTACCAAACGACAACAGAACAAATAAATGTTAACGTTTTTATGAAACTACATAAACATTTAGCTTCTAAATTTGTGTTTTCTGGTATTTCAAAAAAAAAGCATAATAAATTCATAAATTTCTCCTATGTAATATCAAAACGGTTTAAGCGCCTCTATTCGACTATCGTGATTACCGTGATTTGATTCGGCTCATGTTTGCTAACTAATAACTGTAAAGATAATCGCATGTATTTGTATTTCGTGTGTTTGACACTTAGAAATTCGAACCGATCATTATAAATACGAAATTGATAGTATGCAATATTATCATCACATTAGTCACGATGATAAAAATTATCCATACAGGTAACCGCAAAAAACCATTTTGGTATACCAAAGCACTAGCTAAATGCACAGATATCTATAATATATATTTATATATTATAATATTATATATAATATAGATATCTGTAGCTAAATGATGGCTCTTGTTACCTTACGTTGAAATAATATGAATGACCAATCTATTCTTTATTATCTACGAAATCTATGGACGCAAAAATATGACGCGACCATAGATAAGACCCAATGTAATCATATTATATCATAATTTATTGTTATCAGTATAAACAAATTATCAACACGTGATTTAGAGTTTAGTAAATTATTTTGAATACTAGATATTGAATACCAATAACTTAAGTTTTGTTGGAAATAAATAATAATTGTGGATTGTATTCTGGTGTTATTACAATATGAAAACAAAAAAGAATGAAAAAAAACTAAATCCATTTGAAGTACATATAAATAACAAGAAATTTACTATATTAGGCCGTAAATCAAAAAATGAAGTGGGCAAACCAGGTATTGCTCGGTCAAAGTCAATTCAAAAGGTATTTATGAATATATTTCTGTGTGTTTATGTATTTGAACCAACTATTGCGTTTTATTTGTAGAGGAAGAAATCGTTATTGATCGAGTACAAACTTAAAGATAAATCAAATAAATTTGTTGATCGTCGAATAGGTGAAAAAAACCGAGCAATGACAGCTGAAGATCGTATTATTGCCCGATTTACTGCAAGTAGAGTTAGAGATCAAAAAGTATGTATCAATATGTTTATAATATAATATTATAATTATCATTAATGTATACATTAATTTTTAAAAGAAAATGAAATATAATTTGGGCGAAGAAGAAGATCTTACTCATCAGGGCCAAACACTGTCTACTATTGAAAAATTTGAAAAACCTATAAGTGATGATGATGATGATTCAGATGACGAACACACTAGTGGAAAGTTGGCAGGTTCTGATTAAATTTGTATTCATTGTACTTGACCTTTTGGTTTTCTACCATGATAATATATTTATTGAATATCATTCTTTGAATAATGAGCATAAATTATTTTTAGCCGAATTTGTTGAAAAGGCTCATTTTGGCGGAGGTGTTTTAAGCAGAGCTGGTGATGGTGAAAGTAGTCATCGTGATTTGATTGACAAATTGATAGCTGAATCAAAATTACGAAAGTATGAAAAAAAACAACTTAAACAAGAGACAAATGATCTGACTGAGCAGTTAGATAAAGATTGGAAAGAACTCATGCCTGTTGTGCCAACTAAAAATCGTGGTGACATAGATGATGAAGATGAACCTCCTATGAAAAAGAAAGTTGATAAAAATTCATATGATGTTCTTATGAGATCATTAAAGTTTGATCGCAGAGGAATGGTATGTTTATTTTTAATGAAATTGTATTTTCTATTTTATTGGATTTAAATTATTTTTTTGTTTTCTAGGCCAGTGATAAATTGAAATCTGAAGAAGAAATTGCTAGAGAGGAAAAGAAACGTTTAGAGAAATTAGAATCAGAAAGATTAAAAAGAATGAAAGGTATAAAAGATGATGAAATTATTAAACACCGGAGTGCTGATGATTTGGATGATGGGTATGTAATTTATGCTAAATATTTCTTTTGTTTTATTATAATTTATACGTGTATATATACATACATTTTTAATAATAATGGTTTATTATTGTATTGAAATATCTTTTATATTTATACTAATAATGTTTAGCTTTGATTTTGGTGATGATGAAATACAGCCTTTAGCTTATGATTCTGAAGGAAAACCATTGAATTGTGGTGATTTAGTTCCTGTAAATGAAGATAATGATGGTAATTTATAAAATATAAATTTTTAAATTATTAATTTTGATTTGATGTTGGACACTTTTGGATGCGATATAATTGTGCGCGGTCCTTATCGGTGGTATCTTTTTAGATGTACGATTGTGTGTGCTATAATATTTTTACTTCTATGCAAATGTTTCCAAATATATAGGTGCACGGTAAATCAGATTTTATTTATCTGACTTATTATTTCCGATACCAGATAAAAAATACAAAATTTCTAGCACTTATCTGGAATTATTATTTTTACTGTAAATTCTCAAATAGGTACAAATATACTATAATATAGTTTATATCTCTTCTATAAGGCCTCTTATATATATTTTTTAGTAGTGAACAAGCACACATTTTTTGATGCATCAGACAGCTGGCTGATGGATATGTCAAATGGAGGTGCTGTAAAAAATAGTGTATGTCTATCAATGACAACTGATAATTCCATTTTAAAAAATAGTGAGCATAATCTCCCTGTAGATTTAATTCAAAGAAAGACATCTAGGATAATGGGGACCAGTGCTGCTATTGTTATAGATAATTTAATGTATGTCTGTAAGCAACGATAAACCAAAAAAACACAATATAATACAATACATAAAATATAATAAATATATAATAATAAAATACAAAAAAACGATTCTGAACGGAGTTCAGTTGATAATGATGTTTTGTCAACAATATATATGTCATTTTATAGTAAAATAATTAAATAGGCTTTATTAATTTTCTTTTAAAATATTTGTTTAATGTTGTACTGATTTCCCTATGTTTTTCCTGGTTTTCCAATGTTTTATCCGAGTTTTTCCCATTTGCTGGAAAAATTCCTGAAAAAATCGAAAAATGACCTCTCTAATGTTTCTTCCTAGTGAAATTACCTTTTAGAAACATTGCTATCATTAAAAGTTTGAACAAAATTGCTGGTAGAAAAGTTGTTAATTAATTAGAATTGAACTTATAAATAACATTACAGCACAAAGATATAAAATCAGTTGGAAAGGTTATTTATATTGAACAAAAAAACTTCCCTCCCTACCCTGCATCTGAAGAAGAAAATGCCATACGGAAATTAGGGGAGTTACAAAGTGGAGGTCTTTTAATTATTGTATTTTATGACGTATACTGAATTTATAATAAACATATTACAAAACTATGGTATTTGGCAACATCGCTTCAAATATTGCGTGTAATCATATGCTTTTCAAGGGTCAAAATCATATTCTTTGTCATTTCGTTACCATGCGCAGTCCTATACTTAAAAAGGTAAACGCACACAATTTTCACCGGCAAAATTTTTGTTATCTATTGTTAGATATTTAAAAATGTTGATTAATAATATTTTTATTAGACAAAATCCATGTAGAAATATAGAAATTATATATATTTGAGATTTAAAGACACTTTTATTTAGTTTTATAAAAAAAAAATTTTTTTGTTTAAAAAATTGGCTAAAGCGTGTATAAGTTTTATTTTCACAACTACTAAGTTTCGGCTTACATCATCATCAGGTTGATGATAAACAATGTAATTAAATGGCTTACATAATATAATTTAAAAAAGGAACAATATACATTTTAAAACAAAAATAAACAGCCGTTATAATATCAAATAAGTGTGTATGTATGTTTTATAACAAATCGATAGCAAAGAAATTTGATTAAATAATGATGATGGAGTAAGTCAGAACTTAGTAGTTATGTAAATAAAATATACATACGCTTTATGTCAATTTTTGAACAAACTTTTTTTTTTTTTTTTTTTTTTTATATAATTTATAATTGATGGTGATTACTAATATTTGAAATATTTTCTGAAGTACATTTTTTTTTAACAAAATTTTAATTACATTTAATTTATCAGAAATGTTCAAATTATAAACTTGTATTCTAGTGACATTTTATGTTTTTTTTTTTTTTTTTAAACCTGTACTTATTTTTTAGCAAATTACAAAGAAAATGAAATGAATTCCGAAGATGATGTTGACGAGGAAAATGAAAATAGTGATGAAATGAGTTCAGATGAAGAATTAGTAGATGATATTGAGAACAATTTAGATAATGATATGAGTGATCTAAAAGAAGAAAATGAGATTTCCGACGATGAAGAAACTAAAAAAGTTCTCATTGAAAAAGAAAAAAAGAAAACAACAAAATTATTTACCCAGAAGTTAAAAGAAAAAAAATTAATTATGGATGAAGCAAGAAAACAGTTGCCTTTTACTTTCACAGGTAAATATATTTATAGTGGAATTTTGATATCACCTTATTCTATGGATACATGTGGATAGTAAACATATTATTATTATTATATTTACTATTGGCATTATTGTTTGTATATGTTTTTTATAGTATTTACATTTTTCATTAAAGAGATACTTCTACACTATTGTATGTGTATAAAATTATCTATTTTAAAAAGGTTTTGAGTGGGTTTCAATCTGAACATTCTATTTTTCCATCTGAAATAATTTAAACTATGATGTACAAACTTATTAAATTAATAACATTTTTTAAAAATGTTATTTATATGAAATTACCAATTTCTTAAAAGACTTAATTTTATAATTTATAATATAAATTGATAATTAATTATTATTTGATTTTGATTAATCTAATATTTATTTGTATTAAACAATAATCGATTATGTGTTCTTTCAATTTTATTCAGTATCAAATATTTATCAGAGAATTGGTTTAGAACGTTTAGATTTTGAAGTATTTTTAAATTTGTAGTGCCTGAATCTTATGAAGAATTTGAAGAAACATTAGAAAATAAAACTATTGCAGAGCAAATAGTTATTATTGGACGAATGATCAAAGTTAATCATCCAAGTTTAGGCAATGATAACAGATCAAATTTACAACGCTTCTATCCTTATCTTTTACAATATTTAAATGATAATTCACATTCTATAGTGAGTTTTAAATTTGTATATCAAATAATTTTTGTAATCCATGTAATTTATTAATATTAATATTTGTCATTTTAGGATGGCTGGAAGATACTTAATTCATTATCTCCATATTTGTATGATCTAACACAGTTCTTCCCCGAATATGCAGCCAAATGTTTAATTGAAGTCTTAAAAGAAAAACATACTGACTTTGTTCAGTCAACACCAAAACAAATAACTTCAGACATGGTAATGTAGAAAAAATTGAAATATTGTAAAACCCAATATACAGTAAGAAATAAATGTCTTTTTTTATAGTTGATTTTTTTAAAATTGGTTCCACTATTATATCCACCATCTGACTATTATCACCCAGTTTGTACTTGTGCTGTTATGATAGCTTGTGAGATATTATCATTAACTAGGATTAAAAACCGTTCAGATATAGCATTATGTTTATTGTTGACAACAATTTTATTAGAAGTAAGTGTTTAATTTGAAAATTTTAATAAAACTTGTATGTAGTTATTATTTTATAGTTTATTAACTTTCTATTTTGGCATTATATTATTCATTAGTATATTCAGTTGTCTAAAAGATACATACCAGAAACAGTAAATATATTACGAGGCTTTTTATTGATGGCAACTGAGAACAGCTCTGTGAGTTATGTACAACAATTTAGACCTAATATGAAAATGTTGATTATTCAAAATAATGAAATTCCCACTGAATGGCCAACCAAATTAAGCATACATGAAATATTTAATGAAAGAGACATAGACAATACTTTTAAACTGACTTCATTGTATATCACATTAGATTTAGTGTGTAGATTTTGCAAATTATGTGAAGGTATACCAAGTGTTCAAGAAATTTGGAATCCACATTTGTCAATCATAAATTCACTCCGGGTAATTTTTTATTGTCATTAATTTTAATATTTGTTAAGAAAACATTTATTTATTTTTTGTGCTCTTTATTATTTTTATATGTCTGTATTAAATATATTAATTTATTTTATACTATTTAGATCGAATCTGACAAAATGAATGAGCAAATTGATAAAACAAAAATACAATTACAGATTATTGACAAAAAACTAGAGAAACTTCAGACTTTATCAAACAAACCAAAAGCACTACGATTATATGAGCCTAGAATCCAAAAAATGTATATACCTGTTTAATATTTGTATAAAAATAAAACAATACTATATTGTGATTTAATGCATCATACATATTTTATTATTTAACAGATACGATGGTCGTACATTTAAAATGCAATCAAAAGAGAAAGCTGAAAGGTCAAAACTTCAGCATCGCATTAAACGTGAAATGAAATCTGCTGTTCGTGAAATTAGAAAAGATAATAGTTTCTTATCTAAACTTAAGTATCATGAACAAACTAAAAGGTTAATGTCTATTTATATTTTTATGTATTATTATTTTTAATGTATCTAATTTTAATAATTATCAATATTATTATTTTTTAGTGATATGGAGAGGCGTCAAAAAGTCAAACAGATTTACAGTTGGGGTGCAAATCAAGCTCAGGAAATTAATAAAATGGACAAAAAAAATAAAAAATAAATTTCTTTAGTTAAATATTTTTAATTAGGTATATGCTTATATATTTAATTTAAATTTTATAGTACAGTTTTTTTATAAGTAATTTTATTGTTTTACACAATCATTAAATTGTATTTAATGTTTTAAAAATACAATATTATTGATGTAGAGTATTATTTTCTATATTTTATCATAACAAATGTATTACTATAATTAAAATCAAATTTTAAGTATTAGATTCTGAATAGAGAGATAAGTGTATTGGTTTTACTATACTATAATCTTATTTATTTCTCATGTTGGTGGGAAGTAGGAGAGGTTTTTTTTAAAATCGTAAATTTTGTAATAGATACTATTATTAATTAAAACAATTAGCAAACTGTTTTTTCCCAATTACTAAGAAAATTACACATAAAATAAAACAAATGAATTACGAACTATACTCTATTTGGAATAAGAACAGTAGTCGGTGGCTACAAGCTTTTGTTGCCAAAGGTCAAAGTCACTCCCATTCTTATAATATTCACTCCCTTGGACAGCAGTGCCAGCGCTCCGTGCGTGTAGAGATGGCTACGCCTATTCGCACAACTTGGCCACTGATTACTGTTCTTATTCCGAATATAGTATAGACAACATTTTCTGTCAGAAAAGATGCTTGATACTCTTGAAATTTAGAGGATGATTATTTATATAGATTACTTATGAAAATAAAATTGATTTTTTTTTTCTGGTTTATCCTAATTAGGAAAACGATTTGAAAAATCAAAAAAATGACTTCTTCAATGCTCCTACTAGATCCAAAATGATACAAAAAAGCGTTAGTCTTTTTTTGATTGGAGCAAGATTTCTGGTAGAAGTTGTACACAGATAGAAAAATACAAATCACATATAGCAAAACTAAAACATAGATATATTGAATAGAACAAAAGTTATTGTATTTGTTAGAACACTCTAAAACAAGTAGCTTTTTTATTCTACTTTGAAAAATACACGAGTACTTTTTAAAATAATATCACCATACGGCACATGATTATAAATTAATTAGGTACTTACCTATTTTGTATTATGTTAAACTTTTGTAAGTAACTATAGATAAGTAGGTTTATAATAAATTATGAGTATAATTTATACATTATAGCTGTAGCAAGTTGCATGAATAAATAAATTAATAGTCATACATCATGATCGCTATGTTAGAAATATAAACAAAAATACACACAGGACCAGATTAACATAAAAGACAACCTCAATCTAATAAAAAAAAAATATTTCTTAGAACATAAATCCTTTTAACCAATTTATTTACCAATTTTATATGTCTATGTACAAATGTATAATGGATCAATTCAAAAGTTGTTTAAAGATAACCTAAAGAAAATACTTCACTCAACTGAAATTGAATAAATTACTGTTTTCCAATTAATTCAACATTATGTAATCCCATGTTTCACATATTCACAAAAGCTACCATTATTTTGTACAAAAGATTCTAGATATTCGCTTATGATTATTGTATTTAATTGTCCTGTCCTTTTTCTTCAAACTCATACTCTGTTTTACTTCTTATCCTTAGTCTTTTTCCTTTAAGTGCTATTTTTTATTTCTCAAGCCTACTGTTAACTTATTCCAGATTTTCTCCTAGGTATCAAAATTATATTATCTGCTAAACCTCCTCTCATATGCAAGAAGAGATAATCCGTAAAATTCTTGTTCAGAATTATTCCTCATACTGGTTGACAGAATTTTTTATCAGCTATCAACTTGACGCAACCACAATTATTGCCTCTTATGACAGTGGATAGGTAAAGTTTCTGTAGGAGTATTCTAATCCTCTCCCACGGGGAGCATGTTAAAAATAATGTAAATATGTAACAAAAATGATATTATAATATAATGTAAAGTTTCATCTCCCAAATACTTATCGAATGTTTTAATGACATTCGGCTAATTCCGAGCTACCTATTTTTTATAATTTTACAATAGCAAAAAGCTAATTTACAAAAATAAACATTATTTAATATCAGTATTTATGTTCAAAAATAATTTTAACTAAATAGAATTTTTTTTTCTAGTAAATGGAAAATTTAATTCACAGATAGGAATTACATCCATAATAGAAAAGAGCTGATACTAGGGATGGGAGCGGCCACTGTTATAGGTGAAAAATTGGTAAGATAGGATATATAAGGTTATTTCATTTAAATCTGTAAATAACGATAAATTGTTGCTTGACGAAAGACGATTGCAAGCTCAGTTCATTTAATACATGATTTGAAGTGCCGTAATTTTGTTTGCAATTTTTGTTTAAATTTGATTTCAAAACATTTATTAAAAAAAAAATCGTCCGATAATTTTGAAAATTTTACCACGTCTAGGTAAATCTAATATAAGTATTATTACCAAGTTTCAAGTCTAGGTGTATTTATAACCGAATTCCAACAAAAAAACTCCCAAAAAATTATCTCCCTTAAAAGCTCAAAAGTTTTGGCGATGATACCGTAAGTTATGAAATATAGGATGATACCGTTTTTTGTGGTAGAATACGTCGTCCGTGTTTTTAAAAAATAATGAAGTCGTGAAATTGTACATTTTCCTACGTTTTTTTTTCACTAAAGTGCTTTTATTTAAAAAATGGGGTCGAAAATCAAAAAATTACCTCTTCAAAGGATAATCTGAATAACTTAAGCTTTCAGAAAAGGTGTTACACGTAAAGATCGAAGCAAGTTTACAAGAAAAAAATGTGTTCACAGACAAGAAAGAAAGAAAAAAAAACATCAGAAATAGTCAAAACCAATAGATTCCTCAATACGCTCGGAATCTATAATAAAATCTGCTGGCCACAGCGGAATTTGCTGGGAAAAGAGGTGGAGAAGTCCACCCGGGCCTGTAGGATTATTAATAATTTGAGTTGCTACGTACATCATGTGAGATTTTTTTTAAGTTTATCGTTATGAATAAAACTGATTTGGTATTAAAACAGAGTACAGAAACCATCTAAAAGTAGGCACCCAATACATGCTATATATTAGAGCACGTTTATCGAATTCGGTGATATTTTCTGTGACAAAAATCTATGGTGAAAATTATGTACCTAAACCTAATGATAACACGTTATCAGCAAACAATGGCGGTTTTACCATAGACTTAACTTATAATATTGTTGCCGTCTTAGTTTTGTTGTATTTAGTGCCTTTTGTAGTTTTGTTGATTCACTACATATAGCCAATTTTTTTAAATATGGAATCAATGAAAGAACTTTTAAAAAGCAAAAGAAACGTTAATTTAAACAAAAGAGATGAGAAATTGCTGGTCGAGTTGGTGATAAAATACCAACTAGTTATGGAAAATAAAAAACCGTGATTGGTAAGTATATATTATTTATGTTATTAGCATTGTTTTTTTAAAATAAAAAAAGATTTTTTTTTTAGCTATGCCTGAAGAATGTGATGACTCTACAAATCTTGTTGACGTTATTGCTGAATAAAATTTGGATATTATACACAAGTACAGAGGCTTAATAAGTTGAATTAAATATATAAAATAATCTAATCTAACTAGTTGTTTTTAGTATTAATTAATGAACGAAATATTTTACATATTTCGAACAAACAAGTTTTTATGTTTATATTTTAAACTATAAACAAAAAATTAACTTCTACTTTAACTTAAGTTACTATTTTCACGAAACTAACTTCTAAGTTAAAAATTTGGAAAATTTCAAAAATTAACTTATATTCTAGCTTGGTTAGTTTTTGTATTAAAGTAACCTTAACTTAACCTTAACTAGTTAAATAAAATTACTAAATTGCCCTGCTTTAAATGTTGTTATACATTACATTTATAATATTATTATTGATATAAAATCGACTTATTTGGTATGTTTTGTACGTATCTTTTTTTTTAAAATAATTTTCTTCTATTAACTTAAAGATGACCCTGAACCTCCTATACAGTCAACTACAGTTTATATAGTTGCAGCTAGTATACTTATTGACAAACAACTGACATTGCTTATTGATAAAGGTATGTTTGACTTAGATATTTGTACAATAATATAATATTATAAAACTTATATAAATCTTAAAATGTTCTTTTCTCAAAGTTGCAAGTACCAGTTGAAAATCGCTGTAGAATGTTGTAAAACCTCAAAATTTAAAACTGAGGAAAAGTACTCCTTTTGGAAGCAAAAGTGAGTTAAAATCCATTTGCAAGTTCAGATTCTAAAATCATTCTGTATAACATTATTTTATATTTTTAGACAAATGTTCCAAGAGTAGGTCTGAAGAGGCAACAAACTTAATGCAGCGCCGAGATAGACTTGTAGAATTACAAATTAAATGTTTAAAATAAAATATTCAAATAATCGAAGCCAAGAAAAGGACTGTTGCCTTAGAAGAAAAAAAAATGTTAAAAATAGAATTACTGGAAAAAAAAAATGAAGAACTCAATAATAATAATAACAATAATTGTATATTTAAAATACATTTTAATGTTAATATAATAATAATAAAAGGCCATAATTTCACTATAAATTGGCAAAGTGATCCCTGATCAGAGCATCTTTTTTTTTGTCTACTAATGCACCATTTGGAATTTTATTGTGTATATTGATACAGATATTATAGATAACACCACATGCCACAATTATTACTTGTGTATTAATTATGTTTGCTGTTATTCCTTTGCTGAGCACAGGAAGCCTTTGTTTGAGAACACCAAAACATCTGAAGAATTATAACAAATAACGTTAATATGTTAAATAAGCTTATATAGGTAATAATTAAAACAATGCGTGTTTTCATTTCGCCGCCATCATGTTAAAAGTAGTATAAATTCACTTTAGCTACCCAACAGGCTTTTAATTTTTTTTTTATGTAACTTGTATTTTGTTGAGTTATAAAAATAATTTTAATTAAAAAAAATCTATAAAAACCATTAGGTAGTTTTGAAATTTGCGATTTACTATCTTTAAATTGTATTTCTTGTTCTGATGTGGCTTTCATTGTACAACTGATGGCTTTGTGTGTCGGCTCAGCAGAGGTGTCATAATATAAGGCTTTACTTTATAACCACAGTCTCCTAATAGGTATTTTTTTATGACCCCCATTTTAAATTTATGTTTGATTGAAGAGTTATCAAAAATAATCTGATCAAGACATGACCTCGGCCATCACTCCACTATATCCTTAATTTTAGGCTATGGATTACAAATACATTGACGGAAAAATAACTTTTTCTGATTAGAATGTTTCTAAATTATTTTCATCTTCAAAATTCATGACAAACCATGGTTTAATCATACAGGGCACATCAAATAATAATAGTATTTTATGACTATGTACCTAATTAGTAGTTAATAATTTTTTTTTTTGCCTATGTACCGGGTGATTGAACTGTTATATGAGTGCAATTCACAGCTCTCACCACTCTAGGAAATTTACTAAAATCGTAAAATTCACTGATTACTTTCCTCATGTCAACTGCATTTTTTGTAAAATAAATTAATTTTGATTTGTACCTTGATATGGCTCTACAAACTTGATCAATATATCGACAAGCTGAGGATTCACTGACACCAGTAAAGTCTGCGACAGTTAACAAAAACGATCCTGTTGCAAGGTACCTTGGCATCGTGTATAATTTACATGGTGCTAATATTGCTTTGTTCCTGAAACGAAAAATAATATCTTAGGTGGAAGAAAAGGAAATTTAGTAATAAGGATGATTGTTTTTTTTTTTTTTTTTTTTTATAGAAACTTTATTTACTGTACCTAATTAAAAGTTACCTTTGAGAAGGCGGAGGTGTACCTAGCTTCCATCTATCTCGAGAGAGTGCCACACGTTTCTTTGGGCGAAATCTGTTCATTAAGTCACGGTGGTCGAACAATTCCATATAGATGACTCGCTCCCGAAAAATTCGTTGTCGTCTTTGCATTGCAATAACCACTTCTTCAATGTCGTTCTCGTCACCATAATCGAAAACATTATGCGATTCATGTTACACGACGATTGACGACAAGATAAAAACAAACAAATAAATGATAACCCACAGTTAGCTTGTCATTACCTATTAATATCGGGAGTTAAAATCCGGTAGTCAAGAATTACCATTAACCAGAAGTTACCGCCAACCCCAGGCGGTGAAATCACATTTTATCGGTAACCGGAACATTTAACCTCAACACTCGATGGTGAAACCGGCCTATAATAATACTCGCTACCTATTTTTAATAAGTAATTCGCAATAGATAGCACTTTGTAATTTGTTTTCATTTTGTCTTTTGTTTTAAATATTACATGATACGTTTTCAAAAATAAATAAAAAACTATTCTAGTTGTAAAACGAAGAAAATAAAAATCAAGAATTCAAGGGTCGAAAACCCCGTTAAAGCGGAGCGGAAAAGCGTCGCATAAGACGATGATTGCCGAGTTACTTATTGCAGGAGATGACGTTAATCAAAGAAAGCTCAACTTTTTTTAAAACCAAGGTAAGACGTTTAACGTTTTTGTAGAATATTTTAATGCTAGATCTCGATTGATTATCTATTTACCTAAATATAGGATTTACAGTAATATTTTAGACAGGTACCTTAAACGTCGGTATTCGATTTTAACATTTCCTTCTCCGCCCGGGTCAAAATACTCCCGGTCCGCCACTGTTCCAGGCTACGGCCCATGTAGCCTAGTTCTAAACCCGGCCCCGAATACATGTAATCCGTGCAACACGAAATACACCTACGTAGCTATTGTTATACCGTGTTATCAACGGTGTAAAATGCGGATCGTACCTGTTGGTTCGACACCGTCGTCTTGTATTGTATTTGATTTTATGATTTTGTCCCGGATTCTTCTAGTAACGTTGGGATTCCATTAGCCATTGTGTTTGATAATATTTACGCACACGTCTGTAGTGCCTACCCGTACGATACCGCGTGAACAGAGTGGACAATACGCCTAGTAGAAAAAAGAAAAGTTTATTATGTTCTCTGCAATTATAATTGAAGGTCGGATGTAATTGATGTTGTACATTTTTTTTTTTTGCAACAAGGATAAATCGGATCCGATTAAACGCGCAGCCGGTACACACCGAACGTATTCCGCATGTTTAATTTTATAATGCAATTCACCCGCGTATTTAAATCGCAGTCGTTCGCCGTTCGTCGGGAATTTTTCTAAGAAGCACGGCGAGCCCGCCGACCGATAAGCGTCCATGTGTGCGTATACGCGCGTACGGCGGCGATTAAATTCGACGTTGTCGATTGCGATTCGCGCGCGCGTTTACCCGTCGGTACCGATTCCCTCGGATCGGTTTGACCGCGCGGCGAACGTGTTCGACGTAAAACGTCGAAAACGTAAAACGTGAAACGTTTCGAATTTGATCGCCAGTTACAACGCAAAATGAAAAAGTGTTTTCGTCCGACGGAAAGGTTGCACGTTGTCTCGCGTGTGACGAACCTGTGTCCGCCGGGAAAGAATACCCGTTCCGAAACGTGTAAGTTTCGTATTTTATTGTTCACACTGCACGCAGTGTACTACGAAATTATTTCGAAAAATACGCGTATTTTTTTATTATTTTTTTTTTTTTTTTTTTTTTTTTTTTTTGGTTCAACGCGTAAATGCGTTACAAAGGAATAAAAAAAAAAAAAAAAAAAATACGGCTTGTGATTATTTCTCGAAATTCGAATCCTAAAAATGTATTTTTTGAAGATTTATGTAATGCATTTGTTGTTGCGAATATTCCTGTGCATAAGCCGGGCAATCATGTGTTAAAACCATTTTTGGAATAACACACTGGCAATACACTTCCGGACGAAAGCGCTTCAAGAAAAAATCGCATGCCGAATACTTCTAATAACGTTGTGGACCAAATAATTAGTGGTATTGGAAATAATTACGTTTACATAACTGTTGACGAAAATCAACCGATCCAAGTGGTTTGTATAAATAATTTTTTTTAAATTCTCATATAATAAAATACACTATTTTCGTTTGGGTTCGGCGAATTTATCAATTGGTAAATTAGATGGGACGCCTAGTAAATCATATTTAGTTGTGTGTAAGGAACTAGAATCCACCGATTATTAAAATATTTGTCAGTTTATTAATTCCTCGTTAAAAATATTCCCTGGTTTTGAACAAAAATTATTACATTTCATTAGTGATGCTGGTACTTATATGATCAAAGCAGCAAAAACATTAAACAAGTTTTTCCCGAAATTGATTATTCATATTACATGTATGGCGCACGCAGTTAATAGAGTTAATAGAGAAAATTCGAGAATTGTATCTCGACATTAATAAATTGACTAGCAGTAATTATATATTAAGTACCTATTTAAAATTTAAATACATATGTAACTTATTTCGTTTATTTGAGGAAAAAACGCATTCCTAAAAGCGGCATCGAGAATAAATAAATACAGAAAAGAAATGCCGGGTATACCTTTACCACCCGAACTTTTTATTACAAGATGGGGAACATGGTTAAATGCTGCACTTTTATGTACAAATAATTTTGAAAAGTTTAAAAATCTAATAAAGAACGACTGAAAAGCATGGATATTTTTAGACAAATTTAAGATATTTTAACAAATATTTCTGGTCCAAATGGGGAAAAAAAATTAAAGAAAAATGTATGTATGCAATTGAACAAAAATGAAGGGTATGTAACTTTAAAATCTTATTGTGACGTCATGTCAGGTAAAGCAAATGTTAATTTAAATATAACGTCTACTTTATTAAATTGTTTTAAATATGCACCAATAATTACTGTAGACGTAGAACGTAGTTTTTCTTTGTACAAACATCTTTTAAATAATAGAAGATATAATTTTAATAAAAATAATTTAGAAATTTATCTAATTATCAATTCTAACTTTTGCATTTTTATAGTGCATTTTTTACGTATTTTTTGGTGCAATTATATAATTTTAATATGCAACTTTTGTGTGTTTTAAATGCAATTAAATCCGGTCTTTAATTATAATTTAAGGAGAACGCCTCGCAGCTTGTATTAATTACAATTGCTTTTGCCCCGACTTGATAGGCTAACACGAGGAGTAATTTGCATTGTACGAGTTTATTACCTACCTACTTATATTATAATTCCGGAAGAACAGAAATGGGTACGAATCGTAATTCAATTCAAAGCCGTTTAATTGTTTTTTTTTCTTAAATCGTTTTTTGTTAATCGTTATACGCGTGTTACGGCGTGACAATCTCTAGGCATTTTGTTCCGTTGGATTGTTCAAATTTACATTTTTTTAAATTTTTTGTTTTAAGTAATATTATATTTTCGAATAAAAATGCGATTGCCACGTCCATTGTTAGTATACCAGTATACTCGTACATCTAACCTAACAACCTATACAAATTATTTTGCCATTTTTTTTTTTAATTAAAAATGCCACTATACATAATTACCTTGTTTTCGTATAGTCTTATCTCGCTTCGTTTAGCCTACTCTTTTTATGTTTCCAATTTGTACGAACGATAATAATTATCACATTCGAGCATAGATAATATAATATAGGTACGGGGTAGGACAGTGAAACGGGCGATTTTAAAACAACTACACAAAACCAACAAGTATTTTTTTCTAACAAATTTATTTTTATATACCATCTTTAATGTATGTAACTTAGTATCAAAAAAGTATTTATTTTTTAAATTTAATTGTTAAAAATTATATTCGCAAGCTGACGTTTATCCCGAAACATTCGTTAAGGCCGAGTGATTTGTGCCATCTCTTCTTGTATTCTTAGTTGAGACCGTTAAATGTCGTCGGCGTTTTTTGATACACTTTACCACAAAATACATCCACAGAAACAAAACCAAGTGAACAGAAATTTGAAAGTAAATAGGAATAGGAATATAGGTACATAAGTGGCGTAAATAGAACGTTTTTAGGGGTAGGGGCTATAATGGGCAGTGGTTTTAAAAAGTGAGGAAGTGGAGAAGATACGTCCGGAGTTTTATTTTAGTAACACAATCGTGTGAGTGAAATAAGTTAAATTAAATTTATTGATCAGCATTCCTGTAAGTATTAAAGTATACGCGGAGGTAAGCACGTATTTAGGATCAATTTTCGGGAGGGGGGAAGAGTTAAAATATTTTTAATATATGAACTTATAGTTAGTCTTTGTTAAATTATAAATATATACCTACTTTGAAAATTTCGGGGTGGAATTTGAACCCCTAATCCCCTTTCCCCTCTGTGTACGGGCTTGAGTGGAGATAGGTATATAGAAAGAATAGCTAGTCCCTAACATTGATTATAAATTATCGTTATTAGACACAGTACAGAATGAAGAACTTAAATAAAATTTTAACGGATCACTGGCGTACTTTTAAATGCGTTTGTTGGAACTATTTGTGGGAACTGATGACTGATAAGGGATTGTTGTCGATATGACACACCGATAAAATATTGAACTATTAAAAACTAACTAAAACAGAAATTAATAATTTATTGGTATTGTAAGATCGTTATTATTACGATATAATATATTATATTTACGTTATTGATAGGACAGCAGAGACGATACGCATGATGGTTTTATGAGTATATATATATCACTTAAAACCTTCTGGGGAGGAGGCTGCGGCATATTGTGCCCCCTTCCTTATACACATATACGCTACTGAGTTATAATATCTTGTGTGATATTATATACCTATTGTGTCCTGCAAAAGAACGATATAGTTATGTAGGTATATAGACGTCCGTAGACTTTTCCAGGGGGGGGCAAACATAATTTAAAAATAAATGACGATTTTGGTTTCTAGAATAAATTCTTAACTTTAATACATCATAATTATTAATATAGGTATTTTTGCTTAAATTTATTAGTTTTTGTTAAACACAAATTTTTTATCTACGTAGACATTATTTACCACATTGTTTTAGTGCTTTTTCAATTAATTGGTCTTTCTCTGAATTTATTTGTTTGCGATGAACACTTAACATGCATCTCCCGATTCTATCCGAAAGTTTATAAGATCATAAAAATGCCCGAAGTTGATATTTTATCACGTAAAGGAAGATCATGAGTTGCAAAAAATAATATGGTTGAAGTTATTGGTTTTAATTTTGTCTATTATTTTCTTTTTCTTTTGGTAAGCCAGAATTTCCTGTTCAAGAACATTTATTTTGTTATCTTTCATAACATTTGAAAAATCGTTTGCTCGTGTTGTAGACTCTTGATGCCATTGTGATGATAGATGTGTTTGACTGCAAGCATGGAAATCATTATATCTGGTAATGGTTTTATTATAACTCACCTTGAATACGTCTATGGACATTAGGCTTAAATAAAACACATACTCGACAAAAAGCTTCTTTATGTCTTCAATAGCCGAATATGAGAGCCATGAATTATTTTCTTCCAGCCATATGTGTCTAAATGGATGAGCACCTTCTGATTTTAGATCATTTTTAAAATTTTAAAAAGTAGATGGCACCCATTGATTACACAAAATATCTAATTTTAAAGCATCGTCAATTTTTTTAACTTTTAAATAGTGTCCTATATCGTTTTTATAGTAAATTACATCTTTGTTATCAACATGTTCTATAATAGCGCCAATTTGGCTCGACTTAATAATATTAATTGTACTGGTTGAACTAGTCGGACTATTTAGATTATCTAGCTTAGTTGTTTGTAACATTGGATTTACTTAGTTAAATATTGTTTGTCTATTAAGACTGTTATTAAATTTACGTTTTTGAAAAAAGTTCCCGATGTCTATAATATTATTAATTTAGAAATTTTACTTTAATAAGATTTGTGTATTTTACTGTAGAAACTTGTAGAAACACAAAAACAAAATAATAATGAATTGATTTATAAAACATTATTAAATACTGTTTGTAAATACTAATTTATCACTATACGTAAAATTTAACAACCGTACAGTCTACACTCTACAGTTAGTTTACACGCGTTTCGGTTGATAACTGCTATGGAAATATACCAATCTATATAATCATGGTACGAATGGCGAATAATTGCTCAAGCATATCAACCTACAATATGATAAGCTTTTACATATTACAAATATATTTTAAAATTACATATAAAACGTGCGGCGCGAGGCAATTTCTTCAAAAACCATTGAGCCTCAACATTCGGTTCAGCAACGGCTGAGAAATCACTACATGACACGCTATCATACTACTGTATATTTTATATTAATACAAAAATGCCTTTTATTGCCCCACTCCCCCCCCCCCGGAGACGCCCATAGGTATATTACTGTACTATAATATAATAATCATTAACATAAAAGTATATAATATATTAATATATATATATATCACACACACACATACATACGGTTTTATTAGGTATATATATTAAGAAAAAAGAAAAAAAAATGGAAGATGGGTAAACCGGAAACAGTATTTTCTCATATAGAACATATGTATTATGGGCGTACTAATATATCCGACGCAATAGAATACGAGTACGATACGCGAGTATATTGGTGGTACCTATCCTACACATATAATATCGGAGTGCCCGGGAGAAATACACGGTTTTTATATATATCGTATATAAATCTCGGCGAGACTATTGTAAATTGTTTTTTTTTTTTCTCTAGCCGAGAAAAGTGTATTTCGCATTTTTTTTTTTTATATACATATATCGAATATCCGTATGTATATATATATATATATATATATATATATTATGCGACACACGTACGCGTAGTGTTATAACATATATATATATGGGTAGGCACGTTAATAAAAATATATATGAAATGCGCGATACACTTTTGATTACGGTCTGAGGAATACAATTATTTTCGTATGCTCGCATCAAACTTCGCCCACAAGAGTAAAACGGTAACAATAACGCATTCCGTATAACGTACATAATATTACATAGACGGATAAAACATGTGACGTTTGCTTACGGTTACGGGTTAGGTAAGGACATAATATTTTACGATCACAATACGTATGGTATATAAGGTATAAATAGCACGTGCATCATAATCTAATAGTTTCACCGGTGGTTCCGCGTTGAATTTTCAATATCATTTTTTTTCTTCTCGTATTTTGTCGTTGCCCGTTCGAGAAATTAATAATCTTTTTGTGAAAAACGTATGCTATTCGGCGAACAGATACCTATTTAGTCCGTTTCAAATATTATACATTTTCGCCCAGCAAACAGCGTGCGCAAAAATTCTCTATAGGCGTTTCGAATGATAATTCGTCTCCCTTCCCGTCTCTCCCAATATGCTTGTATACATGTTTCAATATACATTTTAAACTTCCATACGATAACGGCATCCGATCACCTTAACAAAATATCGGATGGGAGAATTCAACGCGGAGATAACATTATTATTGAGTGTGATACCCTGTCTATGTCTATGTCTATGTCGTACGAACAAACGTAAAAAAGACAATTTCACGTTTATCAGAGATAAGATTGTGCCGTTGGCAGGGCCGGTGTTACGACATCCGAGGCCCTGGATAAGTTAATTTTTGCGAGTTTTTTTTTTTTATAGCGTATCACTCCTCTCATCTTATAATTGCGATAATAGTGCGGACGTTGTACAGATACCGTTCTCGTTATCTGTATATTTGATAATGGGTCAGTCAGGCATGGATTCAGAGGAAAGATCTGGGAGGGGGGGCAACAATCTTTTTACAACGAATACAAGTACATTGTAATATAATATATTGATATACATATTTGTGGTTGGAATATAGTGATGTCGGAATCTTTATAAAAAAAAATGGAGAAATAATATGTCTGGAGGGGCCTGAGCCTCTAGACCCCCTCCCCTCGATCCAACCCTGAGAGGTCAGTTCACTCTAACAGTGTTAAAACCAACAGCGCAATATCGTCCCTGCTGAACGCAAATTATTGTCATGCCGTGCGTTTGTAGGACGGAGACAGCACGTGCGGGTATCACTTTTCCCCTAAAGATAACGCAGTAATATAATACATACAGTGTGTCCCACCATGTTCGACGGATTTTTCTAGTGCTGTTAATATTACATTTTTTTCGATTTTTTTGCAATCGGTTTGTCTTTGAGGAGGACATCGATTTGGGGAAAAATTCAATTTTTATTTTCATCCCTTAAAGATGAAAAAAAACAAATGACTTTTCATTTATTCACTGTAGAAAATGTTCAAAATAGTCATTTTTTAAATAATATTGTTCAAACAATTTTAACGTATCACGCATTCATATCCGATGAAAAATTTCTTACTTTCAATTACGCGTGAAAACAATTAACAATCAATAATCGGCATATACTACAATCAGCACGGCAATTCTTTACCCATCTACTATTGAATTTTAATTGTTTCATGCTTATTTTCTAGAAATGAAAACGGCTATAAATAAAGTTATTTATTTATTTTTTTTCGTATTTAGGGGATGAAAATAAAAATTTAATTTTTTTCCAAATCGAAATCAAACCGATTGAAAAAAAAAAAAAAAACCAGAAAAAAATTTAATATTAACAGTCGCTTGAAAAATCCGTTGAACATGGTGCGCTACACTGTATAGTCTTATAATTTAATTACGATTATTATTATTATTATTGCACGGGGAGAGGTTTTGCGGGTTACAGTGTATATTATCGTGGCGAACCGTATACATCCAAATAATAATTATTGTCCGGCGGCGGCGGTTTAGCCGGGCGCGTTTGCCACCGCGGCGGCGGCGGCGGCGCGACGCCTAAAGCCGTTGTACACCTTGGGCGTGACGGGACTGCCGAACGGGTCGCGGTGGACGGCGGCCGCGGCGGCGGTCTGTGCGGGGGCGCCTTGCTTCCCCGCGGCCGCGGGCACGCCGCGGCCGCCGACGCTGTCCCGCCGGGTCCGCCGCACGCCGTCGCCGCCGCCCGCGGTCCCGATGTCGGGCAGAGAGCGCCGGCCACCGCCGCCGCTGAAAACCGAATCGCGGTCGCCGCCGCCGCTCGACGGGCGGTGTCCTTCGTCGCCGTCGTCGTCGTCACCGTCGTCGTCGTCGTCGTCGTCGTCGTATTCGTCGAGGCTGTCGCGTGATTTTCGCGGTATGTCGAACGCCTGTCGGCTGATGATGGACGCGAGCGTCGACGCCGCCGAGTTGAGCCCCTCGTCGATCCCGTAGGGTCGCCCGTTGACCGGTGACGGCGGCGGTCGGTCGATCGGCATTCTGCGGGCCAAAAGAAAAAAAAAAAAAAAAACGACAACCACGCATTACGATTATTTTCGGATACGGTTGGGTTAGGTTAGGTTCGCGCAACAGCTCGCGACGCACACTTATCGATGACCAATCGAATATTTGTGAAAATATCCACGACGATAATGTAATATACTATATAACGCCGTATAGTCGAAACAGTTCGCGTTTTAACGCGAAAATCCCCGTATTATTTCGTAGGAAATAACAATAATTGTTCATCAATAATCCTATGACAGGTTTGACGTTAAAAACTCCCGTGCGAATTCGCTCTTATTAATCATCTCGCTGGCAGCATTAGACTAAGAGTGGTGACCCTAGACGAAATATTTCAATTTTTCATTTGGTCGCCGTCTGGACCGTGGCAGTATACGTCCTATCAACCACTAATTCTTCGCTAGGTGACACTAATGTCACTTACTTTATACATTGAAATACGCTCGGATTTGGAAATATTTTTTAGTGCATAGTTTGAAATACAATGGTAACGATATTAATTACGTTCGTCGTGAACAAAATGGAAATTCGTGTACCTATCCGCATTTAAAAATCAGAACTATTTTGCGATAGCCTCAAAAAAAAAAATAAATAAAAAATGCCGGTTTTCTCGAAAGGCTCGAGGCCCCATAGTTCATCCAAGTTTCCCAACCCATTGTGTCGACCTTGAATGTCAACATATACCTATGTACCCTTTGACCCTTTGAATACGATAATTTAGGGTATACGACAATAATATTTTTATATTGTGTTAACACCCATACATTTTGAATATTGTTCGTACGAAAAATAGGTAGATTTATTATTATTTAACTTCCGACAAACGACACTTTTGCGATTCCCAACGCGTGCTGCGTATAACAATAAAAAGTGACACTAGCAGTGTTTTCCGATCTTTTTAAATACACGCCCCCTATTCAGATCCTCGAAAAAAAAAACTCACGGGTCCCTTTCAACATTTTTCAAGTGACCTTTTTTTACCCGACTGCGGATGGATGGAGGGTTAATGTATTAATATTCTTTTTTATTTTAACCACAAAAACAAATTATCGATTCTTCCGATAAAACAAAATAATCTCGTGGCTCTCCACCAACCCCCCCACCTCCTTTCATCGGAGACTCTTCCATTCTCCCGCACGGTTTGAGATTAAACTGATGTAGGTACAATAGCATGATATATATTATGTAATATGTACGATAATCAGCGTTTCTTTCCTTTCGACCACATCTCGCGACCTTTTCTTTAATTCTTTTTTTTCCTCACACGACCACTACGCGATACAGATATAATAATGTAATTCACTTATATAATCCGAACACGGCGTTCGGCCGGAGAAAAAAAAAATCGGCACGTGGACTACGCGGGTAATGATATTTACGACTCTCGAGAATTTCGCACCCCGTGTGCGTGCGGTGCGTTATAATATTTTATGAAACCGACTCGTATTAATATCATGGTGCATGTACATTGTACAGGGTGATTTTTGTTTTTGTTATCACGGACCAGCAATTTATATAAAGCGGTAACCATTTAGATTTCATAATCCAATATCCGTGTTTGGAAAACATTTCCTTGTACTCCGGATACATTCTGAAATGTTATAACGTACGTATTTATCGCGGATATTATTGTTTTTTGTGTAAAAACATTTTAATGACGTTTTCCCGCCATTTTAATCTGCGATTGGGACGCTGTTTTCGGAAACTAAAAAGTAGTTGTTAATATTACGTTTTTATGAAATCCTGAATGATACCAGGGTAATATTTCGAAAATATTAAAATAATAAAATGCGATTTTATGCACGCATCTTACTATACTATACAATGTGTGAAGAACTCGTGTTATGTTATGGTTAGCCAAAAAGTTGATTTTTAATGTCGAATAAAAAGAGTCCTGCTCTTTTTATATTATTAATTAATAAACTATAGATAACCGGTATTTTATGAAAATTAAAGTCGAATTGCCCAAATATTTTACTGAATTTTTGTGGGTCGTTTCTATCGTTTTTTAATGAAAAAAAATTGTTCGATTTTTGTTTTCTCTAGTTCGATTTTCGAGCTAAATTGTATTGGGCAATAATTAGGTTACTTAAAAAAAAAAAAATATAACTAGTGTAGACGTAGAACGTAGTTTTTCTTTGCACAAATATATTTTAAGTAATAAAAGATTTAATTTTAATGAAAATTATTTAGAAATGTATCTAATTATCAATTTTAATTAAAAAAAGTAACATTTATCTAATTTTCTAACTCTTGCATTTTTACAGTGCAATTTATTATGCAACTTTAAGGTATTTTTTGGTGCAATTATATAATTGCATATTAATGCAACTTTTATGTGTTTTAAATGCAAATAAATTCGGTCTTTAGTTATAAGTCATAATATTGTAATATATATACTGCTTCACTAACCATTTTGATATTAGGTAGGTATATAATAATAATATGTCGAAACAACTACATTTTAATAATAATATAGTGAATAGAGATAGAGAAATACATTACTATTCACATCAGTCGTCTAAAGCTTAAAATTCGGACATCGACCGAGACGTGGACCCTGGTTAAATTCAAGATTAGCTGGTGTTTGGACATTTTATCACCGTAACAATGATATATTACAACACATCTATCTACTTAACTTAAATCGAATTTTGTAAGTATATATAGATATACTTATAGATAAATACGTTCAAATGAAATGTTTAAAATGTTTTTTTCGGGAAATCGATTAAAATGACGTATATAATATAGTGGCGTATTTTCAAACATTTTTTTTTCGGGTGGTGGGGGGTCTATAGCTATTAACATTTACGTACTGTGAAGGTTTTTAGAGAGGTTTAATATAATAAATGTCTTTGAATTCAAATCGTCTAACTGCTTAAATATTATTCATCAATAATCAGCTTTTCTGTGTAATGAAATCCTTGCCTTTATCGTTGCAGCTTAGAAACTTAATAGCACAACGACACGACTATATGTAAAATTTCTATTCTTATTAGTTATTAATACACTATAAAGCAGGACCATTTAAGTGATTTGTTTTCTTTTTAGATTGTTTAGGGATTCCAGTACCCTTTAGCAGTGCTAGATATAAGGGTAGGTAAGTTCGTATCCTTAATTTGGGCGCTGGGCACTCTTGAGTTTATGAAAAATCAAAATAGCCATGAATAAATTAAAACAAATATATATCCCAAGTTATAATTTATTTCAAATTTTTAAATTTTAAGAGTTGGTATTGTGGGAGCACATTGGGTACTTTTTGTCGCACAACTTTTTTTTTGTGGCTCACTAGTTGCTTCGGTTTTTGAGGACGTGCATACGATGAGCAACTATTTGCTGAAAGAAAATTCATCTCCTTGTGTTAGAGTAGTGCATTTGGGTGCCCACCCTATGAAAAGAATTAATTTTATATTCTAAATTTGTTATTTACGAATTTATTCTAATTTTTAAAGTATTTTTGTCCGATGTTGACGTTATTATTAATTATTTAACTTATTTTTGGATAAAATCCAACCTGACTGGATATTTTGAAATAACTTTTCGTTATTATAAGAATGCGATAATAATATATTAATATAATTATATATTCGCTATTATCAAGGATAGCCGAATATAGTATAAATAGGAATACGATTATGAACTATGAATGCGCGATAAAAATATATATTTTGTATTGTAAAGCTTGATTTAAACTTGTATGGCGCTCCATGACACGGTTTGTCGGTGTCTGTCTGTCAATTTAATTGAAATTTACTTAATTTCTATATGTATCTGTATAATAGAATCAATCAATAAATAAATATGTATGTATTAGGCTGATTTAAAAAAACTTAATAATTGAGTTTTAAATTATACATTTTTTTTAAGTGATGAGAAAAAATAATTTTATGAAAATTTTGATTCGATAACACGCATCCTTCCCGTGCTAAAAAGTGATTAAAATACAAAAGTCCGACTGATAGAAACAAAAATCAAACTAATATCGGTTTAAAATAGTGTAAGTAAGTGCATAAGATCATCGTAATGAGTGCTTAGAAGTCGAAAACAACACAATCAGAAGAGGAAATCAGTTAAAATACCTAGGTGCTTTGATAACACAGCAGAATGAAATAGGCATGGGAATAAGAGCAAGAATCCAAGCTGGCAATAAATGTTATTTTTCTGGCTTAACAAAATTATTACGATCTGGATTAATTTCAAGAAATTTAAAGTTCCAAATATACTAGACACTTATCAAGCCAGTTGTGATATATGGATCAGAAACGTATAGAAATATTTTGTCAGTGTTTGAAAGGAAGTTACTGAGAAAAATGTATGGACCGTGCAAAGATGAATCTATAGATGAATGGAGAATACATAAAAACAAGGAATTCCGGGAATTGTATCAAAGCCTAAGCATTACAGAAGATATCACCAAAGGAAGGCTTAAGTGGATAGGATATTCTCGATATAAAGAAGGATCATTGTTAAGAATAGTACAGGAGAATGCAACACAAAAGACTCGACTACTTGGAAGGCTGAAAATAAGATGAGAAGATAGAGTCAAAGAAGACGCGGAGTAAGTGAGACCAGGATGATATAGAAGGGGTTATTATTGGAGAGAGAAATCTGGAGACAAATTTGTTGGATGATATGGTCTTGAAGGCAAAAGTCATGGAAGAAGTAGAAGAAGGTAAGTGCGTGTTTGTCGTTGTTGGTTGGTCATATGTGAACTGGATGATAATTGTGACTGTTGTGTTGCACCCTACAAGTGTGAATCGGCTTTGTTTTTTGATCGTTTGTTTGTTTCTCCTAAGTATGTAATCATTGTCATTATCTGATAATTATTTGTTAACCGTTAAGATCAGAGATTTTAAACGGTTACTATATAAATTTTTGGTTAGCATTACAACTTAATGGTAATGTAATATTGTGCTTTTGCCTTTTAACCAATTTTATTTCAACATTTTAATTAATCATTAAAATAATTAAAGAAAAGAATTTAAAAAAAAATTAATGAGGCCAAAAATAGAGCTTGAAAAATATTTTCGAAAATCTTCGCTTTTTAAAAATAAAAGAAACCATTAGTAAGCCATTTCATTCACTGTCAATTTTTTCTAAATATTTAATTGTATTAGACAATGCGTCTAGTGGAAGCCTATGTAAAATTTGGTTAAAAATTATTGAATCAATTTGTTACTTTTAAAACATACGCCTATGATTGCTTAAACATGGTAATAAAATAATTGTTTACAAAAAAATTCTTCATTTTCAATGTTGAAATATGAGGTGAGTTTGCTTTTTATGTGCTAGATTTCTTTTTTTTATATTGAGATTGTCTTTCCATTTATGGGATGCACAGTTAGGGGGTTTAATTTTTGGGCCGACAAATGCTCTTGATCAAGCATTTTTCTTAGGACACCACCGTAAATACTCCACTTCGTATTATTATAAGTACTATAGCGCGTTTCACGAAATTAGAGATTGGATTGAAGAGTGACTGGTGTTAAATAATTTGAATTTTAGTGCCATGTTAATGTTACGTTTATCAACGGAAAATGTTTGCATGACTATTTTAGAGAATCGAATTTCTTTATTTTATATAATACATACGTAAAGTTAAAAGTGTACGATTTTTACCGTTTATACTGTAGATTTTTTATATTTACAAACTTTTTTTTTTGAAAAGTGCATTTAAACTGCAGATTTTATAGTTCGTTAGATATTATACAATTATAAAATTATCATTTTTAATTTTTAAATAATATAATATTATAGTATCATATACGAGTTTCGCAATATACGCGCATCCTTAAAAGCCACCAGTAGAAAACTTTTCTATACTTTATAGTTCCATGCAGAAAGTTCGCAAGACTAATAATTATATTATACAATGGGAAAATGTTGAAGTTTCCATTGTAAACTTATTTACTGGAATTCCTGCGGGAATTCCAGTTGATATGATAATATTCTATATATATGCTACAGCCTAGATATTATAATCCAATTTTTGTGTATTTGAATCAATTGGAATAATAATAATAATATGATATTTTAATATCATTAATTTTGGATTAATAACTCGTATTTCCCCTTCATGAGACACATTAAAGAAAATAATTTGTTGTATTTATGTCATCTGATTTTCAATGAAATATCGAATTCATTATCGTCTTATTTATTGTACCTCGGTGTCGTAGAAGTTTGTTTTGTCGACGGCTTTTTGCTGCTCGACGACGTTTTCTCGCGGTTTTTCAAAGAACCCAGGATATTACTTATACTGAAATAAAAAATTCGTACTCAATGTGCATTTTGTAAAAAAAAAAAACTGTCCGTTTAAATACCCGTACGTCCTGCCGATTCCTTTGATGTCTATTTCTCTTTGGTAAGTCTCGGGCAATTCCCTTTTATCTCGTTCTGCAGACGTATTATTTTTCTGAAATAAAAGAGATGATTTATTTATTTATTTTATCGAAACAGGCTTAACAGTTTATCGATAAGATAATATTGAGATTACTACGAGATAAATACCAATACAATTTTCAGAAGGTTATTCTGTATGGGAAGACTAAGATGAACCTTAAAAAGTACTGCTGGAGTAAATAATTTGATTTTTTATTAAAAAATATCTACTATAATTAATTAAAATATTAAATATTTGATTTTTACGATGACAACTAATTTTTAAAAGGTATAGAAATATAAATTTATGTATTTAAATAATTAAACTACCAATTAGCGTATTTATACTATAGTAATAAAGGTTGAGCTTTGTTATTATTATCATTTTTTTTTTGCTAAACTTGATATTTTAAAAACGCTATAATTTTTTATTTCATAATCATATTAACGTTAAACGGCTTAATTTGAAAATAATCACACGAAGATTTGTTTGTTTAAATAATATTGTTATATAAGTACCATGGGGCTATCAAAATCATACAAATTAAAAATTGCTGAAATTTCTATGGTAATAAATATAATGTTGTCTTTTCAGTATCTCAATTTGGATTTCGTCAAAAGGTAAATAATATACCATAGTATAATGTATTGAAAAACATTTAATTGATTCACTTGTCAATTGAGTCACTTCTTCAGTTTACACTGTAGTTTCTCAACAATTTTTAGCAATAATATTAATTATTGTTATCAAACATATCAATTAACAAAATTAATTTTTTAGAACAAATAATAAAGACAGTATCAATGAAAATTTATCCCATTTATTTAACTCCAAAAATAATTAATAGCGTTTTAATATCTATTTTAAAGATGACCTATCTCTTCCATAAACATGCCACTGAAACAGAATGCAACGAAATGTTCAAACATATACAATTATATTACAACAGTTTTCTTTAGGAATGTACAATGCAAAGTATAATGTTTCCTATTGAAATATTATGATATGAATGGAATTTTTTCGTAGATATTTCATATTTAAGATTCAGAGTGAAGCGAGGAATGTATTGATTTTATAATGATGTTTATTTTTTTTTCTGTGAACTTTTCTACTAGACGTTTTACTCCGATTTTCAATCAAATTTATTATTTTAAAATCGTAAATATTACGGCCTTTTATAACATATATAACCGTACTTCGAACAGAATCGTTTTTCGTTAGTAATGATTAATCTTTGTATACAGATATATAAGTACATTAAATTTCTCCTCCCCCAACTTCTCACCTACAATAGTGGCCCAACTATCGTACAAAGTAGGTATTTTTTTCTATAAACGTAATTTTCTGTTGTTAAACCTTTGAAAAAGAGTACAAACATGTTTAACCTTTTTATTGTAAAACTGTGTATTTAGAAATTGCATATTATATTATGTATATCAATTAAATTGATCAAATTGATTTATTTGTGGTAAACATTTATTTACTCTGTAGAAGGCGGAAAAAAATTGTTACGGTTTAATTTTTCATTCATCAAACACGAAAATTATATTATTTTTTAGACTATGATTTTCTTTCCGCTCTGTATATAATATATTTTAATATGCCAACAATATTATTTCAAATAAAAACGGTGTCGGATCGAGAGTATTGCATTAATAAAATATAAAATTGAGTTATACGATGTTCTATTTAATGTGTTTTTTATAGCAAATTTTGTGTTTAGTAGGACAAAATTGGTGCCGTTAATTTTAATCTTAAAGCGAATTGGCTTATTAACAAACTTAAAGGTAAGAATATTATCTGTTGATTTTTTTTCGATACTTTAATATTTTAGTGGGATATAATCATTTTTGAATTGTGGTATTTCCTCGGTAATTGATCAATTCGTTTTAATATTAAAATTAACGGCACACAATTTGTATTACTGAACTCAAATTTTTCATGTCGTACGTTTGTAAGACAGCTACAGTAAATGCGAGTTTGGCTTCCTATTAATAATTGGATTTGAAGTCTTCGTAGATTATCGGCAAAAAGGCCTTTTGCACAGCAGTGCATTTGGCCGCTTGAATATGTTGTGCATTTTATTTCCGTTTCGTATAAAACACTCGTTGAAAGTGTCTTTCGTAAGATTAATACTGTACCTGTTCATTATATTGGAAAGCATTATATTTTTAGGGTTCTTTTCTAAATTTACACGCAGTTCTAAAATGATAAATAGGTATTTGTATTGATCTTTTTTTTTCACTACGGGCTGATTGAGACTAAAAAGTCATTGGGATTTAGATCTCGAGTGGCTATATTTGTATATTGTTATTGTATAAAAAAAAAATAGTGTAAAAAACCACATTTTTTTTACACATTCTCCAGATTTTTTAAAATCATAATATTGAATAAATAATTTATAATATGACAAATCGATCCTGTAAATGAGCAACGCGACGTTTTAACCGCTATGTATGGTGCAGGCCTTTTAGGTAGTGATGTAAATTTATGTAAATTCTATAGTGGTATGTATTTATATAAATATAATATGGTTTATTTAGTTTTAATTCAATTTATTTAATATTTGTCTACCTAAAACATTAAAAATTACAATTTATAATGCATTATATAAGATTATATATTGAGAAACAACGTTTCCGCAGTTTGAATATCAGTATAGGAAAATAAGCATTTTTATAATTTCAATAATATTTTTTTATTTAATTTGTCATAGGAAAAATAAATGTTGCCAATTATATACGGAAAAGTAGGTTACTGGCATTTTATCGGTATTAAATTTAAAGTCATTGACCTCCAGTCTCCAACGAAGACTTTTTCGAAAAGAATATTTTTAGATATTTGACCAGGTATTATTTGCATCAAATATAACGAAAATTAACATTTCAAAACGTGGATAATAATATGCTTTGTACTTATTATTTATTACACAATAATTATATCGTGTAATAAATAATAATGGGTCAGAGGATTTCTCAAAGAATAAATTAATCATAACCCATCGTTGCTAAAGCATTTTCAAGGTTAACAATTTTTAAAACAAATTTTCCTCAGGTAATGTGAAGGGGTGAGAGGTTTATGGAGCGTTGACATATGTTGGAGGAGGGAGTAGTCCATTTCTGTTGTGCAGAGTTTGACAATTTTTTGTTGATATTGAAGTGCAACGTTATAACTAATGTTTAATAAATAATATTATATTATGAAATATACTCGGATTCAACTGTTTATTATACTGCACACTCACCGTATGGATATTATACTGCGTTTTTGTCGGGATCGTTTCCGTTTTGTCGATATACTGACCGCGAGCCGGGATAATTGGAGATCTTATACACGCCCTGAAAATTTATGTTTACTGTTATATGTATTACGATTTCAGTGATGTCGTGGGGTTTGCGATGTGTGGCGGCGTGTCGCCGAAGCCGTGGTAGTATTATTGTCGTCACTGTAGATGTGTGTTAGGTATTGTTATCAAAAAGGCCTCGACATGCGTACTGCAGTTTTGTAAAGTTTACGTAAATTTTTTTGTTTGCGCTTAAACTCTAATTTCAACCCAAACCCTTTAATATAAGTTAACAGTAATGTAATTTTGTTATGATGTTTTTTAGTTAGATTGGAATAGGAGCGTCCTCTTAAGGTGACTAGTATACAAAAAAAAAAAAAAAAAAACATGACTTCGGAAAACGTTAATATATCGTAATTAAAGTATGGGTTCAGAGCATAAATTTGACCATATCCCGCGTAGTATAAACCGAAAAAAGTAAAAAATGAAACATATCATTCCTTTTTAAAATTATAGGTAATATGGTTTGAAATTTGTTTTAAAAGAATTGAACAAAACTATCATAAACACACTGAATGTGCTTAAAATGTATATTATTTTGTCATTATTTTCTGCGAAAATGTTGCGTCTTTTGATTTTGTAAATGGTGTTGTTTCTCCTAAAATTAAATCTAAGATGAAGATCGAATCTTTTGTTTTCCGTGATGTTTTTTTATGTTTTTACCAGTAAAAATTGTAAATGTCTAAAGAGAAAAAATTTTTCTCAATTTTACAGGAGAACACAAAAAACACATATAGTTCATAAAGATAACACGCAGTTATATTTCGTATATCTCTATTTTTATATAGATAGGTTAGGGACATAATGAAAGTTGGCTAAAATAATATATATATAATTAATCATATTCTGGAGTAAAGATGCATAGTGGTCTAGGAATATGTAGACAGTGTTGTCCTGAGATATTTAGATACGTTATTGTGTGATCCTCATCAAATATTCGACTAAGAAGTGCTGTGCTGTCTTTATTATACATTTTAACACCTCAAATCATTAATCTTAACATTTTACATGAAACAATGCCACCGTCGATTCAACTTGACCACCATATGAGCTTAGTGGTGTTGCTATTCTTAAGTGACGATATTAATGTTAAGAAGTACGAATGAAAAACTGTAATATTACGACCTATATCACGCCAGCTGCAGTGTTTTGTTTTTCTTTAATTAAACGATTTTTTGTTTCTAATGTGATTCTAGTATTTGATTGTATTTTAATGTTTGTCGGTTTATTTTTATTTCCGGTCAGCAGAAACATAGTACTTATACTCTCGTATTATATTAAAATGCAGTTGTGATAAAGTTGTAGAACATATAATAAAAGTTCAATAAAACGAAAAAGACATGTGCCGCAGACGGTAAACAAGACAGTGATAAAAAAGGCATAGCAAAAAAAAAAAAAACAACAAACAAATAAATAAATAGTAATCAAGCAAGAAAACACAAACACACGTACACACGCTCGTAACATTTTATTGTCATCACGAGAGAGACTAAATTATATATATATATATATAATATATAGGAAGAAAGACAAAATCACAAAATCGATATTATGTCGTTTTCAAACGTATTTACGAGTTGACGTCTTCCAATTTCTTCAACAATCGTTCGTTTTCCCGGCACACGATTTCGTGGTCCCTCTGTAATAGGTCCCTGGAGTTGAATAATTCGGCGTTTTCGCGGCGCAACGCTTCATTCTCGTTGGCGTAATGTTTTACCAAGTCTACCAGCTCCTTGGGGTCCATTTGTATTAACCGGTCCATGTCCATGTTGGGCGGCATTTTCACGTCTACATAATAAATAGAGAAAACGTTGAAAGGTTATGGTTTTGTGACGGTATCGTTATTTTTAATACTACAGTCGCTGCCGCCGTTTTCCGTTGTGTTTGTTGTATTATTACTAAAGAGTTGAAGACGTCTACGAAATTGTTTGAAAAAAAAAAATTGTTTCGCAAGACCAAAAATAATACCACTTGCCACTTGGGAAATACGAAAAAGTTATTGTAGCTATTTTAAAATTTGATATGATTGTTTATATTTACTTGAATAACTTTTTCTGTATTGTATACTAATATAATATAGTGATAAATCGATATCCAACAAATGAAAATCAACGTTGCCCGCAGTGCAAGACGTCATTTTTATTTTTTGTTTATTTCTCTAGTGAAAATTTGGTTGTTTAAAAATATTCATAACCCAAACAGTTTAATTACTTTAATCTGCATAGAAAAAATAAAGATAAATGAAAACCTACACTAACGCAGTGGCGAACTCAAGATTAAATCGAAGTATCAAATTGAATATGTCTATTTTATTCCTCGCCCTCTAATTACTTTAAATCAAATTAACATTAGTTTACCTATTTTCTTTAATTATTAATTATGATTTCAAGTAAAATGTTTAGGTGTTTTTGGACCATCACTCATACAATCACTACCCACCAACAGTTCAGGATAGCATTTACTGCCCTAGAACTCATTGGAAACACCACTGCACCACGATCGGAAAACTACATCAATGAGTTACTTACTCGATATAGTTGCTGACGTCGCTTTGGTAATGTCCAATGCTTTACGCAGATGGTCGTTTTCGTTCTGTAGCGCCTCCACTTCACGCCTCAAAGTGACGATCAACGCCTCTCGAGGGTCCTGCAGCATAATATAAATATTTTTTTGATGGTTCTTACACGTTATACAATTATTAGAGTAATTTATTTAAACCGTCCTAAATAGGAAAATAGTAAATCTCCCTAAAAAGATTTCGTACATAATCACTGTAGTAGACAGAGAATTAGACACTATTCTATATTTGTTATAAATCATTTTAATAAAACGGCTTTGTTTTTATTTTTCATTGAAAATAAAAGTACGCTTATTAAATTGATCTTCTTCCATGTTTGTACTTGTAATAAGTGAGATAGATAGTGTTAAATGTATTCTTTGTTTATACTAATATTTCTATTCGTATAAACTAATGAGTATACAAAAAAAAAAGCTAATACTATTGATGGGTATGCCATTATTGTATGTAGGAAGTTTAATTTAATTTAATTTAATTTATATCTGTATGCAATAATTAATAATTGTTTACGAAAAACGATTCTGAACGATATTCAGTTAAACGTATTTTGAAATGCCGTGATTTTTGTCAAAATTTTAACTTAAAACTCTTATTAAAAACCGACTACATTACGCATTACGCTGGACTTATGATAAACCTTGTGTTAAATTTTCAATATTTCTGCTAGGTCAAAACAATTTTATCCGTATGAAACCAAATGAAAACCACACAACTAGAAAATGTTAAATGCTTTTAGAGAGTTCAAAAAAGCTAGTATATTTTGAACATTTACCATGTCTAGAAATGCCTAAAATAGATATTCCGAAAATATGACACTCTACGATAGTTGTTAACCAAATTACAAAAAAAAAAAAAATAAAAATAAAGAAACCGTCGTTTTATTTCGTTTTTCTCAGGTTTTCCTAATTAAAAAACCTATATGGAAATAACTTTTCCAATGTACTAAGAAAAAAACCATGTTACATTTAAAAATAAGAACAAAATTTTTGGTAGAAAAGCTGTTAACAAAAAAAAAAAAAAAAACATAGTAAAATAATAAAAAATATTCGATTGGCTGTTCGGATTGGTAGAAATTGAGTATATGTGACTGTGCACATGAAATTTGTATAACCGCTACGTAATACAGTCAGTGTAGTTATATTATTTCTTGTTCGAAGTTTACACGGTTTTATTATATTTTTCCTACACCGTTTCGTTTCTTTGACCTGTTCTATAGAGGAAGGACGAATAATATTATGGCATATAGGGTGTCCCCACAATGTTATTCGAATGCTAATAACTTTGTAATATTCATTTTTTTAAAAATATTTTTCTCAATTGAGTTTTGTTTTGAACGGGTATAAATGTAGAGAAAAATTAAATTTTTATTTTCATCCCTCAATCGCTGAAAAAAATTATTTTTTATTTTTTCTGTTTTTAAAATTACCAAAATAGCAATTTTATGTAATATCTTACAAATTTGAATGAACCATACATTCATATTCGATTAATAGATTTTTATTATTAGTTGTTTTAAGAATTTCTAATGAAAACCCGTTTATTATAAAAATGATTACCTTTTGACAGTTCTATTATTTCATATTACGATTTGCTATCGCATAACGTGGTAGTTTCGTTTATTACACCTTTCTTTAGATATTAAACTGTAGGACTACCCTGTATTATAGTGTTTAATTTACGAGCAGGACAGGTGTATATCGGCAGTAACATTGTAACATTCGCAAAAACGAAAATAGATATCACATCGTGATGACAATAGGGGCGTGAAATTAATCTAAAACAGCAGGAACGAAATAATAATTATATTTCGCCCGAATGATTGTATTTTTTTTTCTAAATATACCTATATTTTTTGTTTTCGATAAACGATAATTTATGATGATTATAAGCATGGTATAATTGTATAAAAAAAACCTAATTACTTCACAACATGAATATACTTTGAATGTAATCATTATTGTATATCTGCGATTTTGTCGCAAAAATGATAGATTTGTGATTGTAAATATAATTTATTATACTTTTTACTCTCGGCGGTAATAATCGAAATTAAGGGTAGATGAAACCGAAACACGTATTTTAAATTCTGAGTGGAGCGAGGAATTTATTGGTTTTATTAGTCACTAGAAATATAATAACACACATTATGATGATGTGTGAATTTCGTAATTTTGTGTTTTGTTTTCGTAACTCTGTGAAATTATTTTCGACCAGAGACATTAGCTTCAACTGTATCAAAATTTAAGACGGTTTCTGATTGCAAATCAGAGTTTGATTGCAATGAATTTAAGAGGTCATTTTTTGATATAAGTATTGCACTTTTATTGATGATGTGGGAAAATCGAAGAAAAAAAACTCTAAGAGAACGGGAATGCGTTTTACGTCATGCCAATGGTTTTGGTCAAAACAAATTTGGTAATTTTTGGACTTTTGGTAATTTAATAAGAATTAATCGTTGGGGTTTTGAATTTGTACTGGGTATAATACCGCGAAATTCAAAACGAGAAATTGAATGGTTCTGTACCCGACAGCTTTACATTTCGACGAAATTTATGTTTTGATTATTTCTGAGAGAGAAAATTATTCTCGCGTTTCCTGTGTTTCGACGAGACAAATCCGATTATCCGTATGGAAGTTGCAACGCGATTAAATACAATTTTAGTTAATTATGGCCTAAAATCTAGATAACTCGACACATTTTAGGTTATTATGAATAGTACCTTCATTTTGAAGAAACGGTAAAAAACAAGTAAAGTTGAACCTTTTTTTTTATCTTCATTTAATGTAACTAAATTAATTGTTTTATGAACGAAATATTTTCAAAAGGTTTTTTTTTTTAATGCATTTTATCTTAGACGTGAAATATGTAAAACCTCGCGCAACGGTTAAAAATTACACAGGGAATAGGAATATGCGAACGCGTTGGTCTTTTTACGTTTATTCAACGTTGAATCAATAATAATTTTGACGAAAATGATGATAATAAATATGTAGTTAAAATATAATAATGACATTTTGTCACACGAATAGTCAAAGCGTGTATATTATATGGTGTGAGTTCGTGTCGTGTTTATTTTAAACTAAGCGACCGGAAACATTTGAAAGCCATATATCATGACGAAAACAAGTATTCTATTTAGTGGAGAGCATGTCAAAAGTTATTTGTCACTATTGTAATGATTTATGACGTATACGAATAAACGTATAGCTTTAGCTATATTTACTTACTATAATAATATGAAATAGTAAATTAACGCGTGTTTTTATAGTGTCGTTTAAACGTTTAAAGTCTCGTCTTTAGTGTAGGCATTAATGTGTTGATGATTCTATTTGCTTCTCCCTCCCCCACCGGTATAATATATAGAATGATTTTTCTAAAAATTATGCTATCGAAATGGTTCGGGAATAGAGAAAACAAACTTAATATTTCTCTATAGAACCATTTAACCTACTCAAGGGAAAAAACTCCAAAAGAAAATAAAACTACCACGAATGAGTTTTCTTTTCCTTTTGGTTTCCCGACTTTCCAAGAGAGCCTTAACCACTACTGATAACGCCTTCCATATCTCCGACTATCCAAGACGATTTCCAATCCATCTAATATATTCATAAATCCCGACTTATCTCGTAAACCCATTGCTTTCTTGGTTTTTTTATTGATCTTTTCCTGACTAGGTGAAACTCCATATATCTGCCCTGACTGTAAGTTGCTTTATTTTTGCACATCGAGTGATAGAAGCTGAACCATTGTAACTATTGCGGTCCCTTTAGGTAATTTTATAATTTTTGTAATTTCAGCGTTTTCACCGTTATCCAATCAGAGGCAAGAGCAACTAACATATAAATTGATAAAAATATTTGATTATCATAAAACACTGCACGCCCGTTAATTGATGAAAAAATTGAAATAAACCAACTTTAAAGGAGTAATACATACTGCAAATTTTATAGTTTGGGATATTCTGGCGTTTTCCAATTCCATATCTTTATAGAATGTAGATAGCTTATCAACCATATGAAATTCTGATAATTTATGTTCAAAAATTACTAAAAATTTGTGACAAAATTTACTTAAAAAAAAAATTAATCTACGTGCAATAATTATTTTAATTTTAGTTGTTTACTAATTAAATTTAAAAAAAATTATAAATTATTTACCATGACGATCACTGGTTTCGTTTTGATTTTTTTCGCACGGGCCGCATACCTTAACGTACTGATCGTTTCACTGGCGTTCGATTTCGCCGGCGAAACACACGCTATCTGTTTATAATGAAAAAAAAAAGAAAATGATTACTTCGTTATGACTTAATAAAGCAAATATTTCGACATGTGTCAACACAGTCCGCGCACTAATGTCAATCGTTTGTATGCCAATTGTTATATAAATATAATTGACTGGAAACGCCGGGTGGAATACACGTTTAAAAAAGTATTCTGATTAATATTTGTTCAGACACTTATTATTACGTGACGGATAGTTTTACCGGTTTATAATGTATTATTGTTATTATTTTAATATGAGTGTTTTAGGTTCGTTGTACTTTTAAAATGTTATTGAAAATAAAAATTCGTTAATTGAAAAAAAAAGACTTAGGCCGTCCCTGACGGAGAAGAGGTTTTAATCAAATCTCAAATATTAATATAAAATATAAAATATTAATCATATTTGCGATTCGAAAAAAATCGGATAAACCGATAAAATTTAAAATTATCCATGTCATATTTGATTTTGAAATGTGTAGTTTGAACGATTCTGTCACATGGGTAGTATCAAAAATAAATCGTCGATCAGAGTGCTTCAATGTATATTATAAATTTATGATAGTGCTACGTAAATAATTGTTATTTTGAAAATATAGGTAACCGGAGGTGTTATATTTTATTGCCCGATCGGTTTTTCGTCTATAAAAATTGATAGGTTGTCAGGCAGTGATATAGCCAAGATTTTTAAATGGGGAGGGGGAGAGCAAATTATAAATTCAAAATTATGTGTTATGTTAATTTCTTTAACTACATTTAAATATATACTACTTAAGCATTACAATTTGAACATATATTTCATACACCATAAAATAATATAAATGAAGCAATGAAGCGTATAAACATAAAACGATTACAAGTATGATAACAATATTAAAAAATACGACGATTGCTAGGAGGACAATGGCTCCTTCAGTGATTTCAAGTATAAAATAAAAACCTACTTTATGTAAAACTACAAAGGATTTAGATAAAACAGGAGTGAATGAAGAAACTTAACCTATACCTGTTGCACGTTGGTCCAAACTTGTAACAACTCCAAGAAATTTAGGTTTATTTATAAACCCGATTGAATAAAAAATCTGGTTGATAAAAAATCACGACGGGTTTTGATAAACCATGCGGAGGAGGAAAATTAAAAAACTATGCTAGAATGGACACGGAAATTGTAGGTAATCAGGAAAATACAAAAGTAACAAGTAGGGCCCGGATTTAGATGCACTAAAAATCATCGAAAAAAGTACTAAAAAAAGTTAAAAATGCCTTTTAAAAGTTCATTCTACCGCGAAAATGTCCTTAAAATATAAGGTAAACATTTTTTACATTTATTAGTTTATTGAGTTATTTAGGGCAGTGTTATTTTGTTAAAAAAAAAAAATTAAAAAGTTTGACTTGTAACTATAGCGACTATTATCGACGATAGTATTGACTGCAAAAAGGCTATATTTGACTAATTGACTGGAAAATCCGAAAAAAACATGGGTAATATTTTGAATTGTTTAAATTTAAATTATTTCTTTATATTATAGGTTAAATATACCAAGCATATTTATTATATGGTCGTATTATGTATAAATACTTATAGTATAGTATATTTTAGTATGCTCGTATATTTTACAAATATATTATGAAACGACAAAAATGAATGAAAAATGGTAAAAAAAAAAAGACGTCCTAGGATAATGGGGACGGGTGCAGCCATTGTTATAGATAATTAAATGTATACCTGTATACAGAGTTGTGTATGCCTGTATGCGGAGTTCAGTTGATAGTGATGCTTTGTCAACAATATATATGTCATTTTATAGTGAAATAATTAAATAGACTTTATTTATTTTTTTTAATATTATTAGTTTAATGTTATACCGATTTTTCTAATTTTCTTAAGTTTTTCCCGGTTTTCCCATGTTTTATTCTAGTTTTTCATGTTTGCTGGGAAAACTCCTGAGAAAATCAAAAAATTACTTCTCTAAAGTAATTTACTAGTAAAATTTCCTATTAGAAACATTGGTATCATTAAAAGTTGGAGCAAAATTTCAGGTAGAAAAGTTTTGCACATGAAAAAAAATCGTAAAATTTTAGTAATTTTAGTAATATTTCGAATATTTTCTCGTTTTTCGGTTTTTCAAATTTGATAAGAAAACTCTTGAGAAAAGCGAAAATTGACCTGCTTAAAGTACCTTTCCATGCCGAATTTTTCAGAAAAGGTGTTTACATGTTGAAATCCGGGCCAGTCTTCTAGTAGAAAAGTTGCGCACAGAAAAAAAAAACATCTTTGTAAAACTAAAAGCTTCTTATTCGCTGCACTCAGAATCTAAAATGCAAAAAATTGCAAAATAAATATTTCACCTTGAGTCTGTGTTACATGAATCAAATTATGTCCTTGGAAATCATTATCTTATATCACTAAAAAAAAGGTATATTTTGTATTGAAATCCAGGCCCTAGTAGCAAGGGATATCCGTTGGTTGGTATGAATTGTAATTATCATAATTTTATTTATGTTCTCAAGCATATTTTATAGGTTAGTTTGTTAAAATATCATCAAAATTTTACTAAACGTGCTGTGGACTAAGATAAGTGGGTTCGTTTTCATTATTAATTTTCCGAATGGCGTTTTGTGTACGTTTTCTAATTTGTTTATTATAATTAGAAAAGATCAAATACAAAATTAAAAACAGAGATCGCGGGGGGGGCTGTCGATAGAATTTTTATAATGTTATTATCATTACCATCAACGTGACGCCGGTGCCGGCTAAGCTGTCGGACAAGAGTTTGGTTAGTTTGCTGTCCCGGTACGGGATGTGACCGTTCCGTTTCTTCGGATCGCTCAGTGACGCTATACAATAGCCTTAGTATAGAAAAAAAAAATAATGATTATATATATACGTATTATCAGTGATTAAAACAACGTCCCGATTGCCCGCACCCGTCGGTTCCCCCCACCCGTGCCGCGGCGGGGGCCGACTGTTCCGTTTGACATGTCGAGGCGCACTGATATTATAGTACCTTTACACCTTTTATAGTATACTTATGTATGCACACACGGACACTTGACCAAATGCGTAAGGGCACCATCGATCGCCAAAGGGTAATTTGTTTGTTTCTTTTACATTTTAACTTGTCTAATAGGGGACGACCAACGCAAGAAAATACCCTTTCATTACTTATTCAATGGCCGCCAAAAGGTCGACCTCGACAGCGATAATTCCCCGCATAGTGACATATATCGATCGCAGACGGTTAAATAACGGTATATTATTCTTATTAATATTTTTACGTGATGTACGGAAAAAGAAATTAATATTTATTGACGATGACATTATATTATAGTTTTGTAAGTGTGCGTAAACGCGATGGTGATTACGTCGTAGCACCCATTGTTTCGAAAAATGAATACTTTCAAGTGCAAAATAACCCGTTTAAAATGTATCGTGTAACCATTATATAAAATAATTTAATATTTACATATTGTGCGATTGAACGGATTAACGAGTTGTATATTAAATGTTTTACGATGGAAACGTTCCGTTAATCATTTTCTGCGGTTAATAATAATTGAGTATATCTTGTTTGTTGTTACGGCAAAAATAGTATGATCTCGGTTAACGTTCGTTTGTAAACTATACCGATTTTCGGTTTTACAAATCTGTGTTCGATGAGGGGGTTTTTTTATATGTTGTCATTTTATAGATAGTAAAAAAAGGACTACGAATCTAATTCTAAATCTTTAAGTTCGAAAATTGGCGGACTTACGATGACTGACAACAACAATGACATCGAGAAGCCGGATTTTTAAATTTAAATATTTTTGTTGGAACTCACACTTGAATTTTTGAGTTTTCCGTTTAATTTGATTGATTTCTTGGTTTCTCTGACCAGGAAAAATAATTGCTTTAATTAGTTAAACCTAATTCAGAATTGGGTTTTCTTTGTAACGCTTATTGTTGCATATTAACTATGATTTTTAAGTATTTAAAGTATTTAATCTGCTCTATATACAAACTATTCCTTCCGAACTTCTCACCTACCACAGTAGCCTACCCGTGATGTGTTGAAGTACGTCCTGTTCAGCTTTTGTTTTTTTTTTCAAAAGATTACTTTACCTAAAACCATTAAGCTCTTGTTGATGTTGTTCGCTTCCGCCAAAGTTTTCCCTTCACTCATTGTCTTCTTGGTCATTTCACTGCCGGCTAAATCGACAAAATTGATTTTGCCCTGTTTCGTAATGAAAACACCGTCCTCGGACATCTGAAAAAGCATGTGCTGTACAAACGTTGAAGAAACTGCAGAATATTATACACAGTGATCTATTTATTTTGAGTAGATAGCAAATATTTCCATAGCAAATTTCTCGAAGAATTTTAAGTGAATTAGATTTTTTTTTCATTAGTCATTATGAAATCATTGAAGTGATATTTTAACAAATTTTTAAATTTATTACCACTATTTTTTTCAAAAAAATGTTCTCTATATGTGAATTTGTGTTTGAAATTAGGATTTCTATTGGAAACACTGATGTGTATACTCATTTAAGGTATAAAAGAGCAGGGGTAAAAAATTGAAAACAATAAAGTTTAAACGATTGCTTAATATATTATAATTGAAGAAAAAACAGAAATCAAATTTACTTGAATTCCTCCGAGAAAATCGTTATGTCTTTCTAATAGCCCGCAAGATTATTTCAGGGGCGTCGTCAAGACACATAATTTATACATGTTATAATATGTTAGGTATCCGTTTTAACCGTTTAAATTTTAAATCGATTATTAAAGTCGGTATTTAATCCCTAAACAAATGTAAATATCGCGTACAAGGCTAAATAAACGTCCAAAACCAGTGCAATCGTATTACTATCACGTATTTTACTTGAAATTTAAAGCGATTTAAAATTATTCGTTTAAAATCAATGACAGCATTGGTATTTTAATGCTGCCTTTATTCGGAATGGAAACAATATAGGCACATAACCACCAGCTGTTATCACGATGTAGACAATAACACCGCGTATACACACGTAACATTCACGATAGAGACGATAGTACTTATTATTGTCGTTGTCCCCGTGGGGTTTTAGCCGTTTAGTGTTACTCAACAAGAGCCGATTAAAAAGCGACCGAGTGATATCGAAATAATAATTATTATGTTTATGTGACATAATTATTATTCGGACGGAATTTGGATAGCAAATAAATTTCGGACACTCGTGACACGATTGTAAATTCGAAATATATGTGACGTGACCGATTAACCCGTTCGTATCGTTGAGTTATTAACGGGGCTGTAAATTAAATGATGCACTAAAAAACTAAATCATATTTATTTTCTTATTAAAAATAATGTATCGTTATATTTTATTCATTGATTGTCGTAAAATATCATATCATATTAGGTATCAGGAATGAGTAAGTAATATTAGTAGACCGGTGAAACGTTCGGCAAATAAGTAAACATTATAGTTAAATACTAGACTAAAAATAATTTTGCACATAACAATGCCCAAGCCCAGAATTATAGTCATATCGAAACTATGGAAATAGCAATTAAATATTGACCGAATCCATTTGCATATATGATGTAGCAAAATAAAAATACAAAATCCATTACCCTGGTTATTAGTGGTATAAATTTTATTGTATAGATTGCGATTCATTTTCGCAATATGGGGAGGAGGGTAGGGGCAACGATACTGTAATATTTTGTGTTTTACATGGGATTTCCTTCGGCTGCTCGTTAATTATTATTTATAATTTTAGCATTGGACGCAATCCAAGAGAAAAAGTAATTATTGAAATGTGAAAATCGCATATTTTATAAACGTTGGCACGTAATTCTGGAAATGTTTTAAATTTTCCACGGCTTATAGTGGGTATATCGGTTGTATAAAACTACGAGACGGAACTTATAAGGAGAAAAAAAAACAATACCTACAAAAGAAAAACCAAACAAATTTGTGATGATACAACGATCGCGAATTTAAAATTAAATTGTATAGACTGCACTTTTCGTACGTCTGTGACTTTAACCACAAATGAGTAATTAAGAACAAGGAATATAATGTATGTACTCGGATGAGCAAATCTGTAGTTTTAATCGCTTATTACTTATTCAAACTTACTATTATGTAATCATAAAGTCTAGAGTTCTTGAAAATTAAATTTTCGGAAATGTTATGGCTCTAATTTTCATCATAATTTATGTATCAATATCATATGGATTAAATCCCGTTTCACTAGTAATATCATCAATACTATTATAATCACTCACTTGCTGTTCTGACGTAATATACACCGTTAACATGGTATGACTTCTACTGGAACATTCGTTCATATTGTGACTTCCTACTGTTCTGTTCTTCATACCTAAACATATTGTTACAGCCAGTAATGAAAAACATTAGATTAGGTTTTGAAATCTACACGAATGTATTAAATACATCGTATTGTAGTAATTTTAGATTCGGTGTGTAGCGAGTTTTACTATGATGTGTATTTTTTTTATTTTGTTCATGTAAACACCTTTTCTACCAAAAATATTGCTCCAATGTATAGAGCGTATAGATCTTTTTCTGAAAGGAAATTGTATGTAGTTGGCTCATTTTTTGATTTTTCAAAGGATTTTCAAAATAATTGAAAAACTCCGAAAGAAAATTATAGGTAAAATGGCAAATATTTATGGCACACCGCGGCTTTAATTTTTTAATTCTTTTTAATTTTTGTAAACTATGTTTTCTACCAGAAATATTGCTCCAATCGAAAAATAGCAAGAGATTTTGTTCCTTTCAATATACAGTCACTGACAAAGAAAGTAATTTTTTGATATTTAAAGTAATTTTCATAATAATTGGCAAAACCAAAAATAAGAAGAAAAATACGATTTTTTTTTTCAAATTACGGCGCAACGATTTCATTATTTAAAATTTTTTAGATTATATGTTTTTACATGACCTTTCAAAAATAACATATTTTCTAAAAGAAAATGTCTTGATTTTGAGTAGGAAAGCTATTATTGGATTTTCCGTATAGTTTTCCTAAAAATAACGGTTAATTATTTTTTGTTGTTATTCGGTCAAAAAATTACTGCAGAGATCTGTAGATTTTACAAAATAAAAATATTGGCATTTTGCAGGCATGGTAAAATTGTCTAAACATTCTAACTACTCGTATTTTGAGGCTATAGGTATTTGATATTTTCGTGTTTTTATATGGTAGTTATCTGTTATTAAAATTATATGACTTAAGTGAAATGCTTGAAATTATAAAATAATGTACATTTTAAGTTATATTCAGTGGTCTAAAAACAAATTTGAATTTAATTTATTTAAGTTATGCACGAAACTGTGGTATTTTGAAAGAGAAAGGTTGGGAATAGTGAACTACTGTGCCTGGCCTTTTATCATTTTTCTGGCAACTCTAGCTCTTCCTATTAAAAATATCATGTGATATTTCATGCCTTTTATTATACCTTCTTCCAGCACGGCTTGCAAATCGTCTAATTCTTCGCAATCCACCATAAACAGATTGTCCACGTAGAAGTTACGTGCTTTCCTGGACCATCTCACGTCCAGCGGTTTTCTGACGGTTCCAGGATTTAATAAATCTATCACCTACAATTTTATATAGAATCGTTTATTTACTTACTGGGTTATAAAATATTATAATAATATATTAATTTTGTATACATATATACAAAATAAACATTGAGTGAAGTGTGTGCGGGTTCAACGAACGATATGTCAATATACGTTCTCGTGTCGTTATACTTGTTGTCATAATGTTAAAAAAAAAAAACGAAAATATAATAACGAAATAATCGTATTTGAACCTTACATATTATGATGCCTATACAAGTTCAATGACTGGACACGTTTGATACGTCATGTAGGCGTTAACGATAATAATAATATTATATATTATATTGAGTGCGGAATGATTCATATTCCATTATAATGTTGCGTATAAATATTATTATAGAAACACAGCAATAATAATAATAATAAATTAATAACGAACATATAAAACTAAGTTCAACGAACTCCTTATCGATTCAAACGCGTGAGTGAGAGTGTTGAATTATTCAACGAAATAAATGCATTTTTTGTTTTTTCCCTTATACGGTATAATATATTATTATTTTTTTTTTCGGCGAATTACTTTTTCGTTGTAAATTTCCAAAAATGACGCCTTGAGAACGAAATGGAGATCTTGTCGTTGTTGCACCAACCGGAATAGATACATAAACGATCGAAATACCAAGCCGTGGTCCTTGGAGAACGGTTCGATACGCCTGTTAAAAAACTAGAAAAATATTGAGACAATGATATTAATATAAATAAGTAATACGGTCGTTAATTGTATTATTCAATGAAACAAAATAGGGTAGAGGTGGTACAACGTTAAGAACTCGTGAACTGGGTAAATTTAATTCGTATAGTGTATACATGTTATATTATTGTGCATAAAATCATCTGAAGCTATAATATTAAAAATAATTCGAAATGTGCTTCAACAACACGTACACAATTTGGTGGGCGAGTTCGTAATAACACGATTTCATGGAATCTAGTATTTTATAACACGGTTGGGTGGATTTTTCAAGTTCCTTTTTTAAACATATTTTTAGTTCCTATTAAATATAACTTATAATGTATCTTATGAAGGTATTGGTGGTTTAGTTCTCAGAATATCTTCAGAAACACATATTTTTTTAGAGAATTGATTTGAACGCATTTAGTATATTATTTTGTTTTTTTTTCTATTGAGTAAAATGCACAACAAATAACTCACCGAATTTGGGAAAAAATTTAAAGTGCACGTAACAAGCTCTGAAAATTTGAATACCTACAAGCGGTCGAAAATACCTTAAATAAATAAATATAAATAAGCCAGCATTTTTAAATTTTCAATTTCCATAGGAGAAAGTTAATACTCGTACACTAGTGTAGTTGAATTTTGGAATTTTCGCATATATTTTGTGTTTGTTTCTATATTAATTGATTAATTTAGTTGGCAATTTGGCGAACGAGTTCCACTTAAAATATTGATATTGGTTAGGTATATAAAGTCCAAATAAAATAGTGATACAAAAAAAAAAAAAAAAAAAAAAAAAATGAAAAAAAAATTAACGAATAAAACTATGTGCAATGGCAAAAAAAAAAAAACTTTTTTTGCGATCAGTGAATATAATTATAGGATCTAGGACATTATATATAAAATATTCAAGGTTATCATTATGCGCAACAAAGGCGATTGACATCATTGCCACTGATGAAGGACTTTTATTCACCCGGGTCAATTAAAATGTGAAAGAACGAAACTTTGCGTTTAATCAAAAAACGATTCAATAAACGCAATAAATGCCCTTCTTGTAAAAGTTGTTAGTATTTTTATATAGGTTATAGTAATTTGGTTTAGTAATTTTGATAAAACGGATTTTCCAAATATAATCGAGAAATAAACATTTTGAAATAAATCAAAACATTGTCACATTATTGTGAAATAAAAACAATAATATGTTCGTAATTTTATTAAAATTGTATAAGTTATTAAGATGATCGTTAAGTGGTTTGTCTTTCTCACACTCGTCTGATATAAATTATTCATTATAATGTTCAAAAACTAAAAGTCAGTGATAATGTTGATAATATTGAATTATTAAAGATAATATAGAAACAATTAAGGTATTGAAGTTAAGATAGCGGTTTGATACCTGCGTGTATTGTCTCCGTTTTACAAATGTATGATATACCAAATTTGTGTTTAGCAGAGATAACTTTGTGCTGTTCATTTTAATTTTAGAGTAAATTGATCACTTTGTAGTGGATTGATCACCGGTAAATTGATCACGAACAGCAAATTGGTCGCCTGTCGAATTGATCTCAAAAGAAAAAAAAGAAAAATTATATATTGATTTATATTGACTTGTCTCCGGTTTATACTACTTAAGTATTGTTACTAAAAAAATTAAATAATTTATTGGTTTTTAACTCAGTTCTATGTAGACTTGGTTAGAAAAATTGTATATATATTTTTATTAATATACATATATATATATATATAAAAGAAAGTATTATAGTATAATATGTACATCGTACACAAATATTTAATTAAAATATAAAATGTATAGATAAATTGTTTAATGTTTATGTTGAAAGTTATGGGTTATTCTTTTTAAAAAATCCTTTCAGAATGCCCTTGACCAACTATTCGACTTTTATACAAGTAATATTAATAACATACATTGAATATAGTTTAATAATAAAAATTTTGAAAATATTGGAACAAGAGAAAAACCAACAAAATGTTGGTGTATGTTGAATGTTAAATGTATTAATTTTATTAATACTAATTAACAATTTAATAGTTTTAAAAGGAATACTATTTTGTTGTATACACCCGAGAAAAGTCTTTATAAACAAATATCTTCTTTTTTTTTTTTTGGCGATCAATGTCTGGCCACCAATTCGTAGCCGTGATCAATTCATCGAAATCCTAGAATATTATCTGTGCAACGATGTTGGTTATTTTTCGATATTTTCCCTTTTAAGCGAGATATGATTATAGGAAATATGAAAATTTAAAAGTTCTTAACTGTCCGTTCTACAGCCAGTGTAGATTATACTTATGTATTATATTATACAATTATAAAATAATATTCCGTATTTACGGTACAAACTCTGAAACTACTCGACCGATTTTCATAAAATTTGCGTAATCAGATTCAGCGAGACCAACAAGAAAAAATTAACTCCCTCATAACCCTCCTTCATATGTTATACATTTAATTAGGTTCCATTAAACCATGTTACCCGCGTACTCGCCACATAATTCCGTATGTGTCGCTGTGAAAATACTCGGACAATATAATGCCGCCACCATATCATGTGGCGTGTTAACGTACACCCTGTATACGGGTAATATTGCATTATAAACGGGTATTATCGGACCGATATTGAAATTTAAGCGAGCGCGGTCGGGGTGTTAAACGACGGTACCTATAAGGCAGGTACCCGGAGGCGTCCATCTTCAAACATAATATAATACATATATATATATGTACTTCAGCGATTTCCCGTTTCGGCGCGGAGAGGAAATTGAACTGACCTCTGCGGGTGAAAAACGACGGCGACCTACCATCGTTGCATCAGGTGAATATCAAAATCCGATCGAGGCGAGCAAACGAAAACACACTTGCGACGATGACCGGCGAAATTATTAAAATTATTATGATAATATTTTAATATTAAAAAAATGATCGGAAACGAAAACAGATTCTGTACGAAGTCCTGTTATTAATTTTGTGGATAAATTTAAATTAAGAATAATTGCATTGTGTTTTTCCTTATTGTTCAATAAAATTACAAACGAGTTCAAAAAAAATACTTCCCCAATGCTCTGAATGAGAACATTTGTTTCTAGAAATCTCACCTGGTTGTGATGTTTGGAATGAGATTTCTAGTCAAAAACTCATTTACACAAAAAAAAAAAAAAAAAAAAAAAAAAAATAAATAAATAAATATATGCACACGTCATAATATTATAGTAAAACCAAAACTCCGCACGGAATCTAAAAGAGATCAGTAGCCGGCGGATATGAGTTTTTATTTGATTTTCTTTTTCCCGAGGTGCAGAAAGATGCGCGAAACGTTTCACTATAAATTACGATGGCTACCGAATTCATCCATCACTCGATCAGCATTTTTTTTTCCGTTCAACAAGGGAGACGGTCAAATAAGCCGTCTTCTTTCCTTCTTTTCGCAGTGCTCGCTTTTTACTTGTATTGATTTTTGCTCGCCACCTAATATAAATCGCATAACCCGCAATATATGCCGCAGGTAGATATACTGTTATATTTGCTAAAAATCCATCGGTTTTTTCTCTAATAATAATAATAATTATTTTAATATCGTGTATTTTTTGTTTTAATATTATTGATACCACCACGGTATCATACCATCATCTAATACTCGCCGACACCCCGATATCGTCGGTTGAAATTTTTGAACGTTGTGGAAGGGTATATTGGAATGATAAAAAAATTAAAAAAATTGACTGATGTATTTTGATGCTCTCCAATCCTGCGTCAAATTACAGCAGCCATTAGTATGCTATAAACGACTCATTGCACCACGACCTCTTTGTATTGACATTAAATAAATTTGCATATCAATAATTTCAAAAATCCTAACAAAACATTCAACATTCATACAAACCATCTTATCAATAGCCTCGCTTTCAAACAAATTCTAGACAACACATCTCGTCACTTGAAAGGAAATTGGTGTACGGATATCCTTTATCCTTAAAACAAAGACCCTTTAGGGGTTTCATTGTTGGGCTTTCCTGCCTTCTTATTCTTCTTAGTCATTTATATCATATTTCCTTAATGTATAATTTACCTAGTTAAAGATTGAAAATATAATTTTATACTAAAATAAATAATAATAGTTTTAATAAAAGAAAGGTTTTTTTTGTGTGTGTCGTTTCTCGGAATCGTTTTCGTGCCTAAATGATTTATCACCGGTTTTAATTTGAAAATATTAACGAAATAATTGCTCGACTGACCTAAACCAATGATGGCCTCCAAAAACGCGACGAAAAGTGTGTGTGGGAGGGGCTGCACTCTCAATTATTTTACACGACGTTTTTGACTTAATGAAAATCCACGTTTATCACTCGTTACCCAAACTCCATATTTTTGAACTAAATACAATAATTCGTGACCATTTTCATAATCGACTTTCACTGTAAAACAGTAAGATTGTTTTAGAAAATTTCGAAGTAAGCCAATACTATTGAGGATGTCGTAATCGGACGCTCTATCTCCCGCTGTGACGTATTTATTTACTGGAATATATTAAGGAATTATATCTACTTCCTAGATTCTTTTTTTAGTTTAGTACTATTTTTGTGAATATCTATTTTTTAAATTTAAATTTCTTCACTTTTTAATCGGAAAAATCAACGCGTTATCAAATACAAAATGAGTACCCATTACAGTTGATATATTCAAAAACGTATACATTTTTGCGTTTTAAACAAAATTATATATTCAAATGACATTAGATTACTTAAATAATAAATTAATAAATAATAACTAATCACCTAAGTAAATACATTTGTATTTGTAAGTTAATTAATTTCAATGATAATTTTAATATTTAGGGCAAATTGAATTATAAATTACCTACATGAATATAAATTAGTAAAAAATTGTTTTTTTATTTTTGATTCACGTTATACAATATAACATAATTTCCAAATTTAATATCTCTATCATTGGAAAAATCGTAAATACGCCACGGACTATCTCCGTCCTACAAATGCGCGATTTAGAAAATTTGCGTTCAACGGGACTAACCTTATGTTATCTGTTTTAGTATTAGAGTTAGTTGACCTGAAAAATTATGTGCTTATATTTAGATCTTTTATGAGCTATAAGCGATTAATAAGCATTTTTAATTCGTTATATCATGTTTTCAATCATTAAATATATATTAATTTGTATGTATTAAAATTAAAGTGCGAATTTAATTCGCTATTGTAATTAAATATAACAGTATAATTGATTTATAACGACATTGAAAAGATTATTAAAAAATCATATTTTATTTTTAAATTTTATCCGTTAGCGTGAAATTGAATTATACAGAGACTCCGTTACCCAAACATCTTTTTTTGTTTTTTTTTTTTTTGTATTCTGTATATTATTCAGTCTCATGTATTAATTCAGTTTCATTTAATTGCGTGCATAGGGTAATGATTAGAAGTTATATACTCCCTAATTTGCTTAAAAATACAGCAAATATGAGTTTTTGTTTTGTAATTTTATCTTGACATTTTATTTTCTAACAAAGTAACTAGGGAAACAACTTGATTTATTTAAAATAAATTTGCTTTCTTTTTTCAGCTTTCGAATTTTCATTGTTAGGTTAAGTTATTGATTATAAATCCTTTCTAACCAAAAATTCTTTGGAATACCACTGGGTTTTATAAGTTTCGTATACAGGATGATTTTTTTTATCACAGACCGGCGATTAGAAACGGAGATGTTGAGTACATTTGATTTGTTCAATCATCAATTTTTAATTGTTTTATATTCGGAGCATAGGATCAGATGTATTGGATTTACTATTTATTTATTGTAGCTGTTAAAAACTTTTAAAATTTTGCTCCAATCAATAGCGAGATCGGTTTTTGCAAAATTTTGATGCATTAGTAAAGTCATTTTTGAATATTTTTTGAAGTTTCTGTATTAATCTGGAGAAAAACCGTGAATATGTACGCAATAAATTAAATGTTTGAAAAGTTAATACAAGTTAAGTAATTCTTATAGTACTATAAAAATTCCAATAATTTGCAGTCATGATTTTTTGTTTCGAAGATAAATATTGTTCCTATTTTTTAGTTTTAAATATCGTGACATTTCGCATACGATTTTTCAATATATGTGAATAAAATTTGTTTGGTCTTTCAAAAATCTTCAAAAATTGTATACAAAGTTCACCATTCGATATCGCTGTCGTTTTGTTAATTATGTATACCATGATTTTCAACTCATTCTTATCGCATAACTTTCAGTTAACCGTATCAACCGACAATAGTCGGTTTATCAACGGTAAATTCTTATGGTGATTGGTGGGATTTTAATTCATCGTTATAATGTATGTATGTGCATTGTATATAATACCCAAAAATGGAATTTTAACAAGTTATTACTTTAGAAGTATTACCGGTCAAAAAACTAACGGAAATACTGAATTTTCTATGTTAATAAAAAAAAAAAAAAAAACTTTAGGACGAGACGATAATATTAAAATATATACATAAAAGAATTTAATTTCTTTTTTCGTTTAAAATGTTTATTACGTGTTTTACGTATAGTCAATTTACTTATGGAGAAAATTCAATTTTCTCTTTGAAAAAAAAAAAAAATTTCTATGCATTACTGACTTGATATTAACGGAGTGAAAAGCGATTATATTATAAATACTCTTATGTACTTACTAACTATAGTCTATAAATCTCTTTCACGTTATTTAATCACTGTTTCTTCGATTGGTTTGTTACATAAATGATTACACCAACAATTGCGCATAGTAGTGTTGTTAGACAGTTAATCGCGCGGGACAATAATCATTGAAATAATTACTGAGTAGACAAAATCGATTTGTACAAATAATACCGTTTTGTGAGTAGGAACGTACCTAACCACGATTTACGAATGCGCTTAAATCGCAATAATATGAAATAATAGTGTTTATTGTATTTTCGGTTGTACACGAATTGCGTCTCAGAATAAAAAATCTGATGAGTGACTATATGAATTGCTTACAGGGATTCTTATTTGAATGACTCACGAATTACGTCTGTTCTATCAGAAAATTATATTTGCATCAATTATACCTACTTTGCGGTTACACCCCAGTTTTTTTTTATAGATATTAATAATGATAATATCAAATCAATAACGAGAGACCAGATTTTTATTGATTAATGTACAGATTATACTTTTATCAAACTATTTAATTTAATTATATACATAGAACTATTTATATGCCATCTGTTTAGTCATAGCTCGTTTCTCTAGTTATGATGTTGTGCTCGTAATCTTGTTAATAAAAAGACTTCAGTAAATAAAAAAAAATAAAATATTATTTTGTACATAGATGGACACAAATTTTGTTATCGTAAAACATTAAAGAATGATAATAATACTGTTACATCTTTAGTTAAATTTGACATGCCAAAATACATATATAGATCCCTATTTGGGTGGCATGTTCGTTGAAGACGTCTATGCATATGACAGTTGTTCATGTAGAAAAGCGATTTCTGGACGTAATATATGTACAGCGGTTTTTTCGGACGACTTACCATACCCGGCGGCCCGGTTAGCGTGTGCGTTTTCCCGCTGCCTGTTTGTCCGTAACAAAAGCAGGTGGTGTTAAAACCTTCGGCAGCCATCTCGATGAGTTTCTTGATCCCCGAATACTGGAAGACGTCCTCTTGCGTGGCGAGAGGTTCGAAAACCACGTTGAAGGAGAACAGTTTGGTTTTCGGGCCATTGGATCCACCGATAATCGACTGTAGCCCGTCGATCTAAAAAAAAAATTAAAGACAGTTTAGTGTAATATAGTATTAATTTACTTTTGTTTTATTTAATTTCTTAGAAATTGTGTTTTTTTTGGTTTCTTTTTCAGGTCTATGAATTATTGATAAGGCTTTTAAATAAAAGTTTTAGTGTATACTACCGTAAATCGTATAAAACATGAGATTAAACAATTGTTAGAGAAATGTCAAAATGTTGAATATTTTTACAAGTAGCTATATAAATAACTTAATAATTATTAGTTTTTATCGAAGTGTCTCTTATCTGGTTATTCTATAGTTGAAATGAATTATATATGTAAACTAATTTCAAAAATAATTACTTGTATGTGAATTAGTACGTTACGTTGAAAAATACAATACATATTCATAAAAGATATTTAAAATAAAATTCACTTCGTGTTTAGAAATAACATTTCGTTATTATTTTTAAACAATATATAATTATTTTATATTTGAACGTGGTAGTTATCACATTAGATAAATGTTCTTGATCAAATTGGAGCGCAGTATTTAAATTATTCTTTTAATATGATTTATTTTAAGAAAATTTGTCACAGTATATATTACAATCAGTGTTAAATCAATAAATTATTTTAGTTAGTACCTAATTAATACTCCCTATCTAAAACATGAATTATAAAAAAATTCCAAAAAAGAGTTAATACTTTCCGAGATAATAAGTCTTATATTCGGATTATTCTGTATACGCTATACAAGTGCTTTAACGAAATCTTTTCATCTATTTTTATCAGTTATCTGCTTCTTATATACAATCATTAATTTCCTCGATATATTTACTAAATCGATTTATAACCAAAGTTCTGATATTCAGAAATGTTTTGTATCCATAAGATTAGAAGACATGGCATTTACGAGTCAAAGGAAATTTAATGTCACATGTGTTAGCAATAACGAACTCAAGGAACTTAATATATTATATATATTTGAAAAAACCTGATCGAATTTTTCCAAAATAGATCAAAATGTTCCCGGATTAATATGACACTATGCGATGGGATGTATAAATTTGATTATGCACAGAATTATTTATTTGGAAAATTATTTTTACGTATACAAATAAATAATATTATTTTTTATTATAAAATTATATAAAATAAAATCTAAATTATTATTCAAACATATTTATGGGAACAAAATTAAAAACGTAACATCAACTTTATTAGTAATATCATAGTTATTTTTATTCCTTGTTTTCTGATTGAAAAAAAAATTGTTCGACATTTACAAATTATATTCCAACGCAATAATGATATTTTTTTAACGGGAAGGAACTGTTTCACTATATTGCACCGATCAACAAATTAAGATATTATTTAATGTATGAAAAATAATATTTATAAAAAGCAGTCCTAGGATAATGAGAACGGGTGCAGCCACTGTAATAGGTAATTTAATATATTTCTGTTAGTAACGATTAACCATTGCTAATGAAAGGCAATCAAAACGAATCAAACGATTCTGAGTGGAGTACAGTGTCGTTGCTTTGTCAATAATATCATATCATATCATTACCATATCATGATAAAATAATTACATAGGCAACACATATGTTCTTTAAAAATATTTGTTCAATATTGTACCTATTTTTCCGGTTTTCCAGGATTTTTTTCGGATTCCCATTAATTGGGCAAATAAGTTAGAAAATAAAAAAATTGCCTCTTTAAAGTACTTTCGAGTCGAATAGAAGTTTAGGACGAGGGTGGCCGAAACCCAAATGGCTGGAATGAAGGCGAAGAAGGAGAGAAGATTGTGACGTTAAATATTAATATTACATTTATATATAATGAAATAAAAATATAAATATAAATAAATAAATAAATATCATTATCATTTAGGTCACGAACATGAAATTAATTACATTTTTTTTTTTTTACCAACTATCAAGTTGTAGGTTTATTATTTGTCGAAAAATTATGCAGCATTGGAATTTCATAGATCGAACGAATCGTGATAACTGATTCACCAACTTATAATATATTAATGAGCCAAGATCGGTAAAACACAATACTCGATCCCCGAATTTTTTTTTTTTCTTTTGATTATTTACTTTTGGGAATGTAATTACAAAAAAAAAAAAATAATAATTATAACAATAACAATAATAAAATACTGTTAGTATAGCGTGACATAATAAAATTCACGTGTTTACATAATTTTGTAACTAAAATGGATACTTATGGCGTTCAAATATTAGAGGCGTCACTAGATTAATGTATACGTGACCGTTTTTGGTGGTAAATTAATCAAATAAAATATAACCGTTGCTAAGAACAAAAAAAAAAATGCCTGCGCAGAATATAATATTATTTCGATAAAGTGACTATTTGTTTTCGAGGCTTTCATGTTGACCTGTTTAAAACGTCTGTATTACTAAAATTGATTTATTTTCTCTTCGCAGTGCATATACCGCAACTATTTTGAATTTTAACAGTAGCATAAGTATTTGCAATTAAGAGAAAACCACTATATCTATAATAAATCATATATTATAAATTTTAATATAATTATAATTTTTAATCATCGTCCAAATTTTTAAAATGTTAAACACATATTGTCCGGGAACGATTACTAAAATCGTTTAATAAATTATTAATATCGGAATAAAATTGATGATTAATGATTCGCTGAATACATAATACACAGACTTATTTAATAAATAGGCTTTTATTTTTCTATTTTCAAAAAGCAGATTTGTATTAAACATAATTGTCACGAGAAAACTAATTGTTTTTCAAATTATTTAGGTAGTTACAAATATAACATCCGCATGTTTTATTTATTTCGATTGGTATTCTTTCGGATGGTGTACAATTTCGCGTGACCCTATCGATCAATATTACTAATTAAATTTCGACATTACTGGCATAGGTGGATATTTTTAATTTTTGAAAACTAAGTAAAAAAAAAAAATAAATAAACATATACGAGGAAAAATAGTGGGATTTTAAGAGCGAAACGGGATGCAAGTCCCTAGATTTTATTTCCTGACGATAACGTTTATAAATATACTTTATACAAATATACTTGCCGTTTTGTTTACGATTTTAATTTGACCGATATCCACTCAGGTAATTTTTTAAACCGCAATATTTATATGTATAGCTTTCAAATTAAACAAATCAATAATAATAATTCAATAGGTATTCAGAATTGTGCTGAGGTGAGGTGAGCGAAACGGGATAAAAGTCTCCCGACCGGGGTGATGTGTCCAGTCCGTATGTGTGTTTATGGACTTTTTAATCAAATTAATACATTATCACATTTAAGAGGACGTATGAATATTTGAACATAAAAACCGTGTGTTGAAAAAACGAACGAATACGATTTAACGTAAAACAGCCGACAAAGCAAATTAAAAGAACAAAATAAGTTAATATTTAGGGATTGACACCACTAACAGCTAATGGCTACTATCCGTTTAGTTAAATATAAATGTATAAAAGTTCCGGTTCTTTTTTAACAACGTGAAAAAAAAAAGATCACTTTTTAATCTCGAATATTCATTATTATAACTATACCGCCGGGTTCGAGTAAATTGAAAATCAATACCTGCTATACCCTAGATAATATAATGTCGTTGTCTTTAATTTTTACATAACGAGTAAAACTTTTAAAATCACTTTAAAGGGTATTATTATTATTTTTTTATTTTTTTTGCGTGAACGTGTTTTTGAACAAATTATGTCATCGGGATCACTTTTAAATATATTTCCGAGCCGATGGATTTTTTTTTTTTATTTGTTCATAAATACCATTAAAATTGGCCGTATAATTATACGCTTGACCGTTTGAATATTGTACTCATAGAGTGATGTAAAATTTTTGAAATTTATACTCATGACATTTCCAAGGAGAAATTGCTGTAATTTTAATTCAGCTCACAATTTTGTATTAGTCTTTAATGATTAGTCGTTAGTCATTTTATATTAAACATGCTGTTAAAATAGATAGTCATCAATTTTGAATTTTGTTTTGTTAATGTAAGTTTATCCACAAATAATCATTATAAAATGTATAGTAATGAATTAATTAGAAATTAAAATATTAATTTTAATATCTTCACTTTTCTTTATTAACAAGTGTATTATATAATTACCTCCAAGGGATTCATTTTCATAATTTTCAACTTTATAAATCTCTTCATTTTCTGCTAATTGTTTGATACGCGTTAATAGTGTTACGTCATCTCAGAGTGATAATATGTTTTATTAAGTGATAAAATTTCTTATGAAGTATCGAAAAAAATATAGTTCAACATTTTTAAGTACTAATATATTAATTTGATTGTTGAAAATCTCATTTGATTAACACTTATTTAATAATAGTCAAGTTTTAGTTTATAGGTACTTATATTTTAATAGAATATGAGCATTTAAAATAATGTACCTATCTTTTTAATGGGTTTATTTTATCGTTTAAACCCATATGGTCGTATTATTACTGATAAGAAGAAAACGATGTGGACACTATTCACGCATATTAATTTTTAGTCTATTTGTAATTTGGTCTGGTTTTACAAAACGTACCTATCGCACAAACAAATATGTTTACTTATCGGTTAAGTTTCACATTCATGTCAGCAATTTGGTGGTTGTACCGTTATCAGTATCATAAATTATCAGTCGGTTTTAAATTCCGTTCATAGAGATGAGGTTTTTACAGTGTTGCTTTTTTTTTTTTTTTATAAAATGTCTTACCTACATCACTAATTGTTGTACTGTGACGTTGGATAGAAATCGACGTGTATGCAAACTTATACGAAGGACTTTTTAAGTCTGTTGACGAACACCGAGCACTTAAATTATATTTTATATTTTCGACATACGTTTGACGTTTTAATATAATATTCGCTCCTCACTTATACGACAGAGTAATAGACTACGTCCTATATGACTGCATAATAATATTAAAACGAGTTTGATAAAATAATTAAATATTTAATGCGAAAAGTTTAGGCGGTGCCATTAGAAGAACTAAATAATATATCGTAATAATATTATATTAATGTTATGGCATTTGATATTCCGATATTATCGTGCACAATAAACATTAATTATTATTGTACACACGCGTGCTGTTAAATTGCATACTCGACAAGCCGTCTTCTGGTCGAGTTCGTCGCCATTCGATAATGGCAACGATTCATGGAATTATTATGAATTTCGTACGCGAAATAGAAAATATATTTACAAATTGACTGCAATTAATATTGTAATCAGTTTATCGCGTAAACGAAATTTCAACGTGTACTTAACTTTGAATGGACTATTCGATACCTCAATACCATTGATATTTTTGAGACAGTGTCGTACATCGAATAAAAATAGTTATGAGCACTTATCGTTGTCGATATTTAATTATGTTAAAATGACACCGTGATAATCACGTTTTGTTTAAATAAATTATAATTTTTTATTTTATTTTGGGCTTTACGTCTAAGTTCTAAACAGTGCAATTCAATTGTAATAAATAATAGTAATGATAATTAATATTTGTATTTCGTTTTAAATTTTGAGAAAAGGTATTTCGAATCGGAATAAAACGAGTATCGCACATTTTAGATTCTGAGCAAGATTTTACAATGATGACGATAAGTATCTAGGGTCTATCAAAAAATAATAAGAGAACTTTATTGTTGCATATAGTAGATATAGTCTATTGTTGATTTATTGGTGAAATCAGTTTTCTAAATAAATAGGTGTATAGGAAAACCGGATAACTTTAAGTTTAACACCGTTAACTTTAATAACGGTTTCATTATTTTCGGTTTTTTTTTTAGTGATAGATCGGTTTAGAATAATCGAAGAGACCTGTCATTTTAACAGAATACTAATATTGGTTTTTAAAGACATGGTAAAATTTTCAAAATATTCTGGTGATTTTTGAGCTATCAATAGGTATTTGAAATAATCGGTTTTGTTGATTTATTTTTTGGTTGATAAAATATTAAGGACGAGTAAACATGTTTGAAAATTTAACTCTAGGTTCATCATAATGTGTTTTATAGTGGTAAAAAAAAGAAAAGAAAGTTGAACGAAATGTACCGGTTTTTGTATAAACTTTTTAAGTTTGATTTTAACGAAAATTTTATAAAGCACGGGGTTTTAAAAAATGAATGACAAAACTTCGCTCAGAACCGTATTTCGTTGGCAATGATTTATCGTAGCACACATATATAATCTAATTAATACCATCTGCATCCTTCCTTCCCGTATTTCCATCTTCATTAGTGATTTACCCCTCAGTATTTTCAGCTATTTTTGTCAATCACCATTATGCACAATTTATGATTTAGCTTGGGATATATATTTGAACATTATTGCTTGGCCGAAATCCGAATAAAACCATCAAACTAAAATAACTCGAAATTAAAACACCGCGAAAGTCGACGTTTGAAATTTACGGCAAGTATACACATTAACTATATCAGTATCTTAATTATAATACATAAATAAGTCCAAACCAATACATCATACATCGAGTGAAACAACCAGAAATTTAATTCTCTGAGAAATCCTCCGGTTCGTCACGAATTGTATCATTTCGTATACAAAACATATTATTAAGTATTAAACTTTTTGATTTTATAATATTTTGAATGCGATTATCCGATTCAGTGTCTAAAAACAGATTTGTCTGAAAAGTCTTTGGTGGAGAGACTGGAATTCGGTGGACTTTAGCCGGTTGCCGAAGCACTCGAGACGCTTACATTGGGTGGGTTTACGCCGTTTTGATTTTTTTACATACCTGCCAATATAGTTTAATTTTTATTTTGTGTTTAATCGTTTTGGTTTTTACATTATAATATTATTAAATAATTTACCAAATTTACAGTTTCTGAAAATAGATTAAGTTATAATTCTTCTCGTGTCACCGACGATGAGGGGCTCAAGATGGGTTTACTCCGTGTCAGTATATTCAACCGCTGTTACTTAGAACCGAACCAATATTGCGTTATTACGTAAAGAAATCAGTTTTTTTTTTTTTAATATTACTTATCGAATAATTATTTATATTTTTTATCCATAAACAATACTTGAATCTTACTGGAGTTAGATTTATTTGAAAATTTTACAAGTAAAAAATGTTAATCCTTACACAATATTTCGACAAAGTATTATCATTAATAACGTTATCATCCATCAGATATAATATTTTTGATTTTGATTTATTGATATATTAAATTTTTCTTGCAATCTTACTAGGAATACCAAAACACTAAAATATAAGATTTACTTGAGATTTTATTCTACTCATATTTGTCACGAGAAAACTCAGGAAATCTTAAAATGTCATTTATCAATATCAATTTGTAGTTTAAAGTAGTATGGAGGTAAAATTTTTTATAGGGTCGTACAAGTCTATACATTTGGTTAAAAAAATAGCTGTGACTAATTATCAAGTATATTATATTTTAATGTTGTGTTATTTAAATTAGGTATTTTTTTATACACGCTGTTTTGGTTTATTATTATCACGTTGGTAATTATTATGCGATATTATTGTTTTAGGTATTATTTTTTGTTATTTTTTTTCCCTTTAATTATTTACTAATGAATAATCTATTCTTGTATAAGACTTTGTCCGCTAAATTTGCTATAAAAGCTTTAGAATCGCTGAAGCTATATCTCAAGTTGTAAATGTGTATTATTATCGAATTATTGACATTAACCATAATACATAAATTTAATGTTGCGCTTTAAACGCTTGTTTAATTGAGTGCATTCTTTAACCTTTACGTAGCTTATAGTGCGGTTGACGGGTGTGCCACTGTTGTAGGTGGAAAGTGTGGTGTACATAGATTTTTTGAAAATTGATATTATTTTTATAATTATTGGAGTAATATTTTTGCTTACTAAAATACGCCCGCTTCCCGGAAACGATACGATCGACGGTTCACTGGCTTTGTTTTCTTTGGTGCTCAAGGGTCGAGATCTACACAATATGATCAAAATAAGTTAAACACAAATTTATAAAAGCACGGTTTATTCATTGTTTGATTTCAAAATAAATAAATAATAAACTATAATACATATGATACATACAATTCGGCCGAAAAACAATTATTAATAAAATATACGTTTTATTATAATTTTTCGGTCCCAGGTAAGAAGGGTTTAAGTCACTTTTGTATAATTAAAAACAAATTAAATTTTGAAAATGTTCACTCGCTTATATCCTATACTTACGTATATTTTGGAGATACATATATCTATACCATTTCAAACAAAATATAAAGGGGATAAAATTAAACAAGGAAAAATGTTGAACAAAATTGACTTATTGAGCCCTTTTTCCTCGGGACCAAACATTTTTATTTTGCGAGTAGATTCTATCTCACCTTACTACGACAAATATTCCATTTTCTTGTTCTGAAATATCATTGTATGATCGGTTCAATGATCCAGTCGAATCGTTTAACGATGAAAGAGAACTGAAACAGTCAAGTTTATGAATTAATTTCTTAGGAATGGTATTTTTGTTTAGGATTTGTGTCAAGTACGCAAGGTTATTCGATATCTACCAACAATATCGATAGTTTACAGTTATACAATGTTTTGTCTATGGCCTTGCATTGTATTATGTGCACAGAGATCATCATAATAATATTATCAATTGAATACTGTATTACTTTAATACACTTTTATTTGTATTATTATATATTCGTTACCGCCGAATCTGTGATTAATTATATGGTTCACATTGTCTGTATACCGATTTAAACTTAATTTTATCAGTTATATACATTCAAATTATAAATACAGTTATATATGTATCACCTTTATATTTTGTATACACGGTATTAACCTGATAAAAAGGATAGGACCAAAGAAAGTTCGAAGGGCCTTCAATGAAAATGTTAAAAAATATAACTGATGTAAGTAATCTTGTTTTAAAATTAAAACTATAAAAATACTTTAAACAATTAAAATACCTGTAAGGTACCGAAGCATATTGTATTTCTCCGATCTACGTGACTTTCAACAAACAAAAACGAACACAAATATTTATTTTTCGAGTTAGTTTGTTCCGTGTTTGTACAGATACCTATGTGATTACAATGAAATTGGATTTTGGTGTTCGTGTACAACGGAGTAAAAGTTTATGCGTTTCAAAAATATAACTTCCGCATTTGTCGATCGAAATTCTATAGGTACTGAACACTTTTGCCGGATTTAATTAAAACTATTACAAAATTTGAGTGTTACAGCCTACAAGTGTTTTCTCACAATATAATTTGACATTTACCTCGTTGAAAGAGGTTCAATAAAATGGGTTTATCACTTAATCTATCCAAATGTAAGGTCTTTACGTATCATAGGATAAAACTAGCAATTGATTTCAACTATAGAATTAACGAAACAAATATTTTGTGTCAGTTGAATTCTATTATGGATCTTGGCTTTAAATTTAGTTATAATCTTGATCCCAAGTTGCATATAGATTTTGTGTGTTGCAAAGCATTTAATGCACTTGGTTTTATTATGCGCTTACCTAAAGATTTTAAGAAAGGAGTGTCTCTAAAAATGTTATTCTGTTCTGTTGTCAGACCTATTCTTGAATATGGTTGTATAGTATGGGATTTTTATACTGCCAATGATTCACTGCAGCTTGAGCGAGTTCAACGAAAGTTGTTGAGTTTTGTCTGCTTTGTACTCAAATTACATTGTCCTCTATACGATTATGCCTCGGTAGCTAACTTGCTTGGCCTTTTCTCCCTAGTTAAGCATAGGTGCACTGCTTGAATTAAATTTATAAGTGGTCTATTGGATGGCAATATTGATTCACCTGATATATTGTCAATTTTATGTTTTAAGGTATCCCAGCGAACAACAATAACTAGCAATCCCTTCTGTATCCCTCATTTCTCCACAAGTTATTTAAAAAACGAACCTAATGGCGAGTGCCAACGTTGACCCCATCTTTGGTAACCAATTAAGTTAATATATATTTTTGATTGATAACTTAATGTTATATTATATTGTCCACATAATATTTATTATTAAATGTACAAATGATATATGTATACTAAAGGGAAATTGCCCGTGTAATGCAAAATAAAATAAAAATAAAACAATGTAGTTGTACAAAAAATTAACTTTCAACGTAATTTAGTTAATCTATACATCAATTAATGTGTTAACTCGTTAATTTTTTTTTTAATCTTATCGTGTAAATATTATTCATTAGCAATCCCAGAGGCGTATTTAGGATTTGAAATCCGGGTGCTATTTTTATTTTCCTCCCCTCTCACAATAAATATACATTTTTGACAGACGAATTCATTCTAATTTATTGCACTGTAAGAATTTGTATTTTAATTACCACAAAAATAATCTTTATTTTGCTGTGGGCTTCTTTAATCGATTAAACTTATATATATATATATGACATCTTCATATATTTTAATGTTTTGACGAAATCGGTTTTTTTTGAGGTAATTATTAGAAAAATAAGTATAATAATACTATTATCAATCAGAATTTGAGAGATGAGTGTACGAATTGTATTGATTAATTGCTTTATTGATTTTATTGATAGGTAACAATAATTTGTTTGAAAACGCCACTCAGAGTGATCACCTAACCTCGCTCTTTTGAATACGTTTCTGAACTTGCTTGACCTTGTGCATTCGATAAATTATTTGTGTGGTCAAGGAAGAAGGACTCAAGTGAATTTTGTATACTTAATTTTAAATTCAAAAAAATTCAACTTTAAAAATACGTACTCGTGTGCATAAATTATTAAATTAATAAATAAAGTAATTCACTAATTATAAATTTCTATACATAAACACTCATTTTAAAAAAAAAAATACGCTTATATAATTTAGACAGAAAATTTATGGGAAAAAATTGCAAGAGACAAAATTAAAAAAACAGAAAATTCCCTATAGTTGATTCGAGTCCTTGCCCGGAACTAGATTTTTAATAAATGAACGCGCACGCAGAACTCACTCGTCGCTGGTATTGACTTTCATTTTTCCTGCCATTAAGCCATCTCACAGTCGAATAAATGCGATATTCGTGGCTTAATAAGAACACTTGTAACTATTATCATCGGAAGATCGAAATTAGCAAAGTTCACGCTGTGCACCTCTATGTTTAATTACGATTCGACAATATATTGTCGCACGGGAAGTGTACTAGTACAAATAAGTATAGTAAGTACGTATATTATTGTATAGTATAACGTATGAAAAAAAAGACGTAATGACGCGATGGGCACTAGGTAACTGAACGAAAAAAGGCACAACATTTCCTTTAGCGTTCGTATCGTGTGTGCATTATACGTGGTTTTTTTTTCCACACACGTATATATTATTATTATTATTATTATATCGGTTAGTTAGAAGTAGTGGTGGTATTCGCGTGCGCGCGTGTATATTATGTCGGTGAAAAGGGTAAAATCGAGCGTTTGTCTGTCGACCACTCGCACACGTGTGTATTGTGTGTGTGTGATGAGTGCGTTGATTTTTTCGTTAGACCTTTTGTCGAACCGATGAGCGGGCTATTTAAGTACATACATATGCCAGCTGTATTACCTACGGATGTTTCGTATAGGTTAATTGCCGGTAATTGATTTAAAAAGTTAATTGGCGACGGCTTTTGCCAGTGGAGTGTATGAGAGACCGTGAATTTCCATTTAAACCGGGCACGGTAATATTAATTAATAATTCGATCGACCGACATATCATTATTCTTCACACGTGCCGCAGAAATCGTAAACCGTAATGATTGACTGCGCTGGTACAACTATCCGTAATATATCATTATTTTACTTTATTTGCTATGCGCTGGACTGTGTGCTATATTATTTTACAGTAACAGTTTTACGAGTTGTGCGATAACAATGAACAAACTGTAAATACAGATAAGATAAGCTAAATTTATATTTAAAATTACAACAATTAAAATAGAAAAAAGAGTGATCCTCGTCGGTTGAAAGGAGAATTGGACCTGAAGTAAATTTCAGTAAGCAGACTTAGGTGCCCATCACTTGGTTTTCTACGGAAGGATTGAGTGAAACCAAGTTTCTAAACACACTTTTAAAGACTGATATATTTATAAAGATACACAGATATATAAACATATGACTTGTATAAATAGTTAGTTTTTGATTTTTTGCGGGTTTTATTATTTTCCAAGGGAGAGTAGGTTCCCCTCATTCCCAAATTCTCATTCAATATCCTATAATTTCTCACATATCTAATTTATTTAATATAAGTAGTTACATACATATTTCTCGATTTAGATTGAAAGTGCGAACAGGAACAGTTAAAGAACGAGAGAAGTGAAGGTACATTGTAATGGTCGAAAAAACTCTTAGCGAGTATTAAGTGCAAAGAAGGAAAACAATTTTCAATTATTTGGACCTAAAAAAGCTACTGGGAATATAAAAAAATGACCATCCCAAAACACACCAATTAAATAAAATCTACTAACAGAAGTCCAGAAACCGTCACTGAAGTTGATGTTTGAATCAAGATTTCTGCCCGAAAAGTAGTTTTTCACAGAAAGAAAATGAAATTCAATGACAAACCATATAAAAGAAAACTTAATATTATACTCTTCACTTTGTGCGGAATGTAAAAAAAAAAAAAAAATGTATATATACAAATGGCAATATCATGCGCAATATGCATAATACCAATTTTGAACAACAATAACATGACTGGTTTATGATAAAAAAAAAAAAAGTCAAACCGTGCAGTATGTTGAAAAATTTAACCTGCGAGTATCTTACCGAGAATTATTCATTTTAAGTTAGCAATACTGACATTGCTTTTCGTCTTTCTGAGTATAATAGATCGGTATATGATATCATATATCGCATACAGGCGAATGATTTTTTCCCCTTTTCATTTTGTTTTTAAAATTACGCGGTTATGAGTACTATAATATTATAACACTAGCGTAATACGAACGTACGTAACATCGTATTCTACGGGTTTTTCATATTTTCATCTAGTCTCGGTATACGGTACGCGAAATCGTATTATACGCGATAACTCGTATCGAATTTAGAACATTTCAAACGATAACCGCCGTGCCTTCGTTGTATATTTTAACTTTTGAGTCGTTGTATACGGGAATTTTGCTGAAATTTTGATGTGCATCATCGTAATATTATATAACTATCGTACATTTTATTGAACAGATAATTTATAAGCTATAATAATTTAAACTTTACAGAAGTCGGTGGATACACTATACACGTGGACTCGAATCGAGATTAAACATATTTTACAGAGGATACTGCAACTGAATCCAAAACAAATACTACAATAATAACGAGCCGTTTTGCCACCGGACATACCGATTTTAATATTTAAATGCGTATTGACTTCTGATTAAAAAACTGCAACCACTTCTATTCGACAGATTCGAAAAAAAACGATCTAAAAATGTCTGCGTATCATTGATATTGAACTTATCGTTTAGGAGTTATAACAGTTTACAATTTGTTTCGGAGTAATATAGAAAATATTAAAAGGAATAATTGGCATACCTATCCATGTTTAATCTATAACCTATTAGTCTTAGTCCTTTGGTCAAAGACTTTAAACGGTCATCAATCACTCTGTATATGGAAGCGGTTTGTTATGTGATGCGTCCAATTTTTTCTACTCGGTAACATTATTTTAGAACATAAAAAGTGGTACTTTTATACTAGATATACCGATGAACCGATGCATACCTAATTAACGCGTATTTTATATACACCTGTAGCAGTGTATAATAGTTTTGTTTAATAGTATAAACATTTAAAACGCCATATTATTTTTGTGTAAAATATTATTTTAACATGACACTATTGTCTGAATTTGCTTATTTTATAGCGGCTTGGAAAAAAAAAATTTCTCGTTAAGCGTTTAAAACTAGAACGTAAAAAAATAGTATTTATTTAAATTCGCATTAATTAATATTGAAATTTACGTAGGTATTATGGTGTAAATGTAAATGACCGTACAGTCTGTTAGACACGGTGTCATTCAATATACTTCTTCACTTTTTTTTGTGTTTGTTTCGGTCATCGAAGTAATTGTTTCTTCGGGATTCTTTTTTCCGGCAGAGCAGCGTTTTAGCCGTTCAGTATGCACCGACCCCCGCACCTAGCTATGGGTTTTATGGCACCGGAGAAACTATATCTGTAATACATTATATGAACATTTTTATGCCGTTCTACTGAACGATTTTAAATGTGAAATTTCTAAGTGCTAATTTCTTTTTTAGTTTTCCATACAATTTATTTTTTACTTATATTGCTGCTTTTTTTCATTTTGATTTTCGCATAGTGATTTCTATTTTAGGACGACACATATACAAGGTAGACGGTAACGACTTGCACCAACCAACAGTTTTTTTTATGATTTTCCCTTAGTTGTGTGTGTGTGTGTGATAAAATTAAAAATAAATTCACTCTTATTCGTTTGTCTGATTAATTATAGTGGTAAACTATGCTAGCCGAAACGTATTATATTGATTTTTGTCTACACATTTGTTGCTTTTTTTTGTGTTTAGGGCTTTCTAAACAAAGGTGAAACCTTTATATGCTTATTCGGTTCAGATACCTAATATTGTAAAGTTTTTGTTTTCCGAATCCGGTTTTTTCGGTTCAGTTCAAGTTTATGTTTCCAAATCCAGAAAAATTGCTTTTCTATTCGCAATTATCTGTAATGTTATGCTCACACAACATATGTAGAATTATTTATATCATTATAAAAATATGACTAAAAGATTCAAATGCGCCGATTGCTTGTTAGTATTTTCTGTTAAATAAGTTAATAATTTAATAAATATAACGAAGCATTCGTTGTTCGAGAGGTATACATCATATATTCCTTACAATCAAAATATTTTAAAACTGATCAATATAGTAGACATTTAAGACATCTGCGTTAGAGTTCAACACTGTGAGCTGGTAAAACCATGTATTTCTAATTTATTGATCACGTCACTATTCTCGTATTCACGACTTCTAATCCCTCCAAACATCAGGAGGAAGGTAATAACATAATTATTAAGTTTTGAACCCCTTTTCCCCTTTAGAACTCATTTAATTCCATACATTATATCACACCCATTTTGTCTTTTTACTCGTGTATTACACCTTCAAATATTCGCTATCTTTCTATTTTCGAGTAAGTGAAAAATGTATCTGCTCTTACTTTTTCGTTTATTATAATAGTTATTTATTTTTGTGTTATTACACATCCATAAATCGTAAACTTTGTTTTACAGTATAACTTTGTTCTCTATATTATGTAGATAGTATAGTTGTAGTCTTTCTTTTTTTTTTTTTTACGTCTTTTTTATATTTTTATCGTTTGAGTGTCTACGGATTTATAGTCTTTAGTAGATGAAAAAGTGTGATTTGTATTTTATATATTTATTCGTATATTTCCTATTTTATAATTTCTTTGTCGGAAATTCTTTTGGGGAACATATATAAATATATATATTAGACATTTAATATCATCGACTGTTTGTCTCGGAGGTTTCACTTTGTTGTTGTAGATTTTTGGCACTGCATAACTTTAAGGCGATATTATTTTGAAAATATATGTTTATTTTTTCTAATAAAACTAATGCTAGTTAAGTTTTTCGTTTTATTACAATCGAGTTTGAATCATAGACGAATGGAATCAGTTTTTGTAAGTCGCTAATTAATGATTAATAATGATTAATTTTGAGAAATTCAAAAATGTTTAATCATACTGTAATTTTTGATCAATTTTAATGATTTTGTGATTTTTTTAGATTACAAATTTGCATATTTTAATACCTATATCTATATACTATACTACTATAATAGGTACTGTGTAGCATAATGTATTTACTAAACGTTATTTTATATCAAGATGATTAATGACGATTTCAATTCTAAATTTTTTTCAATTTTGTAAAATTTAAAAATTACCAAGATCCTACAGCATCATTATCTGTTCTTAAAATTTGAAATCCACCTAACACAATTTCTACTTTATTGTCTGAATTTTAGGTTTAAACCGACTAAAATCGACATTTTTGCTCATACCATTTATCTGGTTTTTTTTTTTTTATTTCAAACGAGTTATATTATAGTTATTAAAAATGTTAACATAATATAAAAAATATGCAATTGAATATACCGTTTGCTACTACCAATATATCGTTGTCTAAACAAATAATTATTCTGCTTTAAAATATAAATAACTATAGCCACATGCAAGTGTTTATTGATTGGCCAAGCCATTGGTTATAAATGTTAGTTAGTAATTTTGTATTGTTCACTAGAGTTCGCCAGAGTTACACCGTTTATAGTTTGGAATATATATAGACAAAAATATATAGATGAATATAATTTTAATTTAAAATATTTCATTAATAGTAAACTATAATAAAGTCTAAGTAATATTATTGCGATGACGGATAGAAAATTTAAACGACAACTTTTAAGATAGTAAAATTCAATTTTAAGAAGATTGTTTTTGTTGAAAAAAAAAAAATTATAATAATAATAATATAAAATAATCGTAGTGCACATTTGTTTTTTTTTTTTACATATTCTTTTTAATTTAAAATTGCGACAAAATAAAAAAAAACAATTACGGTAGGAAATATTTATTTTGTAGATTTAGTTAAAAATGTATTCAAGTTTAAATTCAAATGCAGAAATATCGTACGGCCTTTCGGAAACGTAGATATTTCCATATCAATATTATATACACAACATTGTAATTTTACTCATGAAAGCATTATTAGCGTTTTTCAATTCTCGTTTTATTCTTTTTTCTGTTTGTTATTTGGCAGTATAAAACGTGTATAAAATTGTTCGTCAGAAACAATACAAGTCCTCTTGACGGGAAGGTGACTGAAATCGAATTGTCTGGCGATGCGTAAAATCGCCGACCGTGTAGTCAAACTTATACATTGGAAATAAAAAGACGTCTAAACTATGATCTTGAAAAAGGCGTATATTAACTCCGCCGATTTAGTATAGGTTCCGTTTTTATTATATTGTTGTCCGTGATAATTATATACCCACTAAATATGTATGAGTCAGACTAAGTTAACTACATGACGAGAATTCTTGTTTTCGTGATCGACACTGAATACCGAATTTCACAATCAAATAATGTCTATAGTAATAAATAAATCAAAAAAATTACTGATTCATGTATATTATATACTAACTGTAGACCACCAACTCATGGTATCTCTAAACAATATAGAAATAAAGAGTAGTGTATCAGTAGCGACAATTATATAAGAACCGAAAACAGGAGCAGTATACTGAGATGTAGTGGAATTGCATGGGCCGGTCACGTATAGAAATCTGATGGCCTATTGAAATATGTTTTGAAATAGGAACTCAATGGCAAAAGACCGCTGGCCAAAATAAAGGCGGATTGACAGTCAGAAGGAACCTAATCGAAATTGGAAAACAAAACAATGAGCTCAGGAAACGGATAGATGGAGCAAGCTGTGCGTTTATGGCTTTTAAAGACCGAATGAGAAGAAAAAGACGGTAAATTATCATGTATTAGGCTACCTGCATAATATATATTAATATATATATATATATATATATATATATATATTATATTAATCCAATAATTTTCCACTATCCTTATGGGGATTAAGTATGCGTTATTATTATGATATCAGTTAGGTATTATAATAAAGGAGGGAGAGAAATAATGGACATAAAACTCTTATTATTATACCATAATTACCATGAAAATAGCGGACGTCTTCAATACTTATTGTTAATAGTTAGCAATTTAGTGTCATATAATATTATACATTTTATATTCGGGTTTGTAATATTTAGAAAATTCGTTTTTTTTTTTTTTAATCGATTTTCATACAATTATTACAATATATCAAGCGCGCAGAATCAATACGATTCAATGTTTTCGGTCGCTGTGTCATGTTTCATTCTTGTATCTATTAACGTGTGATAGTTTTAATAGTTATCAAAATGTATTATTATAGGTGCTATGGGCACGTGTAATTATTTTCAATAATTTGTTTTCAGCCGAGTTAGATAAATTATTTAAATTCGTCGACCGCTTAAGTATAACTATATAATGGTTTTAAACATCTTCGACGTAAATAAGACGCAATGTAATTGATGGGTAATTATATTATTGATAATCAACAGCAGCCAATGAAGAGAGCTATAGACACTTTAGGTATTATAATTTTTTTTTTTTTTATATAAATCGAAAAGTTTCAACGGAATCCTCATAATCGCTCCCTCGAAAAAATCAACCATATTTGCGGTTGGAACGTTCGCTGGATTAATAACAATAATAATATCGTCGTTGCCGAAAGCGTAACTCGTATTTCAAGAAACAATGAAAATTATGTACAATACATTTTATAGAAAAGGAAAATTGTAAATACTACGTAAAATGCACAAAATCCAAGGAAAATAAATACGTCAATATTATTGTCAAATACCTCCCGAGTCCTATTCATAATAATTACTAAGTATATTAATTAAAATTTTTATGAACAATTTTGTTTAAAAATATAATTTTGGAATCAAAAATAAATAGTTTGTTAAATTATTATTAACATTTAATTTTATAATTAGTTTTTTGTAGCTCCTGAAAAGAAAAACCACTTTTTAGAGAAACGTGCTATGCCTACTGCTTTAGCAACGGCGATATCGATTCGATTTGGATTTCTAGCACCTGAGTAATATTGTATAGATACTTAAGGAGTTTAGTGTTTTCGCATCTGAATACTATTGACGAAAACGTGGTCTCGGGAAAAGACCTCTCGTAGCCAAGTGTAAAAATAAGTAATATTATGTTGGTCGTTATTTGAAAATCAATATAATATATTATACATGTGCATATTGTTTATTACATATATAGTTTAAACCGAAATAAGGGTGACATTTTGAAAATGTTGTAAATAAAATATTGTAATGACGATCCTATTTAACGATTGAAAAAAAAACCTTAATTAAATTTACTCAGTCTTCGTAGATTAATTGCTGATTAGATTTGACGATAAAAGAATAACCCTGCGTTAAACAGGCCATATTTATATAGCTACGGTACACTACACGGAAAAACGAGTTCTAGAGTTCTGTAGTAAAAAAAAAAAAAAAATAAAAACTGTTTTCGAAGTAATAATCGCAATAATTTCATTTAAAACTTCAGTTTCAAAGTTTCTATTGAAGAAAAGTAAAAAAAAAATAATTAAATTATTTAACTCCAATGAATTGATTTAAATTGACTTCAACTAATGAAGTTAAGTAATTATTATAACTATACCTTCATATAATTATTATTATTTATCCATGCGTTATTTTCAAACGATGTTTTTACTTTTAATTTTAATAGTAAGCTAATACACTCTTATTATATTAAAAATAATAGCACAAAATCTGCTTTTATATACAAAAAGTATAAAGATAACGATATTTTAACTTTAAAATATAATATAGTATTTTATACAGGGTATAACACTAAAATCTAACACCTGAAATAACTTTTGTGCTGTTTGATATTTTTAATGGTTTTATTTTTTTTTTTTTTATAATAACTGTATATTATAACTTACAAGTACACCAATGATACTAACAGTATAGTCTAAAGATTATGAATTATTTAGATGTGCCTTTGTACGAGTGCTTTCACGTGGTGGTGAAGGCCCCCTTAACGATCGCCTTGATCGTTTTCCAGTGCGCACATTATGTTTCATGTTTATATTACAAATTACTTATACCTATTAGGTATTCTTAGGCAAAACATTTTTTTATCAAATATTTTAATATTTTGCTCTCATACCCTCTTTGTGGAATTGACCTGAAAACACCCCTAGCCTATGTGTAAATGTTAATTTAAATTTAATAACTTATCGGATGTTATTCATCGTATTATAATCTCGGAGTATATCGCAATTAATGTTTTTAGTTTTTAGATAATTTAAGTAACAAGAGAAGTAACTCTTAAATGTTACATCATTATTTTTTATACACAGGCCTAATCGTATAAATATTACGCCGCAATATTTGAGTGAGGATACTCGTATTAATCGTATTACTATTAAATGTGTGACGCCATAATAGAAATGAATACTTTTAGTTTGGTCCCGACGTTCGGTTACTATACATAGATAACCAGTAGGATTTGTATACTGGCCAGCTGCGGAAATTGAGTCGACAGTTTTTTAATTCTTTTGTATGTGTGTGTGTGTGTGTGTGCGTGCGTGTTTTTTTTTTTTGAATTGTCACCGTCAATAACGATAAACTGCGACAATCGTAAAAAATAATAATATTACGCAAATCGTATTATGGATATTGTATATCGTTGTTATGAAACAAACATTTATTTATACAATCATTTTTGATAACTGTTTTTGTTTGAATACACTTCTATAGAACAATGTAGCTTCTACAATTGTGATATAATAATTTTTTTCCATCACGTGGAACGGTTTTGAAAAATAACACCGATTAAATATCATGATTATTCAAAGACTTTGTTATTCTCTACTCTAAAAGACGATAATAAAGTAAAATTTTGTTTGAAAAACCGTACATAGTTAAAAGCAAAAAATTAAATGCGAGCGCAATATATTATTAATATTTAAAATCGCTCGATTTGTTCACCCTGCCTACACTCGTTTACGCGTTCAACGTTGCTTTAAAATATGCAAATAACTTTAAACACTTATAGTTACTAAATTGTTTCTATCTATTTTAGGTAAACGATTATCTATTCATATCGAATTATATATTTATACTGTATCGACGAACCTATGTTAATAGGTACCTATACCCAGAAAGTCTATAAATGATAAAAAAAAAAAATCACCCTTATAATAAGCACTTTACATTTCTGTAAATTTTAACATATTCTGTAAACTTTACGTCAGTGTGTGACCTTCAATAGTTTTTATTTTATTATATTTTTTTTTCCTGTACAGAAAAGATATTTACATATACGGGGTCATCAATCAATCGTAAGATAGTCATTATCCCGAAAAGTGTTAACTTTTATCAAAATTTGTTTTAAAGAACATTTAAAAAATATGCTATTCTTTAATTTAACATTTAAATTATTCTTTTTAACCCTTATTTTAGGGGTGAAGCGACTATCTACTTTTGATTTTTAAATAGCAACCTATATTGAAAATCTATAAATAGATTGGGTAGTAGAAAAAATAAATTTTGATGTTTAAATTTGTAATTTCCGTCGATTTCCGACCCAAACTTAAATATGGAATATCTCGTCAACCAATCGATGGAAATTAAAAATTTAAATATTCTATTTCGAAATTTATTTTAAATACTCCATTTATTTATAGAATATTTGGTATAGATTTCCATTTAAAAATCAAAAGTAGATAATACTTTCATCCTAAAAAATTAGAGCAACATAAAATAATATAAATGTATAATTGTAGAGCTGCTTGTTTTTAAAATGGTCTATAATACACATATCGAAAAAAGTTAATACTTTGCACATAGAAACACTCACACAGAATATACGCCATAGTAAAATATTTCAGGATAATCGTGACGTATGTCCTTTTGGCGGTTTTGTTTTGTCTGTTTGCGTAAGACAAAAAAACATAGCCGTCGCAGTATGACGCACGATTAGGTACGTATGATTTGATAAATTATTTAAAATTACATGGTTTTTTTTTGTTTACCTTTTTTATCGTAAACAGATAATTTGAGTAGATTACACAGAGTGAATTTACTTGTTACTATACCGAAAGAATAGCCTACTCATCGTCGCTGTTTGTCGGCGAATAAAATCGCTAGTAATAAAAATGTACAAGTAAAATCGCCGGTGTAAAAACTGTTATACGTGTCCGTGATCGAGTGATAAATATTTGACTAGTTCACGTATATCTATGACTTCGCTGATGAGCGGTTAGTATGTAAATCCACCCGGTTTAATCCAACCTTACAGTCGAATGTAGATAACTAATTATCTAAATTTTTTCTCCGGTTGTTTAAACTGGACCTATTTTGATGGTTTATTTGTAGTGAGTTCATTTTATTATGTGTATATTGTATGGATTTTTTTTTGGTGTATCTATTTATAAAATTGTAATTATTAATATTAGTTCCTGACTATCGTCGCTTGGCCCAAACCGCCGCTGGGTGTAAAATTTAAAATTTCGCTCAGAAGACTTTTTTTTATTTCTTGAAATATTAATATATTGAAAAGTAGGTATCTATACTAATGTAGAAAAGATTTTCGAAAATTTGACCACCAAACGAGGCTTACACGTAATTGTTTCCTTAAAGAAAATCGTAATTTCTTTTTGTTCTGGTTTCCATAGGTTATGCGGGGAAAACATTGCGTTACTCGTATATTGCTTTATAATAATAGGTTGTCGTAAAATAATTCACGGACAATTTGTCATCGGCAAGGCCGTAGCCCGTAAATATAACTTGACCTCTTATATAATTGCGAAAGTTTGAATAATTTGAAGGTATTGTCCCTTAATCGGCCGAACATTTAGTGTACTTACCCTCTGAAAAAT